TTTGTTTGTTGTTGACGCTGCTGAGGATTTTGTGGGCTGTTTGGAAGACGTACGAGTGTCTCAATACTACGGCGGGATGAAAGAATGGATGATATGACCCGTGTCTGCATGTACGTGTACCTTTTTGTTCTGCCCAGTCTGGAGAGATGTCGATGTTCGATGTTCGATGCAAAATGCAAATAGTATGCACGTATTACATGGGAACTTACATGGGAACCCCACACTTGAACTGGGAAAATTAGTCGTAGCGTCGCATCCATTTGCACGCAGACCAGCCATGTGATTGACCGAGATGGAACGGGCTGGGTGGATGATGTGGTGGCGATGTGGTTGGTTGGGATGCCTCAACCAAGCAATTTTAGTGTCTTGTAGCTTTTTTGAGTTGGGCTGCGTGCGGGTCTGGGGGAGCGGAGAGAGGAGAAAGAAAGAGGAGAATATCGTGTATGTCGTTAATAGAGAGTGAGGGGTGATGATGGTATGAATTACTAGTGAACAGAGTGTATCATAGTATGAGTGGAGAGATTTTGGGTTGGTTTGTTGTGTGAATGGAGACGTTGCATGTGTTACGAGTCGAGAAGGGACAGGGGAGAGGATTTTGATGCATCATTTTGGGGGTTGGAAAAAGTCGGGACAGGGTTTAGTTTGATTTTGTTTGTTTTTCTGTGATTGACTTTCATGTTGTTGTTTTTTGACAGAATTAGCCGAGGCTGCTACAGTTGCGTTGTTCGAGTACGAATATGCAGTGCAGTTCGGGTAAATATTCAAATTAATAGCAGCAAAAGGATTGGACAGAGAGATGGACGTTGTGAGTGTCGATGCAGACGACAGGTCTTTCTGTAGGCCTTGATCCTTGTTACATGCAGCCAGCACGGCAACAGCTCCAGTTCAGTCCAGGTCAGTCAAAAGTGCATCCGTGTTTGCGGGCGGGGGTGGATTGATTTTGAGCAGACAGACAGACACGGAGTGCATTCACTAGCTTCATTGTTGACTGTTTGCATGAATCGCCAACCCGCGTGAGAACGGGATCAATGTAGTTGGCAGTGAGATTGTGGATGTTGTTCTTCTGTACTCGTACAATGGATGGGTGCATGGGCATACTGTACTGTACTGTCCCGTACGGGCAACGCATGCAGTCAGCAAAAAAGGGAACGCGGAATTCTGTACTTTGCATACATATCAGCAGGGTTAAGACGGGAGAGTCCTGACCAGGTACGGTACGGGTGCAGCTGAAAAGAGATGGAAAGTAAAAAAAGAGCAAGCAAGGGATGGAAGAGAGGACCCTGGATCAGTCAATAGCTCCGCTGCATCTGCATCTGAACAACGCACAAGCCATCAATATCCAATACGGCAGTTTTATTTGTGGCAGCTTTTGTCTCGGATAGCCATAGCTTTTCGCGCAAAAAGACAGAACACGACTGGCATGTTTGCGGCTGGGACTCAACAAACCTGGATGCGTGTCCAAATATAGAAACTCTCTTGTCCCGTTTCTTTTTGGTCAGAGACATTGCTAGGGCCGTAGCTTTACTGCTACTAGCATAGATTGAGTTGGGTGTTCGTCTCTAAGAATAATTGAAAAAAGGGAGATATGAACCTGGAAGAAATAACAAAATAAGAAAAACGTGGCTACGATCTCCCGGAGGATGGATGCGTGCCAGTTAGCCTGGGCTACCTACCCGCTGCAGTCAGCGGCACTAACAGGTTTCACGGATGACGGAGTGGGATTTGTAGGTTGTCCCATCTGGAATGCAATATGAGGATTTCGGGGTCCAAGGAGCCAAGTGTAAGAGACAAGAAAGCAAATGTCTCGCCGAAAGCCTTGTACTACCACTTGAGTGGCCGCATGCGTGGGGTTGAGTGAGTGAGAGAGAGAGAGACGCACAAGAAGGATGAGAGACACAACGAGAGACAAAAAAAGGAGGAGGGGTGTGTGTGTAGCCTGATGGTATTTGAAAAAAAGAAAGAAACACTAGATGAGTATCAAGATGAAGGAGCCGTTGCAAAAGCTGGGGTGAGCCAGCCACGAGGAGAGACAACGTGATGGGCGAGCTGACGAGAGCGGCCTTGTGTGTGTGTGCTGCTTATTGTTTCTATTGTTATGATTTCAGTCGTATACGAGGGACTATTTACTCCGTATATCGTGGACATAGGTAGGATGCATGCATGCATTTCCTTCAGCACCCGGCATTGGTGATTGATGCGGTATAAACGCTTTGTACATGTGCATTGCATGTGAGCTCGTGATGCAGGTCACACAACGACTGCGATAGCCTACATCCGCTAGTTATCTGGCTGGCCTCTTGGGTTGCCAAGAAAAGGTGCTCAGATGCTCTCGAGATGTCTACAAGTGAGAGGCAGGCAGGCGATGCGTGAGTGATATAACAGCTAGATAGATAGGATAAGACATGCGCATCTGTAGGCCAGCACGCGTACGAGTCTGGTGATGGGCCAAGGCTGTCTTTTTCATCGTCACTACAGCTAGTCCATACGAGTACATGCAGGCATACAGTACAGTACAGTAGTAGCTGGGTTGAGCTGCAAGGCAGGCAAATGAGATTGATGAATGATAGGACTATTAGCTGATAAGTGATTGGTGAGGTCTGGTGTTGTGTTGTGCTGTAGGTAGGGGGGGACGGGTAATCACGGCGAAGCTAACAAATCGCATGACAATTTCAGGCTGTCAAAATGGTGGTTTAGTTTAGCACAAGAGCGATGAAACGAAACATGGCCATTTGATGCCTCTTGTTTCAAGCAAGACATGGACGACAAGATTCGCACCGGGGGAAAACGCCACGGAGGCAAAAAGGAGATGGGCGGTGGATGAATCGATTTCGCGTTGATTGGCCTCTTTTGCTTTGTTGTTGTGTACTCGTACATACTTGTCGACGGGCTGGACTGGACCCAATCCTCGGGCCGGGTGCGATTGTGCTGGGATCGAGAATGGTCGAGGCCTGGACTGGATGGACCGCCGCGGTACCTGGGGCGAGGGTGCAGGCGGCCGCGCGGGTGCATGTAGCTGGCGGGTATTGGCCGTAGCGACGCTTGTCCGTTCAACCATTCAGCGGCACGGCGCTGGTGCTGGAGCTGATGACTGGTGGCGGCAAGTTTGTTGCAGGGCTGGGCCAAAAGCAAACACCTGAATCGGTCAAATACATTCAGCTGGCATGCCGGGTACCTTGCCTTTTGGAGGCCCATTTGTATGTACCATCTCATACCATCTCATGCCATGTGTCTTTTATGCTTTGTCTAGTGACGTCCTCCTCTCAGCCTTCAATTCTCCCCCCCCTCATTGTACTGTATCCATTTTCCCACTCTGAGCAACCGGCAGCGCGCAAACCGATCAAATCAAAGTCGAGTACCTGCATTCGATCCAACTCGACATCACGCACACGTCACGGCTGGAGCGAGCCGCTGACGGCTGTTCAATTCCTCTTCCTGGCCAGGCTGCTGATCACAGCACCCCTGCAGCCCAACCCGCTAATGGCAGCGCTACTGTCCACTACACGACGGCTACCAGCTACCTACTCTATCAGTCTATGTACCATCTGCTCTCAATATTGACGTCTACGGCAGCGACAGAATCATTCAATTTGATCCAATAGTGCTAGCAGTAGATTGAGTCCATACTACTGCCAGTAGCGAGTGCACGCTAAACCTGCTAGTCGGGTCCCAAGCCGGAACCAGGCAAAACCAGCACCAGGCCATAAACACACACACACAGCCAGGGATCTCAGACATTGCCAGCCAGAGGCGTTACTCGTTACTCGCACCATTACCTTACCTGTACATTGCCATTACGCACACCCCCTAGCCGCATCAATCCTCTCGACAGCCGGAGGAGGCGAAAAAAAAGAGGGAAAACAGGCACAGGTTCAAACCACACAACCTCAGGCCTTTTTTCCTTAGCCCTGCGCTCGTGCCGCGGTGGAACTTGCCGGCTGTACGCTGTACCCGCCGGTGGCCACGACTCGGGGTGCACCGACACTGACGTTTGCGACGTCTTGTGCGCAGCGTCTGGTATTTGGCCGGTATCTGGTACTTGCGCCGCTCTGCGACCTTTGCAGCTGTAAATATCCATATACCGCCAACCCCCCGGGCGCTCAGACTCGCTCAGACTGAGAGTTGAGTATATCCTCACCATCTTCGCTTGTTGGGTTGACGAACTTCTTTTTCCTCTTCCCTCTTTTTATTTCTTCTCTTTTTATTCTCTTTTCTGCTTCTGCAGCTCTCGACCAACCGGTGTCTTCTCTCCTCTTTCCCCCGCATCAGCCTGCCAATCCAATTCATCCGTTGGAGGTGCAAAACAAAAGAACCGCTGCCACACTTATTCCCACGCTCACGCGCACTCTCCAACTTTTGGCTATCACCCAATCCGTTGCGTGATGCAAACGATTCGCTGCCAAGGCAAAAACATCAGGCAGTAAAATATCCCGCAGAGGAGCAGAGCAGCGATATAAGCCGTTTTCACCCACCGCCCGACTCAGCTTTTCAACTCTTCAGTTCTCTTTGTTCTCTTCTCCAAAAGAGCACGAGCACGGGCCCTTGGAATCGAACAGGATTAAATCGCACAAGTCGCCGTTTGCCAGGGTCTCTCCGGAGCTGCACTTCTACATACGCTTTCCCACTCCACTATAATACCGGTAATCTACCTGCAGTCGCCTTGGCACCTTGCGACTCGTGCCATTATAATACCACCTTGACCACCCTGCCTGGACAACTGATTTCCCCTCTGCGGAGAGGAAATAAAGGAGGAGGCAATTCCTTTTTTTTCTGCTCTGGCTCTGGCTTACACGCCTCCAAATTCTTTTTACTTGGTGCTTGGCCCCATTGCCCGTTTAGAGCTCCAACGGCCCCCCTCTCTCCCCCCCTGCTTACACCGGGCCAGTGTGTCTCAATCCCTCAATTACAGCGCCCACCTCCACTGAAGGGTACCCCCGAGAGCAGATTATTGCCCTGAACCTAAAACCCCATACAATACCTGCGGCGGAACATTGGACTTGGAAATGTTTTCGCAGCCAGTATCACCGACGCCGCCTGGGCTGACTTCGACGGTTTCGCCCTCGCCTTCCAGAACCAGCCGCCTGCGTGGCCTGAGCATCCTGCGCAACTACACGCACAACCATCTCCTGTCGCGTGACAACAGCCATCACGCAAACGGCACCAATAGCAACAGCAACAGCAACAGCAACAACAACAGCGGCGGCAGCTCGCCCTCAACCAGCCAGTCGGGCAACGGCCTCACGCGGTCCGTCAGCTACTCTCCCGTCACCTCAACCACGACCACGACAACTTCCAACGCCGCCACGAGCCCCAACAGACTGACGCTGGTGGCTACCTCTCCCGACTCCAGGACGCCCAACTCAAGGGCTTCGGCCACGAGCCCGGCCTCAAATACCCCGTTTGCCCAGGCGAGTGCCTCGTCCTCGTCTTCTGCCCCCGAGTCGCCCTCAACCATCGAAGAACATCCAGCCATGGCCCGATCCAACGAAGGGTCGAGCTCGTCCGACAACCAGCCTTCCATCCGATTCTCTGCATACTACGACCCCCGATCCACACGGCCATCGCTGTCCTTCCCGCCCGTCTCCAGGACGCTGTCCAACGGCACCGAAATCATCCGCGTTGGCCGCTACTCTGAGCGCGACAGCCATGCCCTGTCCAACGGGCAGGGCGCGGCGGCTCCCGTGGGCTTTAAGAGCAAGGTCGTGAGCCGCCGCCACTGCGAGTTTTGGTACGAGAACGGCAAGTGGTACATCAAGGACGTCAAGAGCTCGTCCGGCACGTTCCTCAACCATATTCGATTGAGCCCGCCGTCGCAGGAGAGCAAGGCGTTTGCCGTTAACGATGGCGACATTGTGCAGCTTGGCATCGACTTTAAGGGAGGCGAGGAAATGATTTTCCGCTGTGTCAAGATGAGGTTGGAGCTGAACCGCGGGTGGCAGAACAAGCCCAACACGTTCAAGTGAGTGAATCTTTATATCACAGATTATTCAAACACGGGAACGAAAGTGAAAGAAGGCCCCTTCTTTCTCAAACTCCCACGCTATTCTCATCATTTGTGAACTACGGCTAACCTTTTTGCTCAGCATGGCCGCTCACAAGAGGCTTCGTAACATGGCAACCACGGGAGCAGCAGGCTCTGCATCCAGCACAAATTCCCAGGATTGCTCCATTTGCCTCAACTCGATTGGCGTAAGCATTTCTCCTGACACTCGATTATGACTCTCAAGCTAACTCTCCAACAGCCTTGCCAATCACTCTTCGTTGCCCCTTGCTCTCACACATGGCACTTCAAGTGCGTACGCGCTTTACTCACCTCGCCACAATATCCCATCTTCATCTGTCCCAACTGCCGTGCCGGAGCCGACCTGGAAGCCGATGTCGAGGACCCCGAGGAGTGGCAAAACCTGGATGATTTTGACGGCCCCGAAGAGCCGGCCGCCCCTACCACCATCGATGCACCCGCTCCAGAAATCGAATTGCCTCTGCCTTCTCCCTCTGAAGAACCACACGAAGCAACGGTTCAGGAAACAGATACCATGGACGTGACTGTCAATTTTACTTCAACAGCCAGCCCGGCCGAGAGCCCGACGGCACCGCACGCAACCTCCGAGCCGTTGCCCATAAGAGGAGCTGGCCGTACCGCTCATTTGCGAGAAAACGGCACTCCCTCGCCACCTGGCAGCGGGGCTGAGGGCCTCATCACGCCTAGGAATAATGCAGGGCCATGGGTATTTGACGGTAGGGCAGGTCGACAACCACCGAGCGACACAGCCGATATGCCGAGCCTCGACTCTGCGGCAGACGCCGACATGACTACACATGAATCCAGCGACGACTCTGCCAGCCGGTAGCACCAAGCCGAGCAACGTGAGAGCATTCCAATTTTGGTGGTGTGTCTAATGGTCGACTGTGCCGGCACTTGGGTGCTGCTAATCATAATGTATCGTTTTTTATCTGAGATGCTTTACTCCTTGTTCGTCGCCTCCTCTGCCTACTGGGCATGGGCGCAGACGCCTGTTGCATCAAACTTGTTCGACGTGATTTGCGGCGGCGGATTTCTCGTTTTCCTCACAGCTTGATCTCACTATCTTTTTTTATTTTTATTTTCCTTTGTCGATTTCTTGCGTGTCTGGAGTGTGGCGTGATTCTCCATGAAACGAACCGCAAAACAGACTTTTGGGCGTATGGCGTCATGATCAAGCATGGCTCATTCTGGCCGCAACTGGGACGGGTGGAAAGCATCTTTAGCATGGGCACTAGCGCGGGATATGGTTAGAAAGCTACAATTCTGATTTCTCTATTTCTCTCCCCGAATCACTTCACTTTACTTCTGCATGGTTCATTTTTGCTCTTGGGAGTGGTGAAAACTGGGAAGAGGCTGTTACGACGTCTTCATTTCCGCACGGTCCGGTACGGTACGGAGTTGCCGCCTTACATGTTCATCGGCATGAGGCGGGCTGGTTTTACGGCGCCAATTTGAGGGTATAGGCTAAAAAGATTTGGGGAATTGCTGCACTCATGGTGTAAGACAGGGGGGAAGGAAAGTGATGTCGATTCCTATACAAAAAAAAGGGTCCTCTGGGATTTCTCGGTCTTTTCGCAGCTTGTGATTAGAACGGCCGGAGTTTGAGTGGGATATGATGTCAATGTGGCAGTTTTTTGACGGTGATTGGCTGGGCAACTCTGGCTGGAGAACATTGCGGCAACAGCTCCGAGATGAGGTTATTTGGGGGGGCTTGAAATCGCCCTGCATTCTCTATTTTTGGGGCTGTTGCTGGCTCGGCGATACTATCGAGTACATATATAGCATCGTCCATTTCTAAATAGTACATGGTAATCCGTACATGTCAATATAATGTTGGCTTCTGATCCAAATACATGTAAACTGCAAGATGCTCCGCTTTGCCAGTCCGTCCGGTCGGAGCTCCGGCACCGGGATGATCCGACCTATCGCCGAGATATGTGACGGCACCACAATTTTCCAGTGCCGCCTTCGATTATGGCCGGAAACTGTCGAGCTGCTCGCCTCTTTTTTTGTTTTCCTCGAGTCGTGAATCCGCTTCTCTCTCTGTCTCTCTCTTTCCAAAAGATCTTTATCGTCCTTTTGCTTTAGTAGAGACAAGAAGAGGGCTTTTTTGACAATGTTGCGACAGTTTGCTTCTCGGGTGCAGCCTCGGGTGAGGGCCCAGGGCTCGAGGCTGCTGAGTGCGCAGAGCAAGTTTGGTGCGATCAAGGCGCAGATGCCGAGACGGACTATGGCGACGGTCAAGGTGGAGGGGATCCCAAAGGTTGGTTATACGAGGCTTCTTTTTCATCTTTCCAGCTTGGAGGCTTCTCTTTTGTCTTTACGTCTTGGAGGCTAATTCTGGGGATTCAATGTGCAGGAACCTACTGAATTGGACGAGATTACGACACTGCCGAATGGTTTGCGAGTCGCTTCCGAAGCTCTCCCCGGTTCCTTTTCCGGCGTGGGAATCTACGTCGAGGCAGGGTCTCGGTTCGAGAACGATTCGCTGCGAGGCGTTTCCCACATCATGGACCGACTGGCGTTCAAGTCGACCTCGAGACACTCTGCGGACGAAATGCTTGCGCGGGTCGAGACGCTCGGGGGAAATATTCAGTGCGCATCTTCGCGGGAGAGCATGATGTACCAGGCGGCCACGTTCAACAGCGCCGTGCCGGAGACGGTGGCATTGTTGGCGGAGACGATTCGCGACCCGCAGATTACTGATGAGGAGGTTGCTGAGCAGATTGAGACGGCAAGATATGAGATTGCGGAGATTTGGAGCAAGCCTGAGTTGATATTGCCGGAGCTGGTACATACGGCGGCGTTTAAGGACAATACCCTGGGGAACCCGCTGTTGTGTCCTGAGGAGCGATTGGGGAGCATTGATAGGAGCACGGTGAAGATGTATAGGGATTTGTTTTACCGGCCGGAGAGGATGGTTTTGGCTTTTGCTGGTGTGGAACATGGCACGGCGGTTAAGCTGGCTGAAGAGTTCTTTGGAGACATGAAGACGCTGCCCCGGACGGGCTCAGAAACCAGTGTGAGCTCTCTTGCCAGCGACGCATCTGCTTCCTCTTCAGCATCATCATCCTCTTCTTCATCAAGCTCCTCCTCTTCACGATTAATGTCCAAAATCCCCCTCTTCAAGAACATCTCCACATCTACCCCCCGCAACGCCACTGTCCTCTCATCTCCTTCTGAACTCGACATCACTCAGCCTTCTCGATATACTGGTGGCTTTCTTTCTCTTCCTCCTCAACCGCCGTCTCTTACTGGCACCAACTTTACACACATTCACCTTGCTTTTGAGGGATTGCCCGTTGCTTCAGATGATATTTATGCGCTGGCAACATTACAGACTCTTCTTGGTGGAGGAGGATCTTTCTCTGCTGGTGGACCGGGCAAGGGTATGTACTCTCGCCTGTACACCAATGTGCTCAATCAGCACGGCTGGGTAGAGTCATGCGTTGCTTTCAACCACTCTTACACCGACTCTGGCCTCTTTGGCATCTCAGCATCGTGCTTGCCGGGCCACACCTCTGCCATGCTGGACGTAATGTGCCAGGAGCTCCGAGCGCTGACCCTCGAACGGGGCATCTCGAAGCTGCAAGAGGGAGAAGTGACGCGAGCCAAGAACCAGCTGCGGTCATCGCTGCTGATGAACCTCGAGAGCCGGATGGTGGAGCTGGAGGATCTCGGACGGTCAGTGCAGGTGCACAAGCGCAAGATTCCCGTGCGGGAAATGTGCCGACGGATCGAGGCGCTGAGCGTGCGGGACTTGCAGAGGGTGGCGAGCATGGTGATGGGCGGTGCGGTGAAGAATGCTGGAGGGGGTAGTGGTGCGCCGACGGTGGTGGTGCAGGAGGCGCAGGCGTATGGGGTGACGAGCCATACGATGACGTGGGATCAGATTCAGGATCGGATCGATGGGTGGAAGTTGGGGAGGAGGGCGTAATTGTTTCTGATGAAATGAAGGGTTCATGGTGTGAGGGTTTGAGGGTTTGAAAAGGGGATGATGACGGGATGATATACAACTTGGCATATTATATATATTGGCGCGGGAAGGGTGGTATTTGGGATGATATACGTGTATACATATCGTGTATTTTGTACGATTATTAGGGTAGTTACTGGGATACCATGCTCATTATAAAGGCTTTATGTGCTGCTATGAGTGATAGTTATGATGATGATGATGATGAGTGAGGGGATGGAGTTGGATGCGGTAATGTGTGGCTAGGATGCATCCAGTGCCATTGTTGACTCTCAAAATTTCCTTCAGTGTATTTGAATCTACATCATCTCAAGATTTTAAATTCCAGAAGAGATAGGCTTGTTCGTCAACTTTTACAAAGCTTCTATTTCCTTTTGCCGCTTTCTGGTCTTGTTTTTCACATGGTCGTCGTTATAGGTCGTTGGTGGGGCAGGTGTGTGTGTGTACCTGGTAATTAACCGATGATGATAACCACCTCCCTTTCTGGCTAGAGATTCGTATCCTGGATGTAGAATACTTTTGATATCTTGAGCTACCTTTTGCTACCCAGAGATATTTCTTCTAGTTGGAGATATTTCTTCCAGCTGGAGACATCTCTTCTACCTCAGATACCTCAGATACTACCTGGTAGAGAAACCAACTTCTAGTCTCTCGGATAAAAGTTATCCCTTTCCGAACGTCGCGCCGGCCCCCTTGCATTAACATCGCGTTCTAGCTATCACCAACTTGCATTGCATACATGAGGGTTAGTTCAACAGCCATGTTAAAAGTAGAGCATGCTAGACTCTGATTTACAAGAAATAATATCCCGGCATCCTATTGGGAGTGGATTAGATCAGTATCGCGATCTTGTTCGGGCAAAATGTGAGGCTCAAGGGTTGCCGCTTGGGGCTTTTCAACATCTCGATGGTGAAGGTTAGTACCTCCTAGTACCTAGGTACTCACAGGTTCTACTATATATGCATGTATCTATCTACATCTACCTTTTCTATCGTACTGACATGCGTTCAGCGCTTAAAGAGATCCTCGTGAATCTGCTAGAATCGCTACTAGCGCTACCTCCTGCAGTATCGCTACGTTGCCGCAGTTTAGTTCTCACTATTGCTATATCAAGACGTCTATCCAGTATCAACAAAAGCTTTGATCGCCACCGATTGATACCTTTTTTAGATGCCGCGCTGAATGCTGACTCTGGCTCTGGCTCTGGCTTTGATCAAGGCGTGTGGGGAAATGCCATCAAATTTCTTGAAGAATCGACGCCTCCCCCGCAAGCAGGGGCTGTAGCTTCACAGCAAACTCCACCGGAGCAAAAGACGGCCTCAGTTGCACAGCAAGCTCCATTATTCGTTAATAGCGGGAGTCTTGTGAACACATCGGAGCTCCGTAGAGACATGGATCATGTTCTCAGTCAAGAGCTGAGTAATATATATGTCAATGTGCCCAATTTTCGCCAGACATTTTTTGGCCTTGACTCACTCGAGCATATTGCTACATCGGTCCTCGAGCGTTGCACCCAGGGTGATGATCCTCTGTTCAGTGAGGGGTGGGCTGGGTGCCTCAAAACCCAGAGGAGGACCATGTCCTCGCTTGGTTTTCCACCTTGAATGAGAAGCTGTTCCATCTGGCAAGAAGCGCAGACCCTTCTCTACAACTTCAGCAGCTACCGAGGTTAAGAACGAAGCCGAAGGAGCCCTTCGTTGGCTCCACAGCAAAACGCATGATGTATATTGGATACGTGGGGTTCGTGGACAGCGATGAAGCTATCGACTTGAAACATCATTGGTCCCATGTTATGATAGTGGGTGAATTAAAGAAAAACCCAAAGACAGACAACCGGTCTGGCTCCTGGCTTCACGTTGCGAGATACGCTAGAGAAGTGCTCGCTGCTCAAGACAACCGCCGGTTTGTCCTAGGATTCACACTTTGTGGCTCCTTGATGAGACTCTGGTCTTTTGACCGTCTTGGAGGTATCGCTTCTGAACGATTCGATGTCAACCAAAATCCCCTGGAGTTTGTATCCGCTGTTCTTGGCTTCCTCATGATGAACAATGAACAGTTGGGATATGACCCTACTATTGTAAAATCCGGGACACAGCGATACATCGAGGTACATCGTGATGGCCAAACAGAGCGGCTCATCCTTGACCAATTGATATTTCGCCAACCCTGCATTGTTGGGCGAGCAACAACCTGTTGGAAAGCACACCGGGATGGGGACGACGGCGAGACTAGGCAAATTTTTGTGATTAAGGATTCCTGGCAGTATCCTGAACGCAATGAAGAAGGATTGATGCTCCAGGAGGCAACCGTGAAAGGCGTCATAAATATGGCAAAATACTATCACCATGAGGTTGTTCAAGTAGGAGGTACCGATGACGATATTCGCAACAATGTCCGGAAGGGCTTGGACTGGACGGTAGCTACCGTATCACTACCAGTGGACTCTGAGGCGTCATCTCCAGCGGTATCAGTGCAGGTGTCAAACTCGAATAATTTGATCACCAGCCAACGCGAAGCTCCTACTGGTCTAAGTAGCAATGCCGGAAACCAACGAAAGCGTGCTTTGTCACGAGTCGAATCACGGCTGCATCCACGGAAGCGACGGTCGCCCATGTCCACGCAGACATCTCGCAACGATGAAACGGGGAATCGCATCCATCGAAGGCTAATACTCCAGAGCTATGGGAAGCGTATCCACGAGGCCAGTTCACCGAGTGCATTGCTTGCTGGTCTAGAAGCCTGCATCAATGGACACGAGTCACTACGCCGCGAAGCCGGTCTGCTGCATCGAGATATTTCCATCAACAACCTCATGATTAATGAGGACGAAGAGGACCCCTCACAGCGAGGCTTTCTCATCGTCGACCTCGCTATCAAGGAGGCGCGGAGTAGTGCCTCGGGGGCGAAGAAGAAGACGGGGACGCGAGCATTCATGGCCATCGGGGCCCTTCGCGGCGTTCAGCACTCCTTTATGCACGATCTTGAATCATTTTTCTGGGTCCTCTACTGGATATGTATTCATTACGACGGACCGGGCCAATCTATTGGTCCCATCGAGTTCGAAAAATGGAATTACACTGATGACAGGCAGCTTGCTTGGTCGAAATCTGGGCTCATTGGCGATGAGCGTCAGTTCCTTTACGACGCGGAAAGGGACTTTACCGAGTACTACCTGCCGCTGCTTCCGTGGGTCAACAGGCTCAGAAGAGTTGTGTTTCCGAATGGCAAGCCGTGGACGGAGCCGGATGAAGGGCAGTATGCAAAGATGAAAGGTATTCTTCGAGAAGCCAGAGAAAGTCAAAACCCATGATTGATGATTTGTACGATTAATGCAAGATTTACAGCATGGCTCATGTTTATTGTTCCAGTGGTAGATACTGAGAGGTGTTGATAGACGTCGATGGACACATCGTTCCCCAAGACAATATACAGCTCAGACTACAGAGGCTTTATGTTTAAACATCATGTCTATTTTAATAAGCCATGATAGATGATGGAATAGAGGTAGGACGTTTCTCTGCACTACTACGTGTACCTCCTACCAGGAGCTTGACCAGAGTCGCCGAATGTCCACCAGGCCATGAGGAGGCTCAATGATCTCCCTGCTTCTCGGACGCCTTTTTTCCCCCCTCTTTGCTCTGGTAGCTGACTAGCGCTTAAGGCGTCCACCGGATGCATAGATGCATGTTGAGCTGGCAAAGGTCATACATCTTGCCCGAGATTTGCTTATAAATTCGCGGAAACACTTCCAGTCACCATCGCGAGAAGGATGCGCTTGGCATTACAGATGCAGGGCAGAAGCAATTTCAGGCTTCTCATTCGTACTCGTATTGAGCTACGGCTGAGATTTTTCCTTTTTTTCCCTTTTCTTTTTAACGAAAGCCGTAGCACAAATACTATTATTATATCCTCACGGCTGTCACGGCTGAGACATGCGTGGGGGCCATCTCTTTGTTATTGGAGTTACTACTGTTATGCAGGACATGGTATCCTTGCTTAGCTCTCGAATGATCCTCGCGATCTATGATTGGCCTGGCTCCTAAATGTTACTCTGTATACTACTAGCAGTAGTAATGCTAGAAGAGATCAAGGTTACCGCTGTGGGCTCTCCCGTGGAAACGGAAGGTTTAGTGCGATGAGATCTCATATTCGGATACTACGAACAATTAACGTGCTATTGCCAGATGCTGTAAGATATCATACCTATCTTATTACGAAGGTAAAACTTAAGGATCAAGATTCATCAAAAAGCTAACATCAACTACACTCCAAAGGAAGTCTCCACAAGGGGCCGCGCAATGCAGCCCAGTCTGGGTCCAGTAGCCTTGTCGGTCTGTTTTCCTATCCAATAATTTGCAAAAAATAGATGAGTTCGGTGACCATGTATCTGTACGATGTTACTTTATGTTGGGTGCTCCTCATTTCGTAATCCTCGATGCCCGAGCTGGGAGCAAACCCTGGCATATGCATGAAGCTCACCGGAAAAAAAGAAAAGAAAGACGGGGGTGCAGTATCTCAGCTCTCCTCGCAGCGATAACAACCTTGTGGTGCCTTTTGTTGGACCAAGATGGAACGGAATTGATCCCACAGATCTTCAATTCTGAGGCCTGATACGGTGATCATCTAGTAAGTATCCCCCGGTCTTGGAATCGGCCTCGGGGAAAACTTGGAAGGTTTGCGGTGGGTAAATCTAAGATCTAGAGCTTGAGATGATGGGTGAGATTGAGACCCATGATCCAATGCAAGTAGGTCATCTGACAATCTTGCATATGCAGCCATGGCATTAAACACCATCTAGTAAGTTCAAGCTCATCTATAGGAGGTCCGTACTGTGCCGTTCCGCAGCTTCATGAGCATCTCATCCAGTCTGAATAGCATCTCCCACGCTTCTGAGCTCATAGTTGACCGAATAAGAAATAGACCATGTCTCGGAGACTTTCCGATCATTCAAGCCCATGCCTCCGAATAAATTGCCACGTCGGAGTGGCCGCAGCTGATGTCGCAATGTCTCAGCCTCGCCTTTCTTTTTATGCAGAGTCCCAATAAACGACGCAACCCAAGAAAGCCACGCCAGCGGACGGCAAGTTTAGTCCATGTCAGAGACTCTTGTGGCTTATTCTCATTTGACCTACTCCGGGATAGGGCGGCGGCGGATAGACCCATTCGGTATTCTTGAGATGCGTCGGCCGGCAGGGGCGACTTACAGGTATGTTCGGAGTATAGAGTGAGTAAAATGTATATGAAGTTACATCTCTTTGCCTAAAGTTCTATGGGTCATCCCTGGAAGGCAAAGAAAAAGAGAAGAATCTTACCTGGGGACAGATGCAGCTTGCTATACGAACTACCCAAATATCAGTGATGAATAGCCATCACATTCATGTTCAGAGCTTTTACAAGCGTAATCTTACTATGCACGGCCGGTCCAATGTAGTATGTTGTACGTTGTAACAGGGGTATCGATTTACTTGGGTTACCTAGACAGAGGCTTCCTGGAAAAGCAGGGATTACAACGGAGGGCGTCTAGCCCAGGTCATGCAGCGTATTGTGCAGCTAATAAGTTGATTATACGAGATACATTTTTTTTTGGAAGGCCACAACTGGGATTCCTATTTGTAACAAGGGATATGACGAAATAGTTGTCAAGCTGTCAGCCGCTTCGGTTCCTTGAAGGGACTACGATTTGATGGCTGGCCTTATCTGTCTCCAGGGGCATCAACTGAGACATGCACGTTTGTAGTCCTTTTACTAATATTGACTTCTAAGTAAGCATATATTAGCATTTTATTAATTTTTTACATTATGAAAAGACTTCAAGATGTGCACATCAATATACATAAGCTCATCTATATATATTCATTGAAGTCCGTACTCTCCTCCTTCCGCCACACCAACAACGCTCAGTCCTTCCATTCAAGTTCTGTCCCACTTCTGAGTAGAGAGAACGAGGAATTCAAGTGTATATCAGTATCATTGATACTGAGACTCTCTCTACAGCGAGAGATTCGGCTTTTGCAGGTTTTTATTTCCGTAAACAGCCGCCACTATGGATGCAGTCGGTATGTCACGTCACGTACTTCCCTGTCGCATTACCACTAACGGATTTTCTTGAAGAGTTAAAAGCGGAATTGGCCATTCCATTCGATGCCCCCATAAAAGCTCGCAATCGAAAAACTTATGCCTCTTTTGGCGACGACGGTCTCACAGCAACGGCAAATGCTCATGGACATCTGATTCAGATTACACGATATTTCGGAAACGAACCATCAGGATTTATCTGTGTTGACCTTCCCGGAACTCCCGATCCCTTTCATGTGACAAATCGCATGAAGGAACTTCAAAGGTCTTGTGAAGACTCTGACAGAGGAATGAAAATTCGATTACCAGAATGGCTTGATCATGAGAATCAGAATCCCGATGACCTTAAATGGAAAACTGGGATACCAAAGATTCAATTCTACGAAGATCGCTAGCCTTGTTTCGTCGCAGATAATCCATGGTTATATTCCGAAGTTCAGTACTTCATTTCTGGAAAGACTGTGTATCAGATGTATACATTCAGCTCTGTTGAAGGAATGGAGGTTCTTTTTCCAAAAGAGTTTCCGCCACTGATAATTAGTGCCGACTTACTTCTCCGACATCTTGATTTCGTGACAGAGGAGAAACCAGTGAACATTTGGAATAGTCATTATCATGAGCAAAACAAGGCAGGGGATGATTACGAACATGGTACAAGTGCCAACGCAGACACCGTTTTCATCAAGCACAAAGGCTGCAAAACCGGCCAAGGCGAAAAAGACGCCATTTTGTCTATATCACCATATATAGACGACAGCCTTCAATCAGTCGGCCGCATTGGACAAAATGCCAACTACGAAATAAAAATACCCGAGCAAGCAAAAAAAGATCTATTAAAGAATTCACGAGTCAAAATTACATTGGCTTATACTCTCGAGTTGGTTTCTTCAGCTGATGCAGTCAGCAGCCCCCTCTCCAAACTTGATCTGGAGCAACTCAGAGGCCTTGAATACCGGCCACCGGTGTTCGCTGATGATAAGCATCTCAATTTTATGTTGAGAAGAAATCTGGAGCATATGTTATCTGTCTGCAGCATCCCTATAAACATCAACGACGAATCCAGAGATAAGATCATGCCAATTGCTTTAACATGTGGAGATATATCCGGCCATAGAATTGCCAGGAAAGCAAGCTTGTAAGTATACCTGTGCAATTTATCACATATATTCTTCAAATTAACAGGATGAAGCTATGCATTTCAATTTTTACTCAAAGCTTTTGGACATTTTGATAACTCTGATCTCAAAAATCCTGGAGGACAGCGCCTGGCCGACCATCCATTGGGCTTAGAACATGCAACTTGCGAAAATTACAGTTGTCGGATGAGGTTTCGCATTTGGAAGACATGCCGAGGGCATTTAACCTGGATAAGCAATCACATGAACACAGAGTATACGATCAGCAACGCAACTGAAGACGGAACTACCAAAGAAATCAAGGAGCAGGGTGTCGGCCCCCACTACTGGGCCAGCGGTCAAGTAATAGACGAATGGAACAAATACCCCGATGCATTTCCTGATAGAGAGATCACTGATGCGCCCATGCAACTTATCAAATTTGGAGAATTTTATCGGATTACTGGAGATGAAGATATATTTCGAGAAGCTCCGGCTGGCCTTGAGAATATCGCCAAGCACTGGGTCAGAAGTCTTCATGAGCGAAACAAGGGCGCCGCATATGCATTCCCGCGCATCAGAGAAGAAGAAACAGGGAAATTCTATCTCGCCGATCATGCTCTGATTTGGTGGGCTTCAAAATCGCTGGAAGAGCTCGGTCTTGGCTCAAATCTTGAATTTCAGCCCGATAATTCTGCGGATGCATCTGAACAGCGAACGATAAGATACTCATCCGACGAGATCAAAACCAACCTTATTAAGAGATTTACAATGGAGAATCCTGCCTCGAAAACGCGCATGATTGCAACTTCACGCAGCTCTGCAGAGACTAGATTCTCTCTTCTTGTGAGGGAACCGTCTTATTTTATGCTATGGACCTCGGCTTGTTCGATGCAGAGGTACCCGAAGGAAGCATCTCCATAAATAAGCACAAAGAGAGCTCCAATGGTGATGATAACATCAATAATACAAACGAAACATCGAATGAGACGAACGAAACATTAAATGAGACGATCGAAACATCGAATGAGATAAACGAAGCATTGGATGACATCTGGGGAAATGTAATTGACGAGTGGACAAATACAGTGAATTACCAAGCACAACGAGAGGACCAGCACGATGCTCATTGGAATCATCCACTTCAGTTTGGTCTTGCGACTATCATGTCTGCCAAGAATAAATGTACGAATTCAAGACTCGCAGCCCGGATGTTTGATATTTCGAGAAAGATTCTTTTCGAAATCTCCTCCCCTAACGGGCTTTTTCCAGGACAACTGGACGTATACAAGAGACCCGCTATCTTCAATAGAAGAATTATGTGTGATAGTTATTGGCAGGCCACTTTTGAAGTGCCATTTATTCTTTGGAAATATCCCATGCCTCCACCACCAGTCAAAGGATCGTCTATTAGCGTATCTGAGTCGACCTTTTCAGATATCAGAGGATTGGAGAATATCATCAAACTCCTGCCTAGCATGAATAGTAACGGGATACCAAACAATGTGATTGATCAGGGGAAAGTCGTAACGCTTTCAGATGAATGGCTCTACAATGAACTTGAATGCTTCAAGAATAACATCGACTTTTCAGAAAGCAATGTTGAGAAACTTTCAACGGACTACGCAACAAATACCCATATGACCGACATGACTGTCATAAGAAGGGCGACTCAAAAAATTCAAGAGACAATCGCTCGAAACACAGCACCTCAAGATACAACCCTTCCAGACACTCAAGAGAACATTTTGGGGTATATTATAGACATACCGCAAAGATCGGACAAAAAACAGGACACGCCCAAACCAGCCGAAATCAACTCGATCGGATCTCTGAATGAGATTTTTATTCGCAAGCGCACGATGAAGAATGCGAAGAAGAGACTTCTTCACTTTTGCCGCGCAACTGATGCAACGGCTTTAATTTGTTACATTTCTGCGTTTGGACACCCAGACATCTCTGCTTTCTTCTACAGGCACAAAGCATATACCAAATTCTTCCATGAAGAAACAAACGCAGTGCTTAATCTATGGGTTACTGAACTTCATTTATCATTTTATCGGATTGTTTCCCAGAAGATCTCTCCTGATATTACCCGCATCCCTGGCTTTGAGTATTATAACTTCCCACGAAGTAAAAACGAGAAAGTTGGTAATCGCAACCAGATGAGCAGAGCTGTGATGAGTTTCAGATTTGATGGAGACTTTTTCGATCGTCATTGGACATGCCTTTTTTTCGAATTCAACCCCCACCAGATAGATGAAAAAATATTCGACATAAGACAGGAAAGGATTACAGGATCTTTGAAAGCAGACCCTTGGAAGCAGAGACGGGTTTTGGAGCTCGTCTTATTCGGTAAAATCTTAAAGGAAATGGTTACATGCTCAGAAGTTCTTCTGGATGAGATTAAAACACGGGTTCTCGAAAGCTTCAAGAAAGGACCAAAAGAACCTAGATTATCTTCAACATTCCTGGATTCAATTGATCTATTTGACGACATCACGAGCAACATATTTATATCAAACAACAAGTCGTGGAACATATTTCAATACATACTCCAAGTGGTAGAAGAAGATCTTGGCGACAATTTAACCAAAATTGAGCTTTGGATGAAGCGAAAAGAGCGGCCAGATCGCAATAAGCCCAGATGGACACTCAACGACGAACGCAACTACTGAGGCGCCATATATAGGTTACAGAAGTCAAATGACATTCTAGCCCAACAGCTCAAACTGTGTTATACCAGAGCTAAATCTTTCAATGCCTCACTAACGAAGAGATTGGAGTCTACGCGCGGCGAGTGGGAGGTTGGGAGTAATGACGATATCCGTCGTTTTACGTATGTCACGGTCGTTTTTCTCCCTATCAGCTTTGCTACAGGCGTCTTCAGCATGAGTAGTGCACCGGCAAAGGAGACACTAAATAGCATGATTACAACCGCTGGTCTTGCACTCTTAATTACTGCTATGACATTGCTTAACGCCAAAGTTTTGGACAGGAAAATCGTCAAGCCTTTCCTTGCCAATTTTCGCCCAACATCTGAGGCAACATTGCGGCTTTTTTTATACAGTCTTCTTTATGTATTTGGAATATCGTTCCGTTTAGCACACCTAATGCTGGTTTCTCTCCTTTCAATTCTGCCCGGCAAATGGATTTATTGGCTATGTCGCACCTTGATCTCGCTGGCCAAAAAATTATTATCTCGGCTATACAACGTCACGAACGCGCCTAAACTTTTCTTAGATAGGGAAATTAAAGGGAAGAACAATGAAATTGGAAAAAAAATTAGAAGAGCAAGGGAAAAACAAACAAATTAAACAGAAATTGGTAGACGAAGAGCAAGGTCAAAATAGCGAGAGGACATGATATCAGTCCCTTGACTCAAACTCGAAAGCTCGGAGGTTGGAAAGATGTTGTGTAGCTTAAATGTTCCTCGTTGGGTATTAATGAGTTCATTCTAATTTATTTCCTCCTTTTGAATAGCAAGATTATGACTTGAGTGGTACCTGGTATGCAAAGAATTACCTGAGACAAACTACGGCGCGCAATTGAACTCTTTCCAATGTTCCAAAATCTGCATAAATGCTGCGGGTATAATTATTACTTAGGAACAATTGGATACCTTTGAGAACAGGCATGAGTATAATCTCTCATTGATCAACTGTCACTTCTTATTGAACGCGATATTATGTCTCGAACAAAATGTCTGTACCTCTCAGCACTACTCATTTAAAGTAGGATTACAAATGAGAAGCCACGAAGCACATTCTCGCAGAAGTCGGCAATTACGTTAGCTTATGGATACTTGCTACAATCAAGGTAGCTATCTTCAATTCGTTCTGCGTATCTTGGTAAATAACACTAATTCTATACCTAGGTGCATTTCTGAGCCACCGATACCAGTTGACCGGCTAGGGCTAAGATACCCACATATGATTCAGCGTTGAAATTGCATGGTATTCGTGCATATAAAAGTTGAGTGGCCATTGACAAATGTCAACCTCCTCACGGCTAATTGCAAGATCAACTAGACGAATTTCTCGGTAACCAAGCCGTCATGCTTCGGAAAGTTCTGACGTAGCGGACAAATAGAAAGCTGAGAACGTCTGAGGGTGTCATGAACCAGGGTTGCAAATACGTGGCATGCGGGGTCCAATCGTAGGAAATACATTGGCCAAGTTGTAGCCGCAGAAAGCCTTTTGGTGGAATTACGACGGCTTGAGGAGCTATAGCCGGGATCACTTATCAAAAGACAGGGGCTATTGGTTGTCCAGCTGTCAGCCGCATGCTGCCCGATGCTCAACTGGGAACCGGGTCTTGCAGTTTGTAGCCTGGTCCCATGCAATGGTGGTAAAAAGGTGTAGAAGTATGTCGCGGTTGATATCTGTCATATAACTGCTCCATATCCATATTCCCGTTACAAATTTTGGCAAGGCGAATAGTACAGCCATCTCCTCCCGCAGTATGAAGAGAAAAACTTCAGTATGTCCGCATGAGTACAGGTATCTAGGCTCTCATATTACGGAACAACGTCAGATCAATACAGAAAAGCCTTCAGGTTCGCAACCACTCGAGTCCATGTTGACCGCTTTCCTCAGCGCCACAGTTGATCCATCGGCCTCCTTACCTCCAGCCTCCCTGCAGCTCTGGGAGGAAGAGGCAAAGCTCTCAGATACCATCGCCATCTAGCATCATCAACACTGTCCTTTTTTTCTGCACTATAAGAAGCTGCCTCTTATGGCCATCACTGGTATGCCATCTGTTCTCCCACGATACTGCAATAAACTTACAGAGCTACATACAGAAGAAGAACTTCCGAGCGCCACATCGATCCCTAATAAAGCTCGCAAGAATGCTCGTCTACGGACAACTTACAGTTCTTTTGGTCAAGATGGCGTCACGGCAACTGCAAATGCTTATGGACACTTGCTTCAAATTACTCAATATTTCGGCAATAAGCCATCTGGATTTGTCGCTGTCAACCTGAACGAAACAGAAGAGCCGCATTTTGTCAAATGGCGCGCACATGACCTGCAACAGCAATCCATAGATCCAACCCAAGGAATGCGCCTTTTATTGCAGAGGCCTGCCGATGATACATCTGCCATCGACATATGGGACACGAATCCTAAGACGATGTCGGTGCCAGCGAATGTCTCACCCTCACCGCTGGTGAAACCACCACCACGAGCGAAACCGTCGCCACCAGAAAAATCATCAAAGGCGGGCCGATATGATGTGCCAGTACCTCGGCCGCAGTGGGTAAATCAGTCAGAGTCTGGATCAGGATCAAATGTAAGATTTGTGCATAACCGTTGGCCGTGTTTCTCTACAAAGACACCTGCATTCGATATAGACATACAATATGTCATATCCAACAAGACTGTGTATCAAACATACACATTCAAACTCTGCCAGGGGTCACAAATCTTCTCTGAGATTCCGACAATCGTCATAGATACCAATTTATTGCTCCGAGATCTAGATTTTATGGCAAGAGAAGAGATGAAAGAGTACGGTCTGGAGCCCCATTACTCTAGTCGCATTACAAACGACGGCTACTCTGTAGCCCGGATGCATAGCGACTATCTCTATCATAGGCATAGTGACGGCCGAAACGCAAACAAGGATGATCGAAACACAATCGCTCTATTCATATCGCCCTTCATTAATGAGCAGCCTCAGCAACCTCAGCAGTTTTCGCAACCTGCCCCCGAAGATCTCGACAATTACTTTGTGACTCCAAATGAGCAAGCTTGGAACGACTTAATAGAAAACAAGACACTTGAAATTACACTAGCATATACATTGAAGTTGATCACTTTAAAGGAAGAAGACATCGCCACATCTCCAGTGTCAGCAGCAGATCTCAGGAAAGCAAAAGAGCAGATCAACAGACGTTCTCCAGACATGGTACCGATCACCATTGACAAACACCTTGATTTTGTTTTGAGCCGAAATTTGGAGCACATATTATCTGTCTGTAGCATCCCCATCAGGAAAGTTTCAGAGGAGATTTATGCAATCGCTATTACTTGTGGTGATATCTCTGGTCACCGGGTTTCTGGGAAAGCAAGTTTGTAAGTTGACATGAGATACCTTTACGTTCCGTGAAGCTAATCTACACAGCCATGCTTTTCAATTCTTGCTCTTAGCCTATCAATATTTCGATTCCAAGGTTCCAGAAAGCGGCCTATGCACATTGGAAAAATGCACATGTGAGGACTATTGTTGCAATATGCGCTCCCGCATCTTTCGAGTGTGTCAGGGACATCTGGAGTGGCTCTTTGGTGAAGATCATGGTTTCAGTCCTCACAGGTGGGCTACCGGGAGAGCAATCGCAGGATGGGAGAGCAATCCTACTCTATCCGAAAAGTCTGTGGTTGACGCCTCTCTTAACATTATTAAAGCCGCAGACTTCTACCGGATATCGAAAGCGACACCGGATACCATTGACGACTTCAGAGGCGACGTTAACGACTGGATTGAAGATCTTCATCGGAACAACCAGGACATTGAATACGTTTTCCCACATTCCTCGGAAGACCTGCCGCTGCAGTTCCAATTATCTGATCATGCGATAATCTGGCGCGCTCTCAAGTCTTTGGAATTGATCGGGCTCAGTTCAGAGCTGAAAGCTAATACCATACCCGGGCGCCGCAAATCTAGTTACTCGTCTAGGAAGATCCAGGACAGCATATTCAAGAAGTTCACCACAGATTGCACGCAATTGAGCGAGCGTTTGATGGCGACTTCACGCAGCTTATCCGAGACCAGTTTCCTACTTCACATGGAGGACACTGCGACACTATATGCTATGAAAATGGGTTTATTCGATCTTCCAAAAAGAGAAGAATTAGTTCGGAGAATGACTATTGAGTCAAACGATGAGCCAGATAACGTGGCTCCGGGAATGCCAGTTGGCGCATCAACTAGCAGATCAGATAACGACTTGACGGACCCCTGGAGAAATAAACACGAGGCCTGGATGGCTACAATAGACAGCCAAAAACTGCACGAGGATAACGACGACGATAATTGGGATCATCCCCTCCAGTATGCATTGGCCATGTGTGACGAACCGGGTCCTATAGGCTCTATAGGTTAACTGTTTCCAAGGGACAAACCTTAGAGTGGTTCTATGGTTTATGTTGGCGGAGGCGATCAGGTCGGTAACGGGCAATCTTATCACCAGCTAGTTAATACGAATAAGAATAGATGTCTGTGTTCTAATCTAATTGTATTATAAACGCTGTAATAACAACTGGCTATTTAAGTATTCTAATAAGTGATATAAAGTGAACTTATATATCCAGTCGTGTATTCTGGAGTCGAGTGGAATCGCTTATGATCTTAATCGATTTGTTCCTGCGTTGATTAGAATTGATGTTAATTCCCGTCGACCGCTTCCTGATTGGCTGCGCGGCCCGACGTTAATCCGGGAGTACCTACCCTGTAGGCCCCTTGTTGCGACTATAAGAGCTGGGTCGTGATATGATTCTCCCCCTCCTGTTGGTCTTGTCCCTAAGACCAGGTGATCTAGTATATAAGTATCTACACCTCCTACTTGTAGGTGTTCTTCTTGTTCTGTTACCTGTTTGTTGCTAAAATGACTTTCCGCGTTTAAAAATCTACTGACTTAGCTAATATAAAAGGAAAGAAGAAGAAACTTAACAGGAGTGTGGCATTTACTGCTTTTATATTATCGCAATCTGTTAAAATAAAACCCTGCTTCTATTGTAAAAAAAAGGGATCCCAGTGTTTAGCTTCCGAGGTCGACTTAAGTTACTGCTTGAAGTATGTTGAGGATTATAAATCTTATTATAAGGCGTTTCTTACACCTTAACAATTATTACGTATTTTCCGTCGGCGCGACTAGCTTAACAGTGAGGTTGAAGCCGTCGAAGAGGAAATTGCGAATCTTATGGCTAAAGTTGTTTGTCTTCGGAAATAATATAAGGAATAGTCTGAAAAGGCAGCGCGTGCGGTATCCTGGGGTATTGACAATTTAGCGGAGCTGGAGCAGTTGGAGCAGAAGGAGCGTGAGGCAGAGGCCGCTCTTCAGGCTGCTATAATATAGTCGGCAGAGGGTTTTTCCGAGGTCGTCTCCGCTTCTTTAGAATCAGTAGATTATTTAGGGATATTATCGATGGATCCTGAGCTAGCACGATCTCTAGGCTTTGATGGAGTTTTTCCACCAGCGCCATTGAGTTCTTAAGATACTCAATAGGTTCCTATGTTTCTTCTTTTTCTTCCCCTTTTTCCTATTATACCCTATAGCGTCGTTTGCCGTCTTCTCCTGTTTTTATCACATTAATGTCTTTTACCTTATATTCTTCTTCTTCTCCTTCAACAATGATTTCGTCCTAGATAAATCTTCTAGTTTTTTCGTCGATTTATACTTTTTCTAGCAGGGAGATGTGAAATATCGGATGTATATGTTTTCCTCGTTTTTCCTATTATTCTGGAAGTTCGAGTTTATAGTTTACTTCTCCGATTTTTCTTAAAATTTTATAAGGTCTAAGTTTCTTAAAATCAAGTTTATTGCTTAGCCTGTTTGTTTTGATGTTTGCTTGCTTGTTTCCTTGTGTATATTAGTGGAGCTAGACCATATCCCCTTCCTAAAGGGTTGGTCCTTTAATCCTGTTTTTATCTGCGTATTTAATCATCCTTTATCGGACGAATTCAAGTTATTGTCGCAGTTCGTTGTGTAATTTAATTATGTCTTCTGCCTTAATTATAGCTTTTTTGACATCTTCCCCTTGCCTTGGCGGTCGGTAGGCTTCGGGTTTGAATCTATAGTTTAGGAAGAACGGTGATTTCCCAGTTAATTCTGATTCCATGCTGTTATAAGCAAGTTATACGACGGGGAGGAGTTCTACTTAGTTGTTTTGCTTGAAATTAATGTAATAGCATAGATAGGTCTTAATTATTTGGTTAATCCTTTCCGTCTATCCGTCTGTCTGTAGGTAGTAGGCTGTGCTGGCCTTATAATTTATTCCTAATCTAGCTGTAAGTGCTTTCCAGAATTTAAATACGAATGTGTTTCCTCTATTAGAGATCATGTCCCCCGGCAGTCTATGGTTACTTATGACGTATCTTATTATTACATAAGCTAATTCTTCTGTATTACTGGCTTCCTTAAATAGTATAAAGTAGGCTATTTTCGTAAGTCTGTCGACTACTACGAAGATGCTGTCGTAGAGTACCCTTGTAACTGGTTCTCTTAAAGAAGGTAGTTTAGTGATTAGGTTAAATAAGATTAATTCCTATGGTCGCTGTGGTATAGGTAGTGGTTGTAGCTGTCCGTAGGGTTTGTGCTTGGAGCTTTTGGCTCGTCCGTATGTCATATATTCTAATATAACCTTCTGTACCTATTTCTTAATACCTTTAAATTTGAAGTATTGTGCGATTTATTGTATAGTTTTTCTAATTCCACGGTGTCCGTTAAGTTTGTGTGCGTAGACTAATTTCACTACTTTGCTTCATAAGTCTTCTAGTACCCAGATAAGTCTATCTAGTGTCAGGTATCCAGTGTCTATAGAAACACCTTCTAGGTATTATTCATTTTCCCAGTTCTTAACGTATTCCTTTATATCGTCAATAATCGGGTCATCTATCTTAATTTAGTATAAGGTATTAATTAATTAAATAACTAGGTCTTTATACTGGTTTTTCTCCAGTATTTATGCCTTAACTTCCGGGATTTCTTAGAAGTGGTCTAGGCGCCTGCTGAGTGTATTAGCGCGTCCGTTGTCTAATCCGCTGTAGTATTTAATAATAAGCTTAAACTCGGAGAGTCGCTTATAGTACTTGACTTATCTGCAGGATAGTTCTTGTGTCGTTATGAAGTAAGTAATGTTCCGGTGATCCGTGAGGATTGTCACTGGAAATCGACTTCCTTTATAATAGTATCTCTAATGCTGCTTACTAAGCGCTTAGTATATGGCTATAAATTCTTTATCGTAGATAGGATATCTGAGTTCTAGTCCGTGTAGTTTCTTAGAGAAGTAGGCGATAGGCCTGAGTTTCTCTTTTTCGTCTGGTTGGCTGAGTACTCCTCCGATCGCATAGTCTAAGGCGTCGGTTTCGATTATAATAGGTTTATTTAGGTTAAACATTATAAGTACTGGTGCACTGGTGAGGGCTCGTTTAAGGCGTTTGAAGGCTGTTAGAGCGTCTTGTGTAAGTTCGAATTTAACGTTTTTCTTTATTAAGTTCGTGAGTGGCGTGGCAATTTTTAAGAAGTCCTTAATAAAGCGTCGGTAGTAATTAGCAAGTCCTAAGAAGCTTTATACTTGCTTGACGTTCTGTAGCGGTTCCTAATTGTTAATCGCCTTAAGTTTCTCAGGGTCCATTTAGACTCTGCCTGGGGTAATAATATATCCTAGGAATATAACTTTCTATATGTAGAAGTTGCATTTCTCAGGTTCTACCAGGAGTTTGTTGTCTTAGAGTATTTATAGTACCTTCTTAACGTGCTCCTTATGTTCTTCCAAGTTCTTAGAGTAGATAAGGATGTCGTTAAGGTATATAATAATAAAATAATCTACGTAGTCTCGTAGTACGTAGTTAATTATTTTCTGGAAAAATACTGGGGCGTTTGTAAGTCCAAAAGGCATTACCTAACATTCGTAAAGTCTATATCTTATGCAGAAGGCGGTTTTCCATTTGTCGCCTTTCTTAATTCAGATAAGGTTATATGCTCCTTTAAGATCTAGCGAAGTGAAGATCTTGGCTTCTATAAGCCGGTCTCTGATTTCCGGAATCAGTAGTAGTAGCGTAATATCTTTCTTAGTTATCGCGTTTAATTATCGGTAGTCTATAATAAGTCGAAGTTTACTGTTCTTTTTAGGCACGAATATAACTGGATATCCTGCTGAGGATTTAGAAGGTCTGATGTAGCCTTTCTTCAGCTGGTCTTTAATCCATTTGTTAAGTGTTTTAAGTTTAGTAGTACTTAGGTTATAGATTTTGTTAAACGTTAGGACTTTATCGTCCATAAGCTTAATCTCATGATCCCATTGGCTGTGTTCTAGTAGTCTAGTGTTAAGTTCTTTATTAAAGACTGGCATATACTGGAGGTCTGTTAGTATATTCTTTAAACGTTCTGGTGTTTGTTGGTCTCGGTGGTATAATTCCTTAACCTTTTGTATAATCGAGTTAAGAAATCTAAGCTATTTCTTTTTTGGTTTCTTAACGTATTCGACTGTCCTTAGGAGCTTCTTTAGCTCCTCTAATCATACTTACTTTATAATTTTTTATTTTTCCGTGTGTTTTTTCGTTTCTTAGTTTAATACAGGGGTCACTGATCCTATCGTCGGGGATGTTATGGCATTCTGTTGATCCTCCTGATTTAGTTACAGTGTATCTCTGAAATTAATTAGTTTAGGGCAAGTTCGCTATCTCGCCTGGCCTCTGATCTAGTTAATGTCGGGGTTACGTAATTTAAGCTAATCGTATCCTAAGAGTATATTATATCCTGCGATATTTGCAATGTCGAATTTAAACGTATCCTTAATTTCACTAAACTAGATTATAAGGTGATCGGTTTTGCGGTTGATAGTTCCGTTGTTATATGTAAATTATTATTTCTTAATGCTCGCAAGGGTATATAGTTTCTCCTTTTTATAATAGTTTAACTGTAGGCGGTTAACTAGTTAAGGCGCAATGTAGCTTGTCGTGGCTCCGGAATCTATGTAGACTGTAATTAGTTTATTGTTTAACCATCCGTCTACTAGGAATTTCCGTAGTTTCTTTCCTCCTGTTATAGTATTCAGGTTGTGGTAGGTTGCATCGTCGGCGCTGTTATAATAATTATTGCCGTAAGGGTTAATATTGATGTCGTCTAGGTCTGAGGTGATCCATCCTGGTTCTTTGTTTCGAATATTATAGTGTTTACACTAGGTGCATCCGGGTTTAGGTATATGTCTGGCGGTAAGCTTGTAGTATTTCCGAAGGTTGTTCTAGTTGATTCCTCGTAATTCGTTATTATCGCTATGTCTTGCTAGGTTGAATCCTTATTGTTCCAGGTTGTAGGTGACGTATGCGAGGGCTCGGCGTTGGTACTGATGTTTCTTATAACGATCTTTATTACAGAGCGTAAATTTTTTTTATCCATATTCTGCAGCCCCGTGGTCCTTATGCTATTCCTAAAGTTTGATTATAGTATATTATTTACACAGTAGTAGCTTGTAGTTAATAATATTAGCTTTGTTATATTAGTCTGTGAGTAGGATGTCGTTGACGTAGTATAGGGTCGATTCTAGTGTCTTAGCTATTGGGTATTCATCTACGTTAGTCTCGATGTATTGTCGAAACCGATTTCCGTATAATTAAATCCGGTCGTAGGCGGTACTTAGATTAATCTGTTTAATCTATCCCCATCGTTCAAGGAGTCTCTGTTAGTCTTTAAGTTCTTTTTGTCGTACGATTTCGTTATAGCATTAGTTTTCTTCAATAATACCTTAGATTCCGTATTAATCTTTGTGTTATTCCCAGTCGGCTGTGGTTATCTTACAAGGGTGATATAGTCCCTTAGGTTCAACCGATCCGCACTAGTCGCACATATGCTTCTTAAGGTCGTTGATTTCTTCCTAAGTTATTCCTTCATAAGGGTTATATTATGTCGGAGGTGCTGTATCTAGAAGATCCTCGTTATACTAGCGTATATCTTCGTTTTGTTTCTATTCTTGGAGTACCTCTTCCTTATCCTTGAATTTATTGTTTTATTCTTGCTCGTCGAGGCTTTATTGAATAAGTTGTTTAACGTAGCTGAGGTCCTCCTGGGTGTCTTCTTCAAGCGTGTTTAAGGTTTGTGTACGCCCTTTGGGGTACTATCCTAATCCTTGTTTATCGCTGCGATAGGTCTGACAGTTATTATTATAGTACGCTGAGAAGTATAGGATATCATGGTCTACCGAAGGTCTTATAGTATTAATAGTTCGGTTCTCCTTAGGCTCTGGGACAGGCGTGAATTTCTTATCACTATCTTTCTTAGGGGCTTGATAATATTTCTTTACGTATCCTTTCTTTCTATAATTATAGTATTTAATGTTCTTACGTTATACCTTAATAATACTAAGGTCCATAGGTCCTGGCTTTCTATCGTTATATATTGCAAGGTCCTTTTTCTTTCCTTAGTTAACGTTATTACCGGAGTAAAGATGCTTTGGGACTGTCTTCTAGGGATTTCCCTCTCTCTTACGTTCCTGGCGTTGCTGAAATTGTCGTTTATTAATATAAGTAGCTTTTTCCGCAAGTTTATCAAGGGTATCAGGTTTTTTATCTCTAGAGAGTTTATCCTTAACGTCTAAGTTAAGTCCCTGGTAGTAGAGCATGCGTTATACTTTATTATTTAAGTTAGTCCTGGCAGCTAGGTGTATAAAAGCAGTAGTATACTTTACACAGGGTCCTTTTTGCTTAATTTAAAGGAGCGCATCTTCGGCTTCTTTAGACTTATTAGTTTTTCCACATAGTTTCTTAAGTTATTTTTCGAACGTAGTGTAATTGTTGAATAAGTCGATTATGTATTATTTCTTAGGTATCTTAGTTTATTTAAAATCCCTAAGGTGTAGTTTAAACCAGTCTTTAGCGGTTTTAGATAAACAGGTTCCTGCAGTTTGAATCTTTATAATATTGTTAGCTATGGTGGTCGGAAAGTAACTAAAGTAGTTTCTTATATCCGTGAAAAATTTCTGAATTTGCTTAGGATCTCTTTTAAATTTGTCTGGCAGTGGTAGTTTAATAATTTCTCCGGGTTCCTGTTGACATACCGCAGGGGCTGGGTTTACTACGGGGTTTACTACTGGTGTTTGTCTTTAAAGCGTCGTTATAGTAGTTGCTTGGGTAGTAATTGTTTGGCGTAACTAATCCATAAGTTCTTTAAGTGCTAAAAAGCGTTATTTAGCTTCTTGCGTATTAGCTGGCGGTTAAGGGGCTATTTCGACGTCTTTAGGGGTTTCTTCGAAATTATCTTGTATTTCGATGTCGCTGTTGTCGTAATCACTTTGAGCTTCGCTCTCGTAATCAGTGTCGTTGTCTAGGACTTGGAAGCTTATTAGCTATTAAGTCCTTGGTGTCTTATTGCCCGTAGGTCTAAGGTGACCGTCTGAATAAGAGTTGTTATTGTATAATGAACCGGGTCCTATAGGCTCTATAGGTTAACTGTTTCCAAGGGATAAACCTTAGAGTGGTTCTATGGTTTATGTTGGCGGAGGCGATTAGGTCGGTAACGGGCAATCTTATTACCAGCTAGTTAATACGAATAAGAATAGATGTCTGTGTTCTAATCTAATTGTATTGTAAACGCTGTGATAACAACTGGCTATCTAAGTATTCTAATGAGTAATATGAAGTGAACTTATATATCCAGTCGTGTATTCTGGAGTTGAGTGGAATCGCTTATGATCTTGATCGATTCGTTCCTGCGTCGATTGGAATCNACGTTGATTCCCGTCGACCGCTTCCTGATTGGCTGCGCGGCCCGACGTTAATCCGGGAGTGCCTACCCTGTAGGCCCCTTGTCGCGACCATAAGAGCTGGGTCGTGACACCATGGTCTTATCTGCAAGAGGCATCCATATGAATTCTCAAACGCCCGCACAAATGTACACATTTGCACGATCGATACTGCTGCAAAGCTCCTCTCCAAATGGACTGTTCCCCGGACTGTTGGACGAGAATAAAGACCCGGCTCTTTTTGAAGATGACGATGCCTATTGGCATGCTTCGTTTGAAGTACCGTTTATTCTCTGGGAAACAAAAAAGTATTCGCCAAGAACTGAAGACAATAGCACCGATGAAACTTCCAGCTCATTTTTACTACGACGGAACTCAGCTGAAGCCTCTATTTCTGGCGCAGGCTTTGTAAAGAGATACGAACCGTTTACCGAAACCTCTGATTTGGGGCCAAATTACGAATGGCTTTACAAGGAGCCTGAATTCTTTGGCTTTCGTATTGATCTGTCATCAAAGGCCATTGAGAAATTTTGCGAAGAGCACAGACGGAACGTCGATAAAAGTTCTGAGACCATCAACAGAGCAGTTGATGCGGTTCAATCTCCAAAGCAAGATACTCTACAGGATTATGGATATATTATCGACATATCAGGGCCTGAATATACCAAAATACTTGGTCAAAGAAACTTGCCTTTCAGAATTTTCTCGCCTGACAAGATTCGATCTTTCATTGGAGGGGTTCGCGACACAACGAATGCGAAGAAGAGGTTCTTCCATTTTTACCGTGCCAACTTGGATGTCGCATTGAACTGTTATCTGGCGTCTTCAGAAGAAGAAGAAATATCCTCTTTCTTCGACAAGCATTCGTCATATAGTAAATATTTCTTCGAGGATACGACTGCCATTTTCAACAAATGGGTAACAGAACTGCATTTGTCGTTTTATCAGGTCGTTCCAGATGATGCCACTTTCCAGGCCATCCCTTGGATGGAGACGTTTAAGTTTCCAGATTCTGCAGGAAGTGAAAGCGACAAGCGTGTTGGCCGTGCTGTTATGAGCTTCAGATTTGATGGAGATGTTTTTGACCATTATTGGACGTGTCACTTTTTTGATCATAATCCACAATGGTTGTCTAACACTCAAGCAGGCCGTCCACTAATTAGCTCGAGGCATATTAGCGGTACTTTAGAAGCCGACCCCTGGCAGCAACGGAGAGTTTTGGAGCTTTTGCTATTTGATATCATTCTTAAAGAAATGATCAAAGGTACCAAAGGAATTCTTGAAGAGATCATGACGAGTGTTTTGACAAGTTCCCACTCCCACAAACATCGAGCCACGGATCAGCCGACAGTCGATTTTTCTGAAATCGATGCATCAACTCTCTTGAATGCTCTTGAAGTGCTTTCTAAAGTCGACAGTAACACTTTCGCTTCAAAAAACGAACTATGGAACAAATTCCAGCGTATTCTTCAAGTCATCGAAGACGACCTCAAAGAGAGTCTAACAATGATTGCACTTTGGACAGATCGAGAAGAAAAAAGAAACATTATCAAAGCAGGGTGGACTCCTCGTAAGGAGCAAAAATACCAAGGAGCAATATCCAGATTAAAGCTACTAAATAGCCACAAAATTCACGAGCTGAGAAGATGCGGTGCTAATGTAGCATCGTTCAACATGCTACTTACCAGGAGATTGGAGGTAATGCGCAACGACTTGGACACCAAAAGCAACGTTGATATCCGACTCTTCACATATGTTACAGTTGTCTTTCTTCCCGTCAGTTTTGCCACAGGAGTGTTCAGTATGAGCGGTGCGCCAACAAGGGAGCTGTTAGGCAGCATGGCTTCGACAGCGTGTGTTGCTCTGTTGATAACTGTGGTAGCATTGCTCAACGCAAAGGTCTTGGGCGCAGAACTCTTCGGACCCATCTTTAATGGCATTCGACCGCTGTCCGAGGCAGCACTGCGTCCAATATTCCGCTTTTGCACTGGATTGATCTATCTGGTCTTACTCTCCATTATATCGATTTTGCCCAACAAATGGATTTATTTCCTTCAAAAAAGAATTGAAAAAGCAGCATCAGAGCAGTCAAGTCTACAGACTAGTGCAAATGAAGGCTTCATCGACCGCAAAGTAAAGCAAATCCGAAACAAAGTAAAAGAAATCGAAAAGGAAATCGGGGAAGAAGAAAGAGAAAGGAGAAAGAAGCAGAAAGAAGAGAAAAGGAGAAGGAAAGAAGAGGAGGAGGAAGAAAGAAGGAGGGAGGAGGAAGAGGACGAAAAAGAAAGGGAAAGAGAGGGAAAGAAAAGAGAGTCAAAGGAAAAAGAAGAGGGCGTCGAGGAGAGGCGAGAGGAGGTCGCGAGTTTACGTCAAGCCGACCAAGATCCGGCGACAGCAAGAGGACGCACCGGAGATTCTAGCGACAATACAGTCGCAATGTCTAACATGGATGTCGATGAAGGAGCTCCAAGAAACATTTTCGAGCGAATACGGCATCGGTTTGGGGGTGGAAGGTCGAGAATTAATAGGTCGGATGTATAGCTCAAATGCTTTACGCGAAGAAAGCTTTCGGCGCCGTCGTTGGTCACTCTATTGGCATTACGTTATCTACATTGAAGAAATCATATAGAAAGAATCTTCATAAATAATGTAACATATGGTTTCATGTCTTTCTCATCGATTTGGGTTGGTGCTAAAGCAAAGAGGTATAGTTATTCTAAAGATCGCATGGACTACGTGCAATAATAAATATTGACAATTCACTTAGTCCCACTCATCTAATGGCGCGTACGAAAGCTGTGAAAACGACGATTAATGAAATATAAACATCTCGAAATCTGAAAAATGGGGGGATGAGCTCGGGCGCGAATAGCGAGAACTTTTTGATGAATAGGTCGATAGGCGACAATATTACTCTTGTTAACTGCGTGCTACCCAGATACGTTGTTGATTGTATCATTTAGGATGTTGGATAATTCATTCATCGCGAGCTATGTGTATGGATTAATATGTGCACGCAACTCTGCTGTTGCGGCTGTTGATCACGAGGGTATCTTTTCGGGTAGTTGGTAAGAGCAACAAGGAATGTGGATACTAGAAATGCATCGGAACATGGCATAGGTAACATCTATTGGGTAACATCTATTAACAAATGCTCTGTATGTTGGTTGGTCGTATGGTGGTAATGAAATATTTCACCGCCACACTCATCATGTCTCTACGGGTGTGTTAGATGCAACTACCCATTCTCCAGCCTATTATCTGAAGAGGCAACCAAGAAATCGCTTCCGAAGGATTTGTGAAACGACGAGGCGACCAATGATGGACCAACAACAGAGCAAGCCACATATTAAGATGCATTCAGCCGCAATTAAAATGCATGGATTATTGGCCTAGCCTGTCGAGTCATGAGGAGTTTGTGCCTCAATGGTGATACGCTGAAAGTTCACCGAATGGTTACCTGATTTCTCTGTTGCCTAGTACATAGTATAAGTAGTAATGAGTGTTCTTCCTAAGAATCAGAGAGCTCACTCCATCCGCATAGTGCTTGTTGTCTACTCTATTGATCTCTCGTTAAGGTGCATTTAGCAAGTGTTATTACGACTCTAAAGCTTCGTCCGTTTTTCCCCACATTGCTCTTCAGGTGCCGTTAACTTGGTTCACTACTTTTTTTTTTTGAAGAACTCCTAGGATAAAGCCTGAAGGGCTAGTATACTGTTTCACTCCTTGTTATAAACTTAGCCCATTTACCGAAATTTTATACCTCTATTTATTGAAAATGTCGCTTTCCATGACAACTAGTATGTTCTACATTTACTCTTGCCCTGTTAGCAACTATTAATGCTAAATGCTTCCAGACCAAGAGTCTCCACCAATCTCTGATGATAAGAATGACAAAGTTCGTCATCATTCGACTTACGTCTCATTTGGAGACGAAGGGGTCACCGCTACTGCAAACTCTCATGGCCACTTGCTACAGATGACGCGCTATTTTGGGAATGAAGTGCCTAGATTTTTCTGTGTCGACCTCATTGACACTCCGCCACCAAGTTCAATCACTGATCGCATGCAGAAGATACAGGACTACTTGAGAGAGTTCGATGTAGGAATGAAACTTCATATTGAACATCCCGGAGATGTCGATCCTCATATTTGGAAGGCAAACACAGAAACCCCAACACTGGATTTTGTGCATGATCGTTGGCCACGCTTCGTTACTGCAACTCCGAAGTTTAATCTCAGCATCCAGTACCTTATTTCTGAAAAGACTGTGTATCAGATATATAATTTCAAGTTTCGTCAACGCGAAGACTTTACGAAACTTCCGCTCCTGGCTCTAAATGCCATGTCGCAACTTCGACATCTCGACTCCATCACGGCTGGCGATGACCACGAGAATTATTCCGATCATTTATCAACCGACAAAAATTACATTATAAGAACTCGAACTATTTGCCAGACAGCACAAAATAATCAGAAGACGATAGCTTTAGTTATAACGCCAGTGGTTAATAAGCGCCATCAACAACTTAAACATAGGCCTGAAATTGGAGACTATCAAATTATTCTGGACGAAGGAGCACTGCATCCTTTGAAGCAAGAGGGGACATTAGAGGTTATACTGGCTTACCGGCTTGAGTTAATTTCTTCAAGCGAGATAGCGCACATGTCTCTCATTTCTACTGAGCCCGTCACTACAGCACAGGGGTTACTGGAAATTCCTTTCGAAACGCCAGTATTCTCTCTGGATAAGGATCTCAACTTCAACATGAGACGAAATTTGGAGCATATACTGTCTGTCTGCAGTATCCCGCTGAGTTTTGATGTGGATGGAAATAACCCGTCCATCGCCCTCACATGTGGAGATGTATCTGGTCATAGAGTCTCAGCTACAGCAAGCTTGTAAGTGCAAAATATCCAGAAGAGTGAGACTACTGTGCTCAACGCTGACATGACCAGTTACGCTTTTCAATTTCTCCTGTCGACACTTGAATATATAAACGATCAATCTCGGAGTGTATACCAGTCGGAGAATGCCTTCAGAGAAGACGGTTACGCTTCTAGAATGAGATTTCGCATCCACAGAATATGCCGAGGGCATTTAAAATGGTTAAGCGAGAATTTGAAGCTGGATCAAGGAAGTTTTAGTCTCAGCTACAGGGCCAGCAGCACACCAATAACGAACCATGATAACAACCCCAATTCACTTAAACAATCACTCATCGATATAGCTTTACACATCATCAAAGCAGCAGATTTTCATCGAGCAGCCCTGGCGGACGAAAACACGAAATTGGATATTGTGAACGGATTCCGACCTATCGTCAAAGATTGGATCACAATACTTGACGCAAAAAATAAAGGACGTCACTTCACGTTTCCAAACTTGAGAGAAGAGATGGACCAGTGGATATTCGATCTCTCTGATCACGCTGTAATTTGGTGGGCAATTAAATCGGCAGAAGAGCTCAAACTTGGTGCAGAACTTCGAGCCGACAAAATTCCAGGAACCAACATATGCCGAGACAGCGTTTCTTATTCATCTAAGATGGTCCGTGAAAGCATTTTAAAAAGGTTCACAATCGAAAATTCATTATTCGAGAAGCGCATGATTGCAATCTCTAGGAGCTCAAATGAAACAAGGTTTCTATTGCGGGCCAAAGACACTGCTCTTTCTTTGCCATGGAACTTGGGCTATTTGATCATGACGCCTTGACTAACGATGAATCTGATATCTGGCGGAACAAATTTGAAGCTTGGGGATGCACGGTGGATTATCAGAAAGAATGTGAAGATGATCAAAATGCAAATTGGGACTGGCATCAACCACTCCACTTTGCATTGGCTTTAATCATGTCGTCGAAGAATAAGCGAATAAATTCACGAATGATTTTAGAAATACAGCGAGACGCGAAGAAGGTATTACTTCAGAGTTCCTCTTCTAATGGATTATTCCCTGGCCTGCTAGATGAGAATAAAGGGCCTGCTCTATTTGACCACGAAGACATGAGAGATCCTTTCTGGTCTGCGACATTTGAATTGCCATATATCTTACTGAAGTATTCGACACCACAATTGCTGCGCGAAGACCCTGGGTTGAGCGACACTGCAAGCACGCCATCACTCCAGCTTACCAGTACCTCGATACCGGCCGTGCCTACAGTGCCAACAACGCCCGACTCTACACAAGAATTGTTAAACAATGGAAATTTACCAATTTCTTCCTCTGGGACTCTCACCCGCTGGGAGAGTCCATTTATGAAACACGGCGTGTTATTCACACATGCCATCGACCGGGACAAGATTGTGGAAATACCTGATGAGTGGCTGTACAGAGAACCGAAATTCTTTGCCTTTCACACTACTGTATCTCCAAGTGCCGTTGATGAGTTTTGTGAAAAAGCCCGCAAAACACATCTGGATGAAACCTCAACTTATATGGATAGCATTTCCACGACCAACACCAAATTGCCCTCAAAAGAGACGGGCAATAGAAAATTTCTGGCAAGAAATAGCAAAGCAGCATCCCGCAGAATCTATACTGGCATATGTACTATGAAAGTACTACATGAGGCAGCTATGGAGGTGGATTATCAGATGCGCGAAGGCCAACCAATGGGCCACATCATCGATGTGCCAAGAGCCGGCCGTTACAAAAAGACGAATGAGTTCAATTCAACTCAAATCACATCAAGCGACTCTTTACTTAATCATATCAACGAAAAACGCACCCCAATTATTGCAAAGAAAAGAATTTTCCAATTCTGTCGTACCAGCTGGAATATCGCCCTGATGTGCTACCTGGCTTCGTCGGAGGCCGAGGAAATATCATGCTTCTTCGACAGGCACGCGTCAATGAGTCCATATTTCTTTGAAGACACAATAGGGACACTGAATAAGTGGGTTACTGAGCTACATTTGCCCTTCTATCAGCTTTTACCCCCAGAGGAATCTTCTCGCTTTATCAGAAATGTCCTTCAGCCAGAAGGGCGACCAACTATCACAGAGCCAAAAGTAATACAATTTCCCCAATCCAACCTGAAGGGAGCTCAAAAATCTTTAATCCGCGCTGTTATCAGTTTTAGATTTGACGGAGACCTTCTTGACCGCTATTGGACGTGTCACTTGATAGAACACAGACCACAGCAGAGGGGCAGCTCGAAGGAAATGTTCAACATAACTACACAACCAATTAGCGGGGCTTTGAAGTCTAATCCTTGGAGACAGCGAAGAATCTTGGAACTTCTTTTGTTCGACAGAATGCTACAGGAGATACTGAGGTGCACAGAGGAAATTCTCAAAGAAGCAAAGGGTACATTGAGAGCTTCCAAGGGCGTTGGACACGGTGACTGGGGTTATGAAAGTGCAGAGTCCGAGTCAAAATACTCAGATATGCAGAGCCAAAACAACAAAGCCGGAAGGGATTTCTTCCTTTCTAATAATTCGCTGTATAAAATTCAAGAAGTTCTTCAGGAGGTAGAAGACGACTTGAATGAAAACTTAGCAAAGATGCAGCTCTGGAAAAGTCGGCAAGATGGGCGTGGCCTTGATAAGCCTAGATGGACTCTCAAAGACGAATACCGCTACGGAGGTGCCATATCAAGACTCCAAGCATCAAACGACTTCTACATGGAAGAGCTTGTTCGTTGTCGAGCCAAAATTCTAGCCTTCAATCTGCAAATCACAAGGGATATCGATGCTGCTCGCAGTGATTGGGAGATGCGGACTACTAATGACGTGAGACTTTTCACGTATGTAACAGTTGTGTTTCTTCCAACCAGCTTTGCCACTGGCGTGTTCAGCATGAGTAAGACACCTTCACGACATATGCTATTCAGCATGATGGTCACGGCAGTTGTCGCTCTTTTGGTAACAACGATTGCCTTGGTTAATGCCAAAACACTAAACGGAATGCTGCGATATATAAAAGATAGCATCCGGCAAGTTCTATATCGGTTAACTCATCTTACTGATGGGTCATATCAATCTGCTGTTGACAGAATACTTCTTATCTACTCAACAATTTTCGAGCTCATTTTTTCCGTCGTTGGTGGTATCCTCTACTGCCTGGACAAATGCCATAAACTGGCAAGTAAATATTTCACTTTGACGCAACAAGTGAAATCTTCATTCACGTCCAGTGGTTCACATCAAGGTTTGCTTTATTATAGCATTTACCTTCTCGCACGCTATATATTTTATCCTGTTGAGAGGATTTTATTAAGGATTACCCCAGATGCAGAACTAAAAACTCCCGTGGACAACTTGCACCTCGATGATGCTCATCCAATTAAGCAAGCCCAAGGCGACTTTAAAAAAGCCTGCAGCGCTGCTAAACAAGTGAAAAGCAATCCTGAGGAGGAAAGCTTTGGAAGTTTATTTGATGACTTAGGTCAAAGGAACAGCGGTAACCTGTTCAAGATTTGGCAGGAGAGGTTGAAACTTTGGCAGGAGAAATTAGAACAGGAGAGGTTGAGACAGAAAGAAATAATCGTGGTTTCAGAAGTTGGCAGTAAGAGTGGTTCGTCATAGTTCGTTACAACAGATTCCTAAATTTGCATTTCATAGGTAGTCAATAGTATTTGGTATGAGCAACACAGCGTCATGACACTATGCAGTTATTTACATTTAATATTTCTTTAATCACATGCCGGTTATAACATGCTCCAGCTCACAACATGTAATTCTTGCATATTCTCTGAGTACTATATGGGTGCCATTTCAATCTCCTCACCAATGTGCTTCCATCCCCTATATTGTGCAGAAATAGAGCACGTAACTCTCTCATTTTGACAGCCATCCCTTGCATTTAAGCCGCAGTCTGTGTACATTCAGCAGTCACCGTCCTATAAATCGTCCCACAACCCCTCTGACAAGTTGGACATGGCGCCAACACCGTCGGCGTGGCAGCCGGGCAATCACAAGGCTTCGTAACAATCTTGAGCAGCTCGCAATTTGGGTGAGGGCCACAGTGCTTAAGGTCGATGAGAGGGCATGTTGCTGGGATAGTGGCGATCGGACAGCCTTCTGGGTAGTCTATAGGTACACCAAGAAGGCCCATGCAACTTTGAAGGAGATTAAGAGGAGTCGCAGGAGACTTTAGGTAAGTTTGCTTACAGGCCAGCTTGTAGCAATGTTACTGCCGTAGTTTGCATAAATGTCTTCATGGTGGTAAAGTTCAAAGAGATTGAGAGTGTATGATTGGCTATGAACTGTATGTTGAGGAAAGAATTAATCGTGGGAAACGCTCTCCTTAAGTAGACATAGAGATAACCTTATTAAATCCTAAACTATACATTCAAAGGGAGGCAACAACTCATGCCGAATTATCCGTTTGCCCCTTCCTCTCCTCTAGATCAGCCGCAGCATAGCAACCCGATGTGAAACTGTCTCAGTACTATTCTGGTATAAGAAGCCGTGATTGGTTATGCCACGCTGTCTGTCAAGTCTCATTGAGACCACAGCTGCTGGTCTCAGTTGATACCTCCAATAGTATCAGCACTTGGTCGGCGCTCGAAGGATCGTTAAAATCCTCGAGGATTTTTTTGTCTAGATCTCGCCCCTTTAAGTGACCGTGTGGCATTGCTTTTGGTCACTCGATGCTCTCTGAGATATGCTGTGGCCCTCCACAAGTGTTGTTCAAGAACGTTTATCTCTATTTCCGGAGCCCACTACCGACGTATCTATCCCAAATTTAGTATATAGATGCAAGTTACCAATTTGTTTGAGGCAAAAGTAGCTACTGTATACCAACAGTCTTGGTGTCCTCGTCATGTATAACTCAGCCAGCACTTCTCATTCTGCTTTCATCACATGAGACACCCAAAAAGCCAAATAAATTCACTTTCTAGAACCTAGAACCCCAAACTAAATAAAAATGCTTCGCTAATCTTCAAATCCATGATGCACTGCTTTTGCCGCTTGCGCGTACAGGCCGCTAATATAGTATTAAAGTCATGCTACAAAATAGCTCTTGAGAGCGTTGAAAAGAAGCGCCGTAAATGCGATATTAAATGGCAAAATAATCATGAGGGTATTGCGTGCACTCATAGTTTGGAACGAACAACCTCGAGACGGTACTTTACGTCCTTGAGGGCTTTGTTGGTTGGCTTCCAGTCGTCGAATTGTCGCAGTAGCTCTTCCGTTTCAGCGCTAAGCTGCGTCTTGACGAAATCCTCTTCTAAGAGACCTCGCATGATCCATGGTAGGACATATGGATTCGACGACGCCAAAGGCGTCGTCTCTCGCTTTGGGATCACACAGGGGGTTGGTTGTGCCGTGCTGGTCGTTTCCAGGGCGTGCATGATGGCAAGATCATATACAGCCGAATCGAAATAGAGGCGTGAGTGGCCTTCGCCCGAGTATAGCGATCCAGCAAGGGCCGCAGACAGCTCACGGATGAGGCCATGATCCGATATTCCTAAATTACGCAGTTTGAGTGCGAACCCGATAAGATGCGATATGAAATCCGGAGCATGTACTCGACCGTCAATGAAAACGGCGCGGTAGATGTAAGGATGGTTTGCAGGCGAGTATACAGCAGACTATAGAAATGTTAGCTATTTCTGTGTGACGGATACCTGGAACGATCTCATCCTACCTCCATGGGAACAAGCTGGTCATCAATACTGCCCACGAACGTAATACGAGCTCCAAAATCAACAACGCGCTTGAGACAAGCCTCAAATCGTTGCGAGTTATTGCTCTGAGGATCTCCAAACTCCCACAACTCAGCTGCTGAGCCCATGAGTATGCTTGACTTGTAGTCGGGGAAGGGGCCAAGTGCCACGCCAGCCATGGCACAGACACCGATTCTAGTGTCTGTCAGGACACCAAGGTCAATCAGCTTCTCCAAAAGCATGATGCTGACCGGCACTCCCTGAGAGTGACAAGCGATAATTACTAAATCAGCCTGGCGGATATGCTCAATCCAGTTCAGAAGAAGCTTCCACAGGTTTGCCACTCTATCATTGATTCTGCCTTCTCCTTCGAGGGCAACCTTTTCAATCTCACAATCAGAACAGCCATGGCTTTCAGCCCATTTGCGAATGGCATCAGCAGCAAGTCCTACAAATCGCAAAGATGTACCCGTCGGTTGGCCAATCATGGGACGCAAATATGAGGCTGGGAAAAACCCGTGAACCCCAATGGCGACGGCCTTGCGGATCTTCGGAGGGTCCTTGACCCGAAAAACGTGGTTTGGAGGTGGTTGCGAAGTCCGAAGCACCAGATTCGTAATCTGTCGTAGGATCGAGGGGTTTTCTTTCATCTGATAGGTGCTAGAAAACGAAGGAAGGAGAACATTCGGTGGTTCCTTTACAGTGGCTTCGCTTTCAGTAGATGGCTTCTTCGTTACGGACACGGGTTTCTTCTTCTTGGAATCTGTCCTAACCAGTGGCTTTGAGGGAGGCAGCTCTTGTTCACTGCTGACTTGTGAATGAGGAGTAGTAGAAAGTCGGTCGACGGGAGCTGACTTTGTGCTGTCTGCTGACGGTGGCCGAACAGACTCGAGGTCCATTGATATAGGTCTAATTCGCTTACTTCTGCGCCAAGACAAGACGCCTGCTGGCGGCTCTGGCGGTGTAGCGTCGTTTTTGGAATCTTTGGTCGCCGATTCGGAGATTCTTCTCTCTGCGATAGGTAATGGCTGGACCTCAGATCCCTCTCCTATCACAGCAATTCGTCCCGATTCTGGTGAGGTAGTCTTCCCTTTGCTGTTCGGAGAGTCTCTTGACCAGAAGGCCCAAGTAGAGCCCGCTTTCGGAGGAGGACTCTGAGCTGCCTCTGGCTCAGGTTCTGTGGTGTTTTTGGCTGGCACATCTCCAGCCTTACCCTTTGAATCCTCGTTGAGGTCTATCTTGGACTTTTTGCTCGAAGCTCGTGAGACTGAAACGGTCGACCCTTTCTTGCGTTCATCATTAGGGACAGCCGTTTCGCCTGGTGGGCCCGTGGGTTTTGTATCCGCTCCTTGTTTTGGAGACATTTGTACTTTTGGAACTGGCTGCTCCTTGGTTGGTTCCGGCTGTGTCTTTGGAGCTGCCTTTGCTTTGGGTTGAGGAGTTGAATACCAATAGCCAAACCAAGAGGTTGCTTGTGGAGCTTCTGCAACGTTCTCAGGTGACACAGGTTCAGAAGGAGGCGCTGGTTCTGAGGGCGGGGCTGCCTCGGCAGGCTCGATGGTTTCGGCAGGCTTCGTAGCTTCTTCCTTGATTTCCTCAGGGCCCGGAGTAGGTTTTGCAGGGGGTTCAACCGGCGCGGGCTTAGCCCACCAGCCGCCGAACCAGCCAGCCGAAGGAACCTGCTTCTGTGGAGCATCAGTTGCTGGACCATCTTTGTCGGTGGGAGCCTCTGGAGGTGGTTGCTGCTCTTGCGCCGCTGTAGGGTCTGAAGCTTTCTGCTGCTGCTCGGCAGGGGGTTTCGTATCTGGAGCTGAGGGCATCTCTGGTGCACGTTTTGTATCCGAAGGTTTCTTGTCTCCTAGACGTAGAGAGTCCACACTTTTATTCGCATCTGATTTCTTGTCTATATTTGAGGTATTCGAGGTGTTGGTTGATATTGTAGGGGGTGGTAGAACCGGGTCGGCGTCGTCGGTTATGCTCGCGTCGTCTTCGCTTCGTTTTGCTTCAAATCGAGAAAAGTCGGGCGCATTCCTTGATTTGACGGTGCCTCCGAGAATATTTTCCCGAGCAACCGATGTTGAGGCCGTCGCCTTCTGGGGCTTCGACCACGAAGCGTACCAGCTGTTGGTCTTCCGGATCTGTCGCCCAGTAAGAACCGGTTCGTCCAGGGGTTCGCACATCGATATATGAAAAGGGGGAATTTTACCTCTTTCACTCTTTGTGACGCATCAGAAGACTTGCGTTCGCTGTTGGATTCGGCTTGTGGAGGCTTTTTCTGGTCGCTAGCTTGCTGCGCCGAGGCAGATGACGCTCGTGACAGTGACGTCTCAGGCGACAGAGCTGTGGTTGGCAAGCTCAGCGAGCTCAGCAGAGTGGGATTGGGGCGTTGCCTCTTTCGAGGAGGCATCATGAACGCTGCGAGCGTGAAGGGCAGGCCATAGAAGAGATGGAGATGACGCGCAGTCTAGGCGGCGATGATGAAAGGTTGAAGTAGGCAGACGGATTGTTGGAGGCAGCTTGAGCTTGTTGGTACTTCGGAGGCTACTTTATTCGGCGGATTCCGCAGGTACTCCCAACAGTTGATGACGATGCCTGGAGGCGCCACGACACGCGCCACCTACAGTGAATGGAATTGGCTGTAGCGGCTTAACAGCGGCCCCAACAGTGGCCCCCCAGCACCTGTCAGCCGGGAACCTGCGCTAAACCTCGCAACCGGCTGAGCTGTGGCTTGAAAGGCGGGAGTGGATCCGGAGCAATTCCCAGGCCCACACCGCCTGCCTTATCGCCACGCTACTCTTATCGGTGTCCCGCCAGGGAAAAAAAATTCGAGAATCAAAGTTGAAGCTCCAGATTTGTTTTTGAAGCCAAAGTCGTCCATGCTAAAGGCTGTGTTTCTGCCTTTGCATCTTGCGGCCGTACCACCACAATGAGCACCCTCAAGAGGAAGGATGCCCCTGGTGGCAATCCTCCTTCCAAATCGGCCAAAAACTTCAAAGAAGCTCGACCGTCGAAAAAAGAGGCACCGGCCAAAGATGCGAAGCCCGCGGCCAAGGCGCATCGCGAGTCGGACGGTGCGACAGAGGAGCGCGCAAAGGCTCCAATTATCTCTGTCTTGAAGGATGAAGAGCCTATGTTCGCTCGTGGAGGCGGCAGCGTCCTCACACCTCTCGAGCAGAAGAAGATTCAGATGGAAGCCAAGGCCGACGCCATTCGAGAAGAGGAATTCGAGACGGGCGCCAAGTCACAGAAGAAGAAGACGAAGAAGTCGGCTGTAAAGGGCGACAAGAAGACAGAGAAGAAAGCAGAGGAGGACACAATCAAGATTGAGAGTCTGAACTTCAAGGTACGGCTACTACGTGAACAATTGGTGACGAGAATATGTCTAATGGATGCTACAGAGACTGGTCAAGGGATCATTGGTGCTCGGACAGGTGACTCGGATCAGCAACCTCAGCCTTGAGGTGTCATTACCGAACAACCTCATTGGTCATGCCTCCATCGTCGCCATTTCAGCCCAATTGACAAACAGACTTCAAGGTGGCGCTGAAAAGGAGGGCGAGAGCGATGAGGAGGAATCGTCCGACGAAGACGATGTGAACTTGAAAACCATGTTCAAGGTTGGACAGTATGTGAGAGCATACGTGGTCTCGACTATGGACGGTGCCGCTGGAGGAAAGGGAAAGAGAAAGATTGAGCTGTCTCTGCGACCTAGCGAAGCCAACACTGGCCTGGAAAAGGACGATGTTGTACCCAACAGCACTGTCATGGCCTCCGTTGTCAGTGTCGAGGAACGCGGCTGCGTCATGGATCTCGGAATCCCCAATCTGAACGGTTTCCTCCCCAACAGCGAGATTGATGCCCTCATCGACCAAGAGAGGCTCCAGCCTGGTGCAGTCTTCCTCTGTCAAGTCACAGGCAAGAACTCCAACAAGATCGCCCAGCTTTCCTTGAAGCAAGACAAGCTGGGAAGCACTAAAGCTTTCCCTGCCGATGCTACCACGATCAACACATATCTCCCCGGTACCATCGTTAGCGTTCTTGTTTCGGACAACGAAGGTAGAGGTTTAGCTGGAAAGATTATGGGAACTGTCGATGCTACTGCTGATCTGATCCACTCGGGCATTGGGCCAAACGATGTTGACCTCAAAGCCAAGTATAAGATCGGATCCAAGGTTAAAGCGAGAATTATCTGCAACTTCCCAACGGCCAAGGACCCGAAGCTGGGAATCTCCCTGCTACCTCACATTATGTCTCTGACGCAGAAGCACCAAGATGGTGACGAGAAGCGACGACCTATGGAGGTGATGCCTATCTCGTCTTTTGTTGAAAAGTGCACAGTCCGCCACGTCGAGCCCGATATTGGTCTCTTCGTCGATACTGGCATTGCTGGTCTGGGCGGATTCGTCCACATTTCCCGAGTCAAGGATGGAAAAGTCGACGCCCTCTACGAATCAAGCGGGCCCTTCAAGGTTGGAACCGTTCACCGCGGCCGAGTTGTTGGCTACAACGAGATGGATGGTCTCTTCAGCATCTCATTTGCGAAATCTCTCCTTGAGCAGCAATACATCCGCCTTGAAGACATCCCCATCGGCTCTGTGATCAATGGTGAGATTGAGAAGTTGGTCATCAAGGAGCAAGGTGTTACAGGACTCATTATCAAGATTGCGGATGGCATCAGTGGATTTGTTTCCGAGACCCATCTGTCCGATATCCGTCTTCAGCACCCCGAGAAGAAATTCCGTGAGGGCATGAAGGTCAAGGCTCGTGTTCTCTCTGTCAACTATGTCAAGAGGCAAATGCGTCTCACACTCAAGAAGACGCTGGTCAATTCCGAGGCACCCACCATCAAGTCTTATGACGATGTCAAGATCGGAATGCAGACACTCGGAACGATTGTTAAGGTGCAGCAGAATGGTGCTCATATTCAGTTCTACGGAAGGCTAAAGGGATTCCTTCCAGTGTCGGAAATGAGTGAAGCATACATTCGTGATCCTATGGAGCACTTCCGAGCCGGACAGGTTGTTAGTGTGCATGCTCTTGAGGTTGATCCGGAAGCCAGAAGACTCATTGTGTCTTGCAAAGACCCCGGCGCGTTCGGACTGGAGAAGCAAACCGCTCTCAAAAACCTGAAGCTGGGCGATATTGTATCAGCCAAGGTGACTCAAAAGACCGAGGATCAGATTTTCGTGGAGCTTGTCGACAGTCAACTGAAGGCCATTCTACCGGTCGGCCACCTTACCGACAAATCATCCTCAAAGAACCAGTACGCCTGGAAGCGAATCTCGGCCGGACAGACCCTATCAAACCTTATGGTTCTCGAGAAGAACGAAAACCGACGAGCCATTACTCTCACCCAGAAACCCAGCTTGGTCAAGGCTTCACAGGATAACAACCTTCTCAAGAGCTTCCACGATGCGAAGGTGGGCGCCGTCGTCCAGGGCTTTGTACGAAACATTACGGTTACAGCTGTGTTTGTTCAGTTCGCCGGAAGTCTCAACGCACTGCTGCCGAGAGGAAAACTGTCGGCCGAGGCTCAATCGCAGCCTGACTTTGGCCTGCGCAAGTTCGAGTCTATCGAAGTGAGAATCATCTCGACCATTCCGGATCTGAAACGCATCTTGGTTGCACCCGCCGACTCACCTGTGCCCGAGGCTACGACCAGCAAGCCTAAAGCTTCTAACAAGGCTCCGGCCCCAGAAGATGGCCTTACGTTTGGCAGCACAGCCCAGGCCCGAGTCACATCCATCAAAGACACCCAGCTGAACGTCCAATTGGTGGACAGCGAGATTCAGGGCCGCATTGACGTTTCTCAGATTTTCGACAAATGGGAGGACATTGTCGATCCCAAGGATCCTCTCGACAAGTTCAACAAAAAGCAGATTCTCCGTGTCAAGATTCTTGGAGTTCACGACGCCAAGGACCATCGTTTCTTGCCCTTTTCTCACAGGTCTGCTCACTCGGTCATGGAACTCACCACCAAGCCCAGCGATCTGAGCAGCGAAGCCCCCAAGCCGATATCTTTTGACGACCTGAAAGTTGGCGACACTCACATTGCCTTTGTCAATAATGTTACGTCTCAGTATCTTTGGGTTAATCTTTCTCCCAATGTTCGCGGCCGCATTTCCATCATGGAGGCCTCGGATGACCTGTCTCTGCTAAATGACTTGGAGGCCAACTTCCCAATCGGATCAGCCCTCAAAGCAAGAGTGACGTCGGTTGACGCTAAAAACAACCGTCTCGATCTGTCTGCTCGATCACCCAATGCTTCCGAAGCCATAACTTGGGCTTCGCTGAAGCAGAACATGATCCTGCCCGGCAAGATCACCAAGGTCAACGAACGACAAGTCCTCGTGAAGCTGAGTGAAACCGTCTCCGGCCCAGTCCATCTTCCCGATATGGTAGATGACTATGGCAGCGTCGACACACTTAAATACAAGAAGGGCGACATTGTCCGTGTTTCAATTGTTGATGTCGACCCCAGCAACAAGAGAATCCGCCTTTCCATGCGACCCTCGCGAATCATGAGCTCTACGTTGCCTGTTGCAGACAAGGAAATTAGCAAAATTTCACAGCTTGCCACGGGTGATATTGTCCGAGGATTCGTCAAGAATGTCGCCGACAAGGGTCTCTTTGTCTTGCTGGGAGGCCAAGTGACTGCCTTTGTCAAGATCTCGAACCTTTCTGACCGATTCTTGAAAGAGTGGAAGGACAGCTTCCAGATTGATCAGCTGGTAAAGGGCCGTGTCATTTCTCTCGACGCCGCCACAGGCCAGCTCGAGCTTAGTCTGAAGTCTTCCGTTGTCGATGAGGATTACACTCCCCCCATCGGCTATAATGATATTAAGGAGGGCCAGATTGTCACTGGTGTTGTCCGCAAGGTTGAGGAGTTTGGTGCTTTCATCCTTATTGACAACTCGGCCAACGTGAGCGGTCTCTGCCACCGAAGCCAAATGGCTGACAATGCCGTAAAGGATGCCACAAAACTATACAAGGAGGGCGACAAAGTGAAAGCCAGGGTTTTGGAGGTTGATGTCACCAAGAGGAAAATCAGCTTTGGCCTGAAGCCATCTTTCTTCGAAGATGAGGACACTGACATGGATTCTGATTCTGAGGCCGGTGCAGCGCTCGATGGCGAGGATGACGATGACGAGGAAGGCATGGATCTGGATGAGGAGGCCTTGCTGAAGATTCTCGGCACGGACAACCAGGGCGACTCTGACGATGAGGATGAGGATGAAGAGGACGAAGATGATGAAGATGAGGAGGAGGCAGCTGAGGATAGTGATGAGGAGATGGAGGACGCTGCCGCTGCGAAGAAGACTGGTGGCCTGGGTGGAGGTAAAAAGTCAACATGGTCAACAAATCCATTCGACGAATCAGGTTCAGAATCAGAAAATGATTCTCAAGCCGAGCAGGCAGACAAGAAGAAGAAGCGGAAGAAGAAGGGCGAGGCTCAGGTCGACCGAACGGCCGAGCTTGATGCCCACGGACCTCAGACCTCCAGCGACTACGAGCGACTGCTCCTGGGACAGCCAGATTCATCTGAGCTGTGGATTGCATACATGGCTTTCCAGATGCAGGTCAGCGAGCTGCCCAAGGCACGTGAGATTGCCGAGAGAGCCATCAAGAGCATCAACATTCGGGAGGAGACTGAGAAGCTCAACGTCTGGGTTGCGTATCTCAACTTGGAGGTGGCCTACGGCAGCAAGCAAACGGTTGAAGACGTATTCAAGCGAGCCTGCCAGTACAATGACGAGCAGGAAGTGTACGAGCGACTGGCCAGTATCTACATCCAATCGGAGAAGCTCAAGGTAAGAACTACTACTTCCCCCTTAACTATCAAAGAATATCTACTAAACTCTATCATAGGCGGCCGATGAGCTGTTTGAGGCCATGCTGAAGAAGTTTGGTGCCAAGGCGCCCAGCGTCTGGACCAACTACGCACACTTTTTACACGTCACCAAGAACGAGCCGGCTCGTGCCCGAGCTCTCCTCCCGAGAGCCACCCAACAGCTGGACAGCCACAACGGACAAAACATTGTCAGCCGCTTCGCCGCCCTCGAGTTCCGCTCGCCCAACGGCGAGCCCGAGCGCGGCCGTACCATGTTTGAAGGTCTGCTCGCCGCCTTCCCCAAGAAGGGCGATCTCTGGAACCAGCTGCTCGACCTTGAAATCGGCATCGCCAGCTCCAGCGCCGACTACACCGCCGTGAGAGACGTGTTTGAGCGGAGAACGAGGGTCAAGGGCCTGAAGCCACAGCAGGCGGAGAAGTGGTTCCGCAGATGGGCCGCTTGGGAGGAGAAGCTGGATGCCAAGGGCAAGGACAAGGTCATGGCCAAGGCGCAGGAGTGGGCATCTGGATTCAAGTCTAGAAAGGAGGCTGAGGCTGCGGCTGCGGCGGCAGAGGATGAGGAGATGGAGGAGTAGATTAGACGGGGGGAGAGGAATAATGTGAGGATATTTTAAAAAATGGGCGGCCCCTTGTCAGGCTGGGCGTTTGGTAAATATTTAGTTTTAAAAAAATGCATATATTTTTTCGTGTTTGGTTGAATCAGACGATTTTCGGATGTCGGTGCGGATTCGATGGAGCGTCGGTGACTGCGTGGGACTTGTATCGGCTCGAATGCAAGTGAATTCGACGTCGTTACATTGAAATTAAGCATATTTTTCTTCTCTTCATTAATCAATTCAAACTTTAAGGACAATTTCAGCTTGTTCATTTTTTGTGAGGAGCAAGAATCTACTTTCTTGGTTTGCTGGTTGCTGTTGAAGTGAAGATGGGAGAGCATTCAATGGCGGGATATCGGCCGATAGCACCGAAAGTTGCGGCGAGTTCGCCGAGGCTCCGGGCGAGCTTGCGGGCTGTCGGTGTAGCTTCTTTACACGAGTCGCATCCGAACCACTGGTATCATCCCGTTGATAACTCAACGGCAGATGATAGCTGTTTAAAGAAGGCATATAATACCTTTTATGTATCTCCGTGGGTAATATGAAGGCGTCGGTAGGTGGAGGCTGCTGATCCGGTCTTCCACTTAGAGTGGCTGCTTATCTCTCCCTATGACGTTCGGGTGCCACTGAACTCCTAGTAAGTTAAGCTTTCAAGTCGGAAGCACATGAGCTGCTTTGAAGAAGAGGTATGGATGGCATAATATAATCGTAAAAGTGCTCGGGTCCGTGCTCCGTAGAGGAGTCTCTTCATGTCTTATCAGTATCGACGAAATATGCGGCAGACAACGCACTTTAAGCTCCGAGACACTGTCTAAGCGTCTCCGTGAGACATATCGCACAGGATCCGAGACTAAAGCTCGGCAGTTAGTTTATGTATCCGACGAGGTGGTACAAGCGTCACGCTGCTAAGAGTTCATGGTTACCAATTAGGGTTCGTACATGGGAGGTCATTCGCTGGAGGGGGAGATGGTGTGCGATGCTTGGCGAAGATGCATAAGGATTACATCAGGAATGGAGATGGTAGCGATGTGGCTTGCAATCTGTTGGATGGATACTGGTAACACTGGGTGTGATTATGATAACGATGAGGGGGGAAGCTAGAATTGAGTCAGATCTGCACTGGCTTGTCTGGGAGTGTGTAGTTTATGTAAGTGTCACGGAGATCGGAACTGTCTTTGATTGAATGTGTACGAGTATATGATATATGGCAACCCCATTACTCTACCGAAACTACGAACATCGCATCAATGGAAAGGGATTGGATAAAGTAAATCAGCCAGAATTCCGGTAGAAAAGCAGCAAGTAATAAACGCAAGATAAAGATTTCGCCGCGAATGCCGCCAGTCAACCGGACGTCGGCATTGTCGCCATTCGAATTAACGGTGACGCGTTTTTGAAGGGTCAAGATCTGCTGCAAAGGTACCTCCGAAAGGCCGCGCAGGCGGTACCTCCGCTGTCAAAAGTGGCCGAGACGCCAGCGATTTAACGGCGGGAGCTCACCGAGGAGCCGCCCGAGGGTACACCGGCTGCTTGTACCTCGAGCTCCCTCAGCGCTGTCCAGTGAAGGAAGCCCCCCTGAAGTTGTCAGTCAGGCTTGGTATCACGCGAGCTCCCCTTTTTCCGTTGCCAGTACATGTCTCTTCACTGTCGTCCGCCGCAAAATCAGCAGTACCGGGCAGTACCTTCAGAATGCAAGAATCACGGCGGGAAAAGACGTAATTACTGGCTGGTCTGATAGGGCCAGTGGGCGATCGCGCAATGGGTCATGGGCAAAAAACGTCTTGGAGGCGCCCGAGCACGTCACCCGCACTAGCGCCCATCGGTCCCTCGGGCAGGGCTCAAGGGCCCCAAACTCTGGACGGCCGGCTGGTCGCCTGGCGATGCTGGCTTTGCCTTCTTTTCACCATCTTCGAGTGCTGGGATTCTGGCATCGCTGGTGTTGGGCTGGACTGCTGGATTTTTTTGCAATTTTTTGGTGGCCCTGGTTGTGCGATTTTGCAACGATGGGCTGTCGGGTGTGCAGAGCGCGCAAGGTGAGTGCTAAAATGCCTGCTATTTGCTACTACTACAGCTACCTACTACTGCTGCTATTCTCCCGGCCTTACCAAGCTTGGCCCACTTCAACTCTTCTCTCTTCCATCCAGCTCCTCATATCATATCATATTGACAGCTTCTCACCTCTTTTTCTTTTCTTCTGCAGGTCAAATGCGATGGCAGGCCAAACGGATGTCGCAACTGCGAGCGCCTCCAGCTCGACTGCGTCGGCGACAATGGCCTCGCCGCCGGCCGAGCAACGCCCATGTCCCTAAGGAAGATCCGCACCTATCGCTCATGTAAGAGCTGTCGCCTCTCCAAGACCAAATGCAACGGCGACCGCCCGAAGTGCTCGCGATGCACCGCCAAGAAGACCGAGTGCGTCTACGACGGCGGTTCGGCCCCGCGATGGGCGCGAAACCTCGACCGCGGATCCAGGACGGCGTCGACCGAAGGTAGCCGCAGCAAGTCGCGGGAGCTCGCCATTGCCATGCTCGAGGCCAGCGACGAGGTCGATGCTCAGGACGATACCCCCATGACGAGCATTGGCTCTGCTGAGCCGCTGAAGCTGGGCGAGATCTCGGGGTCGAAGAAGCCCCTTGGCAGCGCTCAGAGCGTTGCGTCTATTGAGCCCTCTGGTTCCGATATATTATCATGGTATGTACTGGTTTGGTGGCATGATTTGATGCAGACAGTCTCCTGCTCACACACGATTCTTCAGGCTTGTCTCACCGAGTCTTCCTACTGGCCGTAACCTGCGCCGTGTGGTGGAGCAATACTTTGCCAATGTCCATCCCATCCGATGCTTCGCCTTTGTCCATAAGCCATCATTCATGCGCCAGCTTGATAAGGGCTTCACTAGCGATGATGAGTCGGCGCTGCTGCACATTATATGCGCCCATGGAGCAAAGTGAGTGGCCATCTATCTTGTGGAGAGTGCAGTAACATACTAACATACTGTGAATAGATTCTACGTCTTGAACCAAAACGAGCACCACACCTCTGCGTCTAGCTTCATCCGCCTTGCCGGCAATGAGTGGGCCAAGAGGGCCGAGTTTCTCATCCTGACCAACTTTGGAAAGATATCCGTCCAAAGGCTCATGGTAAGCAATTTGAGCTTCAGCTCCCAACCCTAATGATCATTGCTCACCATTCCCAAGGTTGCCATATTACTTCATGACTTTCACTTCCGACTTGGAGAATACTCCCATGCCTTGATGCTTAGTGGCCTTGCCGTCCGCATGGCCCATGCTCTCAAAATCAATGTCGAGGCATCCCCCGATGTCCTCTGTACCGATTCCAGCGAATCCGCTCCATCAGTCGTCACCAGGGAGAGTCGTCGAAGGCTCATGTGGGCGTGCTATGTCCTTGATGCGTGGGCTGGCAGTGGCATCGATCAACTAACTCTTCTCCGCGAAAACGACATCAAGATCCAACTGCCTTGCAACGAGAGGAATTTCGGGCTACGAATAGCCTCAGTGACAGAAACCCTCGGCGTGGGTCATGTCCTCCAGTTCCTGCCACCCTCTGTGGTGCCGAGAAAGCCATCAGCAAACATGGGCATCATGGCATACTACATCCGAGTGGTGGCGCTCTGGAAGCGAATCGTGAGGTATGGCCTTCTTGATCCTGCCAACAGTTGTCTTTTGGCCGTCTTCTCATTCTAATTACTATCACAGATATGTAAATCAGCTAGACTCCAATCCTCCACCTTGGCTCCCCGAATCGCCGTTCGCTGCCCTCGACGCCGATCTTCGTCTGTGGCAGCGAGAACTTCCGGAATTTGTCGAATACTCGATGGAAACCATTTATGCACGACTGGATTCAAATCAACTAGGAGCATTGGTCTTGATACACTGTACATATCACCACAACTACTTGGAGCTGTATAAGCTGTCTATGCCAGACCTATTCAAGCTGCCCAAACCTCTCGTTGTTCCGCCGGAGCACCACGAATTTCTTCAATCCGCACAGGCCAACTGCTATCATCATGCGCAGCAGATAGCCGACATCTTGGCTGAGGCTGCCGATCACGGAGCGAATCTCTTATCCGACAGCCTGCTTCCCTACTTTGTATATGATAGCAGCAGGGTGATGCTGTACTACGTTGCGCGTTTGCTCGACCCGAACAGGCCCGATGCCCAATCAAAACTGGGCGATGCCATCAACGCTGTTGAAAGCAATCGTCGGGTTCTCCGGATGATGTCTGCCCTGTTTCCGATTGCGCAGTCACTTGTGAGCTTCCAGAAATGTTCTCGAATAATCGTCTCCTGCTAACTGTGCCTATAGTCAAATACAATTGATAGATGGCTGACCAAGATTCGGCAAACCTCTAATCGAGATGATCTTGTTAGCAGAATACTGTCGGAAGCCCGCTCCGAAACTCAGGAGGGTGAAAAGTAAGTATATATCGGACCGTCGGGTCGTTCGCCGTTTGTCATGTACGCTTGGCTAACACCGTATCTTACAGATCTACACCTGTGTCGGTCAGCCCCGTACAAGGCACTCCAGAGTTCATGCTTCCGTCTATTTCTCTTCATTCGCTTGCACGGACGGGTATTGCAACGAGGCGAGCCGCTGATCGTGCAAGTGGCGTCCGGGGACTAAGCTGGTCTGCCGAAAGCCCGAGCTCCGGTACCTGGGATCGGAACAATGCAGCGCAGCAGCTTGTTGGCCTCAGTCAGGACGGCCTAGCTTCATCACGATCCGGACTTCAGCATGAACAGCCGGTACCGACAGCACTGCCGCAACCACCGCCCGTCCAAACCAAGTGGGGTGGCCCGATTCAGCCAATGTTTGAGGCACTCGATCTTGACGACTTGCAAAACTTTTTATCATGGGACATGTATGGTATTATGGATATGGGCGACCCTATTCCGGACGACGGAGCAGATGAGATTGGGGTGCGGTCGTGGTCTGGGTCTAGTGATGCGATATAATGGGATTGTATTGGGGTCTATTCTTTTGGGTATGGGATTAATTACGGATAAGATACCTCTGGGCATTCGTTTTGGTTCGTTACACACGACTAGACTAGTAGTCGCTTTACATAGGGCAGGCATACAGGTCCTGGTGGAGTTTTGGGTTGGTTGGATCGCTTCATCGCCAATGGCGCCGGCCCGTCGCTCGGGTGATCGGCTTTTATCAAGAATTGCTCTACTCTTTTAACTATGTCTGTCGAGTTGCTGTATTAGCCGTCTTACTGATGACAAGTCTGGAGGATATGCGCTCACATCTATAAATCAGATGTCAAGCAGCGTCAGAGCACACACAATAGCCTCGGGTTGTCGTTGTGGATGCTTACACTGGAGGAAGACTTCAGTGTTAGCTTGATGCTTTCCGCACTTAGCGTGAGGGGTACGGCTTACAGCTATCAATTACGCCGGAACCTTTCAAGAAAGACATATCCGATATGGTGTAGTGGCTAACATCGCTCGCTCTCATTAATGATCCGAGCAGCCCTGGGTTCGATTCCCAGTATCGGAGTGAAATTTCTCTTTTTGCGTTTTTGCTTCATTCAGTTTATTATTGTTTATGATGTTTACTGTATCTGTCCAATGACGCATTTTGTATTTTTGTTTGTCTGTCGTACTTGACAACCTGTGTTGTTTTATAATGCAATGCAATGCTTGCTTGGTAAGAGTGAGCACTAAGAAGTGAATTAATTAACAACAACTCCATGACCAAGGAAAAAGCCCCATGTTTACCTGCAAGACAGAGGAGCTCACAGCCCGGTAACACAGTCACACAGATCCACCAGCTGATGGGCAACGGGATCTTTGTGGGACACCAGGCTAAAAAAGATCTTGGAGCGGGATCCAAACAAATGGGCTTTTGAGACAAGGCCAGCAGCGGGCATCCCCGCTACGCACTGCATGGGGCCTTGTCTTGGGCCTGTGCCCAGTAAAAGCTCCGTATGCATGTAAACAAAGAGGAAGAAGGCATCGGGATGCTTTGCATGAGTCTAATGCGGTAGCACGCGAGCTAACGAAATCTGCATGTTGCAAATAAACACGGACCTGCTTGATGACGGGATTGGAGAGACATAGAAGCAGATGGGCGTTGTTGGTAGCCTGTGTGTTCTGTTAGCCGCTGAGAATGCAGATTATATACAGACTCCAGATGGATTTTCTACAACATGCATTGACTATCTAGTATATACCGAGAATGAGGGAGCAGTTGATCATCAGTATTCCCTGTAGACACTTCCCCTCAATATTTGATCCATCTGTACTGTAAATAGTAGCTGGAGGTAACCATCGGATCGGACACAGCCATGAGACGATGCGATACGATACATAAGGCGGGGTGTCTGAAACGGCCACTCAAACGGCGCCGCCCGCCTGCAGGGCGCCTGGAAAAGGCAATTGGCCGTCGCCATGGCAACGCGCAGCGGCTAAACAGTGGAGTTGCCCCCCAACGACCCATGATGCCATTATGCCTTGCCTACACTTATTTTTTCATGCAAAAGGTGTCTCACAGCGCTGCATGTTTTCGACAAATTCAATTCCTTTCTTCTTCCTCTTCTTCAACCTGAGCAGCTTCGGCCCAAGGCGAGCTTTTGAGTAGGCGCCAACTCTCGTTATATATATTTTTACATGCCTTGAAGAAGTCGACAATTTGTTTACTCCTTTTTTTGCTATCGATACAGAATATCGATTGCCGCCCGATGGTCTAGCTATCAGCCTCGCCTTTTGTTCTGCATCGGTAATAAACACATCATTGATTTTGACACCCCGGCTTTCAGCTGCCCACTTGCACTGCACTGCCCCTGCGTCATCAATCGGAGAACCCCGCGCGCGCTGTTCAAGGTCTTTTACCAACCACGGACTTTTTGCGACAAACTTGCCTGGCGGTTTTTATTCCAGCCAACCGCCAGCACTCAACGAGGCTTGGGACTCTTCAAGCCGTCTCTAACAGAACATACTTAGCAGCGCTTTGAGTCGCCTTGGGGTGGCTGATTCGGTTCGCCATGGACACCAGCTACCTCTCCAAGCAGGTCAACAACAGCATTGGCCAGCTGCACAGCTTGTTCGACGACATTGGTGTGCCGGATCATGAGCGCGAAGCTCGAGAAGCCGAGGTACGATGGACTCCCCCATTGCTTTTCCTTTTGCGAACGAAGAGGAGAAGTCGCCTGGTTTGCGCAATGATGCTGACGTGAATTGCGACGTAGCTGTTCCAAGCTCTGTCAGAAGCGCTGAACAACCATTTGCGCTTGGTGACGTCGGAGAAGAAGCAGATGATTGACGAGTGCAAGAAGATTGTTATTGAGATCCGACAGATGGAGGCCTCTTTGGATGACTCTAGACCTCGAAGAAAGAATTCGAATGGCGAGAGCATCAAGATTACCTACCCTCTGATGGAATGCTTGGAGACGCTCAAGGAGAAGCACAGCCAGGTACAGCGTCTGCGCCAGGAGCGGGTTGACCATGTACAGAGTGAGTTGATGCCTGTCTAGAACGTTATTGAGATTGAGGGGCGCATTACTGACATTCTACCGCAGAGCTTGTGGAGGCCCTCGAGTCTTACTCATCACACCTAGAGCCTTCCTTCGTCAAGGTTCCCCTACCGTCTACGGAGCCCAACGCATCCATTCCTCTCAATTTTGACCTGTCACCGTCCTACGTGGACCGCCTCGACGCAGAGTTTACGCGAGTGTATGAAGAGTATACTCGCCGGCTCGCGACGGTGGAAACTCTGGGCGATGAAATCATCCAGCTCTGGGCCGAGCTTGGCACTCCTCAGGCCCAGCAGGACACAGCCATCATCAAGTACTACCGTGAAGCCCCTGAGCAGCTCGGCCTCCACCAGGAAGACATTCAGATTTTGCAAGGCAAGCACGACAAGCTGTCAGAGGAGAAGAGGAACCGCGAGAAGAAGTTGCAACAGCTCAGGAGTACCGTCGAAACGCTCTGGGAGAAGCTAGGCATTCCTGAAGAGGAGACCAAGGATTTCCTCAGCCAGAACAGGGGCTGTGGCATGCGACAGATTAACGAATTCGAAGACGAGCTTGAGCGGCTGAATGAAGTCAAGCGCCAGAACCTGCACATCTTCATCGAGGACGCGCGCGTCAAGCTTCAAGAGCTCTGGGATGCCCTGTACTTTTCGGAAGATGAGATGCTCGACTTTACACCCGCCTTTTCAGACGTTCACAGCGATGCGCTGCTAGAGGCGCACGAGCGCGAAGTTGCTCGGCTCGAGGCGCTGAAGGAACAGCGGGCACCCATCCTGAGCCTGATTGAAAAGCACAAGGCTTTGATCAAGGACCGCGACGACCTCGTCGCCTCAAGCCAAGATGCCTCTCGCCTTATGCTGCGCGGACAAAAGGGCGAGAAGCGAGATCCTGGAAAGCTGCTTCGCGAGGAAAAGATGCGCAAGCGCGTTGCCAAGGAGCTCCCCAAGGTGACGGCCGAAGTGAAAAAGGCACTCGAGCAGTGGGAGGAAGAATACGACCGACCCTTTTTGGTCTATGGCGAGCCATACGTCGACGAGGTAGAGCTCGAAGATGCAAAGAAGCCCACCCAACGATCCAGAACACCCGCTGGCCCTCCTCCAGCATCTGCCAGGAGCCTTCTCAAGTCAGCATCAGCGTCAACAATGAGGCCCGCTACTACCAGCAAGGTCTCGGCACCTTCTCATACGCTGACGAGAACCCCCACGACGGGTAGCATCTATAACTTGGGCAACAAGTCTCAGCCAATGTTTTCAAAGTCTGACATACAGAGAAGCAACAGCAGCCCCACCAGAGGACCAGTGGCAAGAGTGCCCCTGTCCAAGATGAAAGATGGCAACAATTCACCAGAGCGGACCAAGCGGCCCATTGGAGGCTCGGTCAGAATCCCTCCGCCCAAGATGCGCGAGTTGAGATCAGTGGCCTCGCTGGAAACGCCATTGAACCCATACAAGTCTGTGGGTCTGAATCATAGCATTATCCGCGCGGTTGATCCTGAAGATGTCTATGATGACCGGACGCAGTCAGCCAAAAAGGGCCGACCCGACTCGAAAATGTCTCATTCTCGACAGAACAGCTTCCTGGATGAGGACTACGAGGATCACTACTCATCCGTACGGGGAGTACCAGGGTATCCTCGACCATCAGCCAGACATCTTTCCAGCACATCCACAACATCAACGGTGGTTACGGGTTCCGAGAACTGGGAGACGTATGATGACAATAGTGAGCCGGAGCTAGACACGTCAGATGCATACTTTGCCAAGCTCCGAGCTCTTCGGGGCAAGCGAGCAGAACCCGAACAAGGCCATCGCCCAACAAGCAGTTCGGCAAAGCGCACACGTGGAGTTCCTGCAGCGCATGATGCGGCGCCCGTGATGACTGACCAGGACGGCAACCGAATAATATCTGGAAGCGAGTGGACAGACGAGAGTGCTTTCTAGAAGTTGGCTTGATCGTTTATTTCCTTTGCTTATGTTTGTCTGGCGACTTTTGCTGTTAGCGAATCATGGCCACATTTGTGTGCTTTCACGGCTAATGGTGAAAAATGGTGTAAATGAGACATGTGTCCATGGTACTCGCTGCCTCGCCCTCTCTCATGTTTTTTGGCAGCGAGACGATTTGAAGAGCTCATGAGGATGCAGGTCATCTACGAAGGGGCGTTTGGGGAGCCTTGTGTCTGTTCTGCAGGCAGACACTGGCGCAGCGCCTGTTTGCTTCATTTCATTGTGGAATCTTTTTGTTTTGGTTTCTATTCTGTGTCATATATGTGTGCATTGGCCTTTTTGTGCCGTAGTTCCTCTTCCTGTCTCCTTTGTTGCTTCGATATCACGGGCTGGGGGTTAATGGGAAGGGCTTTAAGGGGAGGGACATGGGACTGAAGAGGCGAAAAAAGGGAGGGAGGGACTGGCGTTTGCATCTTGTTTGCTTTTTTTGGTTTCGTTTGTACTTGGTATCGGATTGCTTGGTTGATTAAGGGAGGCCGCTGTGCTCTTTTTTCTTTTTTCTGTATTTTAGCAGCATGGAAATGTTTCAATTATTTCTAAATATTTGAGGCTTGTAGAAGACGCATGCATGTCTTGGTGAAATCTGAACTCCATGTGGTCAATGTTGAGTCTACATCGATTGGTGTCTTATCTGATAAGCGGCATGAGACAGCTCTCAGGTGATGCTTGTGCCCAGTGCCCGGTTATAGAAGGTCGTTCCAGCGCATGCGCTCCTCTGCAAGGGGCCTTTATAGTGGATGCGTGCACTGATCGCGTGGGTCAAATCTCTACCTACCTAGCTCATCTTCCAGGGTCACATTCCGCCTAAGAGAAACACGAAAGCACTTAACAGGCAGCACGCAGGAAAAGTCGGGGCCACTGGTACCTAGGCAGCATGAAAAAGTCGGGGCCACTGGCAGGCAGCATGAAAAGTCCGGGCTGCCGGCAGATGGAGGCCCGAAGTTCCGCGTTGAAGAAAAAAAAGCGTTGGAACAAAGAGGACCCTTCGTTTCGGAAGACCCCTGTCCCTGGGAACCATTTTGGCAGCCGTTGGGGTTTTTGAGGTAGGCTGACCCGAGGGTTTGGCTTTCTTTCTTTGGATCCTTCCACGTATTCGTTTTCGAGGTTTGCTGCTTTGTTTTTTGTTCTCCTATTTTTTATCTGATTACTAGGTGTCTTCTTTTTTTTCTTCTTTTGTTAATCTTTGCCTTGTTTTTCGAACAACCTAAAGCTACACATCTCTATCGAACGCCGAATTCTATCTATTCCTTAGCATCCCATTGGAATGCCGCCTCGCAGACAGACATACGAAATCCCTACGAAAACGAAATAAAAGCAGAAAAAAGAAAAAAGAAACATTCCTATTCTGTTCTCCCGCGGCCCTTAGATGTCGTCACCCCGCGCGCCACATCGGTGATGAAGACCGACAACGCCGCCGCCGCGGCTGCGCTCAGGGGCGCCACGCTGGCCTTTCGGAAGGACAAGCTCGAACAGGTTGGGCAGCGGGCCGAGGGGGGAGGAACAGGAGGAGGAGCTGCTGCAGGGCGCAGTGGTAGGGACAATGGCGCGTTTACGGCTGCGACGGAGGCTGTGAGGGGGAGGGCTGAGGGAGCAGCAGCGGATGGGAGGACACAGCAGCAGCAACAGTCACAGCGCCAACAGTTACAGCCTCAGCGCCAACAGCAGCAGCAGCAGCAGATGGATGGGATGATTATGGGCGGGGGTGGTGGCGCGTCGTCGGCGGCGTTTGGCTCTACGGGCGCCAGCAGCAGGATGGATGCGAAGAACCAGAGCTTGATTGCGGCGACGCTGGCGGCGAGTCGGAGCGCCAGTCCGACGGCGGGCGGTGGGAGTAGTGCGAACAACACGAGCGCGAGCGTCAATATGATTGTAGGAGGAGGAGGTGGTGGTGATGCCGTGGACTCGGGACCCTTGGCGTCGGCCGGGTCACTGATTTCGATGTTTGAAAAGGCTAGGGGGAGGCCTTGGCCGCCGGAGTCTGTTGGGAGCAGCGTGGAGGACAGGGCGGACAAGGTGAAGAGCGTGGAGGACAGGACGGATAGGGCGGACAAGGTCAAGAAGAAGAGCAAGGCGGCGGGTAATAAGGGGGATGGGCCGCCGACGCCGCCGGTTGCGAGGAAGAACAAGACGCGGCGTGATCCGGTGGCTGAGGGTCCGGCTGGGGACGGAAGGGCGAGGCCAAAGGCGCCGGCGGAGGCATCGGGCGGCTCGGTAGCTTCAACTACTGCGCAGAGACAGCAGCAACAGCAACAACAATCACACTCTCAACAATCACAACATATACAGCAACAGCAGCAGCCGGCGATATCAAGGGACAGCAAGCCTGTTGTCTCTTCACCTCCAAGGCCCATGACGCCAACCCCCGTCTCCAATACAGCTTCGCAACCATCCACGCCCGCTCCGTCGTCCTCGGAACACAAGAGCTCGCATGCTCGGCCGCGCGCGCTACATCCGTCGACACCACCGCCCCTTAAACCGCTCATGAGCAGGAACGTCGCCGAAGTTCTTTCTCCGCAGCCGACGAGGGTGTCGAGGGCGCCGTTGAGTCCCGTCACATCGGCTCACCTTACGCTGAGCCCAAGCATACACATTGCGCTTGCGTCGCCTTCGCCTGATCCTCCTAAGAAGAGTCAGAGTACTGCGACGAAACGACCGCCTACGCCGCCGAAACCGAGGGGCAGTAGGAAGGATGTGGTGGATAAGGATAAAGATCAGCCTCCGCGTCGAGGTCGGTCAAATAGCCATCATTTAGAGACGTCGTCGTCTGGCCAGGCGCGGAGTTCGATTGCCTCTGCGGTATCTCGATCAGCGGGACAATCGGTGTCTCCTTCTCGCCAGCAGAGAGAGCCTCGTCCTTCTTCGATGATTCTGGGGAGGAGACACTCTACAGTAAGCGTCGGATCATCTCCACATCGGGAGCTGGCTTCTCAACGACGAATTGCCAATGGTTCACCGGGTCGGACACAGCTGGACAATCTCACCGATGCGATTGTGGCTGGTTCATTAGCTTCTACACGGCTGACGCCGCATAACACGGGGCCTGCATCATTGGCTCCTCCTCCCTTGCCGAAACGGCAGAAATCACCTCGACTTTTACATACACTCCGACAGCCGCAATTACTAGACGAAGAGGATGATCAACACAAGAAAGGGCATAGAGCGTTGCTACGAAAGGGAAAGCATGCGCATCATGAAGGATCACGGAAGAAATGGCGGGAAGAGATTCGGCCCCGGGAGAGGAAACGTTATGAAGCGCTGTGGGCGTCGAACCGCGGGATCCTGCTTACCGACACGAGGATGATGAGTCCGGCGACGAGTATAAGCAGCGATCTTGATCGGGACGTGTCGCAGTGCGTGGCCAACGTTGTGGTGAGGGAGTTATGGAAGCGGTCGAGACTACCGCCAGACGAGCTGGCCGAGATTTGGGACCTGGTCGACCGAGGGAGGGCGGGAATGTTGAGCAGAGCGGAGTTTGTGGTGGGAACGTGGCTTGTTGACCAGCGGCTCAAGGGGAGAAAGGTGCCGGCCAAGGTGACGGATAGTGTCTGGGGGAGCGCGAACGGGGTCATGGTGAAGGGGCCGAATAGGAAGTGATGATGTGTTTGGAGAGAGAGAGAGAGAGAGAGAGAGAGGCTTGTGTGATGAGATACAGATACCCCCTTTTTATAGAATAGAATAGCATGCGAGCATTGTTGGATGAGTATGGTATGAGAAATATATATAGATTGGCTTGGATTGGTCGGACTTGGTTGTTACGACTTTATATGGATGGGCTTGGAAAGTAGAGATACTACCTACAGAGTATATTGTATATAGATTTTAAAAAGGACTATTTGGAACTATGATTTGGAAAGAAAAAGAGAAATGATTCAAGTATTTAGTTTCGCTATTGTGTTGTTTCATCAACTCTTACAAGGCAAACGTCACGGTTCAAGAATGTCAATAGCAAATTCGCCGGTTCCCCGACTCACATTAATCTATACATACTAATCTAAAAATCATCCATCAAATCAATTCACCAACGTTCCATTCAATCCATCGAAGTCAAAAAAGGGCAATAGCAAAGCCAGTTCCATCTAATTTCCCAGCGCCGTTTCACATATGCAAGTTGTTCAGGTTTCCATTACGATTTCGCACTCCTTTAGTGAGTGCTAGACTTGAGGACAGGAGAAGTCGAGTCGCCAATAGTGACGGAGACGTTAAAGTTGGTAATGGTAGGACCATACGCGGCGCCGTACAGGCTGTACAGGCTGGCGCTGATGAGGGCGTCGCCCTTGGGGGCGCTGGCGGGGATGGTGATGGAGCGGGTGATGTTGTAGGTGACGTTGGACTCGTCTATTGTTTTTGTTTTGTTAGTTGGATAAAGCTAGATTTTGATAAAGCTAGGTTTGATAAAGAGACATACCGGGACCAAGGTAAGAGGAAGAAAGGACGCTGCCGAGAGACCCAGGGAAGCCGTCGCCGTTGGCGTAGCCAAAGACGATGGCGACGTCGTAGACGGACTGGATGTAGTTCTCGGTCAGGACGGTGGCCTTGACGGTAGAGCCGGGGGCGATGGTCTCGGGCACAGCGATGCCGACGATGATTGCGTTGGCGACGGCCAGGAGGGAGGCGATGGCGGCGACGTTGAAGAGCATCTTGAAGATTGTTGGATGGGTTGTTCTTTTAAAATATAAAAATAAAGAGTTGTTGAAGAGTGTTTATAAGAGTATTGTTGTAATTGTAGTTGTAGATGTGAGTGTTGATGATGAGAAAGGAAGGTGATGATGAAGAGGGAAGGAGTGTCTTTATATAGGTATTCGGTGGAAGGCCTCACACGAGCAGTTTCTACACGGAATACCGGTTGTAAGTTATTTTCAGCATCATGCCCATCGGTGGATCGACATCAACACGAGCTTTTGGCTCCTTTGCCAGTCAACCAGTGACGATGCTGGCTTGGAGGAGTGTGAGGGGGGAGGGACCCTTGTCTTGTTTTGCCCCCTTCTTTTGTTTGTATGTCTTTGCTATACAATCGATCTAGAACTTTTTGCTACTACTGAGTTACTGGGATAGGGTGGATGATGTCAGGTGGGAGGCGGGACACGACATTCTCTGTTTGCTACCGGATGCGTATGTAGGTGTACATGCATGTACGATTACGGTGAAGGTCAAGGGGACAAGGTGTACGTCGGTGCTCGATACGGACTTTTTCTTGCCCTGTGCTTGCCTTTGGGAAGGGATTAATGATCCTAGCGGCCTGAATTGCCGATTGACACGACGCAATGACGCCTTGGGGCCGGATCTGATAGGCCGGAAGGAAGCATATACGAAGGAGGGCCCTTTCTGGCGACTAGACTAGGGCTGAGGGGGGTCATGCAGATCGGCGGAGGAGATTGGATAAGCGCATTTTCCACTGTATTCTTTTCATGAGGTAACAGGGGACCTACGTGGCGATGAGAGGAGGGATTGGTGCTGAGCTGAGAATTTGAGGAGTGATTGGGCAGGGTTAGTTGGTAGTGTTTGGGGCTTATGCGTTGTGGGAGAGGCTGAGATGGTGTATATATAGATCGATGTACACTGTATAGTAATCTATATCATGCGAATAGTATAGGACTTGTTAACGCCGGATTTGTAGGCTTTGTTGTTATTGTTTCTGATGAGAAAATTATGGACGTTTTTTGCAAATTCTAGTATATGCTGTCTTTCCAGATGATTGGTAATTGGTACACCGTGTTTGTCAGGATGACGAAAATAGGAGATGCTGCGCGGATACGAGCAAGCTGCGTGGCTGCGACTGGGGTGGCGTTGGGCACTGCTTAAGGGGGTTGATTTGGAGCCAGAATTGGTAAGTTCCAACGAGGTGCAATAAGTTGATTCAACGTTGTATGAAATATGTCGAGATGTTGAATACTTTGTGAGAATGTTTTGGTACATTGATGGTATATGAGTGCAGAGAGTAGCATTTTTGTTAGCGTTTAGGCCTAGCCAAAGTGGAGGGCTGCCTGCATTACGAACAAATTATTCCCGAATGGCTACAGATCTTCGGGACTGTCGTCATGCACGACAGCTCAAGCTCAAGCTTAAAAGCCAGTTGAGCACCTGACTGTTTGGGGATAGACGCAACGTTGTATGTGTGTATAAAAGAGAGAGGGTGTGATTTATGACTTCATAGCTGTCCCTTATGTGTGTAGAATTGAAGGGTTTTTTGTGGCTTTTCAATTTATTCTGCTTTCGGGCCTATGGATCGGGAAAATTACAGGACAATGGTGATTTGACCCCACTTGGCGGGAGCGCCGGTAGATGATTGTTCGGCAGTGAAAGATTTTGACAGCTAGTGAGGCGTTTTGGTTTGAGGTGATGGTGATGATGCAATGGGAGTGTGTTGATGGGCATACAAAAGGGTGATGAAGATGTAAGTTGAAATTGAAGATGTAGACAAACAGACTATCCAGATGGTGACAGTCAAGTTGCTCTTTTAGTTGACAACTGCGTGTTGCTTCAGCATTGTAGATGCTGGTGGCGGTGGATACAATGACGGTAGGGGCTGTATTACCTACGCTGCTTGAGGGCGGGAATAGCTTCACATAAGGTACCCTAGAATCACGATATTTCCTGCGAGTTGAGAGTGCGCCTCAACCATCGACTTGGTTTTGGTTCTGTCACACTTGAATCGCGATGAATAGTTCTTACGTACTCCAATAGTTGGGAAATTTAAACTACGATGATGCCTGGAAGCTGTCTAATTGATCGGATGCAATAAGGGTATTTCAGGAAGTCAATTTTTGTAATTGAATAAGAATACGCAGCTTCGTTCTCACAACAGCATTTGTATTCACAGATCAATATTCTACTTTCATCGAGTTCACTCTTCTGCATATTTAAGAAAGGAGCAGATCTGGTTAGCCAAAACAGTGTACAAACGGTCAACAACACATAGAGAGTCATCGTGGTGCTTCAGATGCTGCGCGCAATCAAGAATTTCGTTCGTAGACCTTTATAAGATAATATTGTGTACTTCCCCCCAACTTACTACAATGGCTGCTCACAGCCAATCATCTTCCGTAGTATAGTGGTCAGTATGCAAGCTTGTCACGCTTGAGACCCGGGTTCAATTCCCGGCGGGAGAGTTCCGCCAATCCTCTAAGAGGACGCTTCTTTTTTTGGGCATCCGCTCGTTCTACCATTCTTTTGACACTTCTCTAGCTGTTATAATGTTCACAACATCGCGATTTTTTTCTTTCATGCATTTCTGTTTTTTCTCTTCTCTTTCCTTTCCGACCTTTGTTATCTCTTTTTTTGCTTTGTCTTGCATATACGAGCTGTGATACCCCCCGGCCTTCAGCGACCTTCAGCTTCTCCGCCTGAACCAATAATCTTGAAGCATGTCTTGGCCTTTTGCTTTTTCTTATATTCTTGCGTGGTACACGGAATACGTGTTACAGTTATAATAGCTGAAGTACGCGCTGGTCACCAGCCCTGGCTCTTAGCTGGTCATGGCTCATCTATATGGGGCCAATAGGAAATATTGAGATCCTGCGTCCTTGCATAGCTGCAACTACACTAGGCACTCTACAGCCTCGCCGAAGCAACGAGGCTACCAATAATAACCATGGTACAACAACATCCCCAGGCATCAAAATTCAGCTTTGGGTAGCAACTTGTCCGCCCAAAATGCCGCCTCAGTCTGTATATAGTCTTCCATTTCCCACATTTTCCTTCTCCATGGTCGAAGCGCACATCTATCCCGTACGAGATCCCAGGCAAAGTACACGCTGCATTGCTAATTTCCCTTGTCGTTTTCTGTTGTTCAAAAAATAGACCTTACTACAAATGGGGCTACTACAATGTCCCAATGCATTCCTTGTCTTCTGGCTTATACCCCTTGTTCAAGCTTACACGGTATTTGAGACAAATTGTTCTGCCCCTGCTACTCTATCAAACTATGTTTCGTCACCCAACACTCGTGGCACTCTCGACATCCTCTGGAGTTCTCTCTTTACAATCTTCGCTTGCACCTGGACCCTTCAGCATCCTAATGTCCCCGCACAACGCGACGACAGTCGCTCCGGACAATCGAAACATGTTAAATGGATGAGCGCTCAATGGAGAAGTGCTCAATGGAGCACTGCTAAATGGGGATTGAAAAGCTTATATAAAAGTACACTGAGGATGCTTTGCACGATTCTTGCTCCCGAGCTAATAATGACTACGGCTTGGTTTGACTGGGTGGCGGCACATAACAACTGTCGTGATATGCAGCGGTTCGCTGAGAATGACGGTGTTGCTTGGACTTTAACTCACAGCTATTTTGCAAATATGGGGGGTTTTGTCATTCGAGGCAAGCCAACGAAAGAACAAAAGCATCACGACCCCTACCATCTCAATGGTGATCTCATCTACCAACTTCGAGATGCAGAACATATCGAAAAGCTGCCTACCATTACAGAAGAAGAGATCAAAGACAAGTCTAAAGGTGATATTTTTGTCAAATTAATTGCACTTGGCCAAATTATTTGGTCTACAATTCAGATTATCGCACGGGCTGTTAGAAGGCTTCCTGTTTCACCTCTTGAGGTGGCTGTTGTGGCCTTTGCTATCTCTGCGGTCTTTATATACGGTCTCTATTGGAACAAACCACAGCGAGTTGGCGTCACTCAAACAATTCAGCTAAAGAACAATAATATGCAGAACGAGAGAGCCAAATTGGAACGAGTCACTGTGGATGAAGGACCCCTATTGCAAGGAAGAGCCACATTGGCAGAGAGTGCAATATCGATGGAAGAAGGAGCTATAACAGAAGAAGGAGCCATGGTGAATGAAGGGCTTATCTTAGAAGATGGAAGAATTCCGACTAAAGTCTACGATCTACTCAAAAACGGGTCTGAAAAAGTTCTTAAAGTTTTATTTGAGGGGCTCCTCTCACTTTTAGGGATCGAGATTGAAACAGAGACTCTACCTGGTGCGCCGATTAGCCTCGACTCGGCGCGTGAGGCAGGTGCTTGGGAGACTGCAGGCGTTGTGGGTGTTGGTGCGGCGGTGTTTGGTGGGATCCATGTTGTCGCTTGGAACTTTGCTTTCCCATCAACAGTTGAGTTGATCTTATGGAGATGCGCAAGCATTTATACGGCTGCAGCTCCACTTTGTCCAATGCTGCTCGATTACATCTACAACGAGCTGGGCTTTCATATCTGCATTGGAGAGGGCTTCATCGGCGCCTTTTACCTTTTTTCTGCATCCTTTTACGTCATTGCCCGGCTTTTTATTCTTGTCGAGATGTTTCGGACGCTTTGCTTCCTACCTCCTGGGTCATATATTTCTACTTGGACAACGAACATGCCACATCTTGCTTAGTAGGTGGCGTTGTGCGCCAGTCATACAGCTTCAATGTTGGATGAGAGGCCTAGAACCCATTTGGGGTTGCATGATTCGGGTACGCTGGTTTCTCATAAAGGAATTGTCAATACTCGAAATATATCGATTATTCTAATACCCCTTGTCCCGAATCTAATATTGATAACAACACATACTAAAAGAACGTAGCAACGGCGTTGGATACCTATCTAGGTGGAGAATTGAGTTTCTAGTATATACCTTATCTTCTCTGCCTCTCTTTACCGCACTTTATTACATGTACTGTTGTCACCAGGGTGCTGGGTATTGTCCGGGCACTTGATTAAATATTGATCGCATTCAATGGCTTAAGATCATGCGTGTTTTTGCCTATCTTCTTTGCCACCCGTGGGTCTTGTGTTGTAACTGTAAATACATGTACTTGACGATGCGCGCATTGATGATTCAATTTCTTCTCATATTAAACTCATCACGATAACCTCGGTTATGTCAGACCAATAATCTCTCATCTACAGCCTCCCAACTCAGACGGCGGCGCATCTCCGTCTGCGTCGTCACAGTGCGTCTCCAAAATGGCTCTGCCGCCAATCTGACACGATTCCGAATTTCCGACCACAGCAAAAGAGCTGCCAGCGGCACTAAGACGCCGACTCATGTCCGTCAGACTAAAGGGTCAAGTTTCATCCGAATCTTGAAATGACACAAGCTAGCCAGTTGCTCGAGCCAATCGGCTTCATTCGCAGCTGACGGCAGTCGCAAATTTCAGGTCTATTCTCGGCGAGAGCGTTTCTAGAAAAAAACTAGCTCGGCGAGCATCGTAAACAGTGGATGATGGCTTGCGGATCGATGGGTGGCTTGCATGATTTTAACATCATAGTGTGTCGTTTATAGAGCTAGATGGAGTACGAGAGTATATATCGCGATGTATATAAGTTGTCAAGGGGTCCATGTCTCCATCATCGCCATTATCATCATCATCAACAACTAGCAAACAAATCATCTCAATGCAACACTAAAGCATCAAAAGACATCTTACCCCAGACCTACAAACAACAGTCCATGTATAGCCAGCTACCATACAACCACCCCGGACTGTCTTCACGACACGAGAGGGATCTCCACCAAGCCCTCGTCTCCCAATTCGGCCAATATGAAGCTGAATCTCGCTCTTCAAGATGCCCACCAAGGGCCGTTTCTTGCGCGCGACCTCGTAAGAGCCTCGTTCGAAATCCGAGGGCCTACCTTTCACAAATCGCCGCGCATCTCGGCCAAATTCGTCGGCACCATGGTGGTGTCGTTTCCCACGCAGGTTAACGCGGCAAGCCCGGGACAAATCACTACGGTGGTGAGTAGCATTGCATGATTCAGCTATAGAATGCATTGGATTCACTGACAGGGGTTGTAGGTGTTTGAGCAACACAAGACGATTGAATATCGAGATTTGCAGTGGGACGAAGATGCCTCCACTGGCGAATCGATTTACACCACTCCCATAGAATTCGAGTTCCCAGATGGAGCGTGTTACTGCGGTAAACCCCAGAAATGCCAGCTCCCGCCCTCTTTGGACGTCACGGAGCAGAACATGAGAGTCAAGGTAGCTTACACCATGACTGTGTCTGTGGGCCGGAGCGTGCTTGGTGCAATGACAAAGACAAAGAGCGCGGGGATGGAAATTCCCTTTAGCTGCAACCCATCCATCGGAAGACTTCCACGATCATCCTGCGTCTTGTCAGTGCCAATGGACGAAAAGCCTGGACGACACAATGCACGCTTGCGAAATATGGTAATGGAGGATCAAGAGCACGATGATGGCTCATGTCCGTCATATAACCCGAAATATGCACCATCCATCAAAGTCGAAGTTTTGCTCCCTCAGCCAGCCATCTTGATCCGTGGCCAGCCAACGCCGGTTCAGATCCTCGTCCATACGCCTACCGATATGATTGAATCAGGCAACGTCTATCTCCGCAGTGTATCCATGGACTTGAAGACATTGATCACAACTTCCACCGGCGCGATACCGCGAACAATCACGCAGAGAAGACATGGATGCAGCATGGCTGGCGCAGTCAAGATTGACAGCGAGCTATTCGCAGTTGATTCGGGAGCATGGGGCAATTTTTTTGTCTTGAATACGAAGCCGACGACTGAGTCTTGCATATTGAGGATGGACCACGTGGTGGAGGTTGTGACGGGGATCTCTGTTGGGCTCGGAAATGACATTAGAGTAAGTTGACTCGGAAACTCCGATCATGGTGACGATTGAAGCTGACTGACTCGTGTTTAGTATGCTGTTGCGGCATTTGAAGTTATTGTGATGGATCCTCCACCCGCGTACGAAGTGGGTGATGCGATTCAAGCATAGATTACAAAAGCGATAGAGTCTACACTGGAGGATGTACGATAGATGAGGTGATACCCAGGCGGAGGAGCCTTGATGGACAAAGATGATACCCAGCCGTTCTTACGACTTATATGACGAATACATTAGAGATGGACAGCTTCGAAAGCTGCTTTATAGAATAAAGACAAATTAATGAATACACAACTCATCTACCATGATTAATAAAACTGTTACTCCCAAACTCCATCCATATGCTTACGTCTACCGCGACTTCACTGCCATCCGTAGCGGCGTTTCTCCCCTCGCCGTCCTCCACCGATTGGTCGACTCAAGCAACTCGCCACATCCATCTACCGCCCACGACCATTTCCTTAGAAATCCCGGTGTCACCTCCCAGCTATCCTTGTGGAACGGCTCGCCCCACAGAATCAGCCCCCTGCGGTCAGTCGGAATATCCTCATCCTCCCCCTGAGCCCTGTTACCAAGCAGCGAATGCGTCGTCTTGGGCGGCGGAGCGGTCATGCAGCTGATAAGGTTCCCCAGGAGGTCCGTCAGAAACTCCGCATGGCTAAAGTAATTTTCCCACCGAATCAGATTGTCCCTCATCTTCGGAAAGGGAAACACGTCGATCCAGTTGGAGTGGGGGCACGACATCTGCAGCTTCGTCGGAGCGAGACTTTCAGGGAGGTGGATTTGCACGAGGGAGGTTGCTTCTGGGATGTGAGGGAGGATCTTCTTCAACTGGGCCGTGGCGCTGCCTGTGCATTCGATAAAGGCATTCGGCTTGATGACTTTCTTGTTGTATGAGAGGCCCCTGAGGACGTTGAAGTGGATTAGATGCAGCAGGTGATCGGAGAGCAGGCAGTAGCTGAGGCCTAGCCAAGGAGCAGAAGTGCGGCCTGGGATTGTGGTAGAGACGGAGACTAATGCACTACCATGCGGAACAAGTCCCCTGCTCGGCCCTGGATGCTTCGAGACGACCAGCTGATTGGACGGAGCGGACTTGTCCTTTACAGGCACACAGGCAGATTCGCTCGGAATTTCCCGTGGCTTGATGTATGGTATGTCATCCTTACCGTCATCTATCCGCCAGCGATGGACTCGGTAAGGCTGTCCCGTGCCGTCAATTCTCCTATCCCGGGCTCTCGATCCTTGATGCGAGTTGTTAGTCCTAAGGGAATAGCCGCTTAATACAATTGTGTTTGCTCTACGTACGATGTGCTCTCTGATTAAGCCGGTTCTGAATCTTTCTACGAGCCAAACGGATCTCGCTGGCCGTCAGATCTGCATCAGAATCAGGGATCGATCGAACCTTGCCGGGTGCTCGAGTGTGTGTGCGCGAGCTTGGCGCCATGACAATGAGAGTGTGTAACCAAAGAGAGGAATAGTAGTAATCAGATGTATACAGAGATACAAGCTACCTCCTTGCATTCCACAGGGCATTACAGAGGGATGAAATAAACAAGAGAGAGAGTGCAAAGCAGCCAGTTCGTGATGCTGCGGCTAGGGGTCGGCGTTTAGCCTCCACGCCGGCGGACTATCCCGCAAGAGGCAAAAAGTGTCATCACTCCGTGTGGGCAGAATCGGCAGATGTGGGACCTGCGGCGTCTTACAAGTCCGCCGGAGTGGGAATGAGGCAGGCTAAGCTCAACGGGGGAAAAAGCATCAGCCGGGGATTGAGGATATTGTCGGATTTATGGGGGTTCGTGCATGAGGCTTGAAACTGGCGAGAGATGGAGGCGAGATGAATACGCGGATAGACGAATACACGAGGATGTTTGGGATGGATATCCGGATTTCATGAAGATGGAAAAGGGTTGGATATATAAGAGGAAACAATTTTCCACGACGGATGAATAGAAGAAATCATCACCGAGTTACACACATCTCATCACCACCACTTACACCACCACCATCACTGATATCGGCATCACTTACACCAAAACACAGCCATCATGTCTCGCTACGCAGAGTCTCACATCTCTCCCCAAGGCCCCGGCGATGCCAGACCAACCGCCCTCCAAGTCGTCAAAGACGAGCAGATGACCGACCAGCCCAAGGGCAAGGTCATCGTCGTCACCGGTGTCTCATCCGGTCTTGGTGTTGAGACCGTCCGCGCCCTGGCCACCACTGGAGCTTCCTTCATCCTCACTGCCAGAGATCTTACTAAGGCTAAGAATGCTCTCGGCGACATCTTTGATGTATCACGCATGAAGCTTGTCGAGATGAACCAGAATTCGCTCGCTAGCGTTCGGGCTGCGGCAAAGACTATTCTCGCTGATACGCCCAAGATTAACATCCTCATCAACAATGCAGGAATTATGGCCGTTCCTGACCTGCAACTCACTGATGATGGTCACGAATCACAGTTTGGCGTTAACCACCTCTCTCATTTCCTCTTCTTCCAGCTTCTCAAGCCTGCCCTTCTCGCTGGCAGCACCCCTGAATTCGGCTCTCGCGTCGTCAACATCTCTTCCGCCTCGCATCGCTTCTGCGGAATCAATGCCTCGGACAACTATAGCTTCCAAAAGGGCGACTACAACAAGTGGGTTTCCTACGGCCAGTCCAAGACGGCAAACGTCTACATGGCCAATGAGATTGAGCGACGCTACGGATCACGCGGCCTTCACGGCTGGAGTCTTCACCCTGGCGGCATCCAAACCGGCCTCATGAGATACATCCCGGAGGAAGAAGCCAAGGCCATGATTGCGCAGATCGGGCCGGAGGTTCTGCAGGGCATGAAGAGCCCGGAGCAAGGGGCGGCGACTCAAGTTTGGGCAGCGATCGCGAGGGAGCTGGAGGGCAAGGGAGGGAAGTATCTGGCTGATGTTTCTGTGGCTGTGCCTGGGCCGGATGATAAGGACATGTCGAAGCCGACGACGGTGAGCCATACGTATGATGCGGCCGAGGAGGCGAGACTGTGGAAGGATTCGCTCAAGCTTGTTGGCTTGGAGGATGATCAGTAGGAGGTTGAGAGAATACTTGCATGTAGCGAGGATAATTTATAATCAAGAGCATAGAGATAATGGATGCTTGTCCTTCCCACTGCCTGCTATCAGTATCAATATTTGACCGGATATACTTGCCTGCTTGTCTAAATGACTACTGGTGATATTCAACTCATGTGGCAATCCACCTTCGCCAACAGAGCCTTTCAGAAAATACTGTACACTATGTCGACTTGCTTCTCACTAGGCTATATTTTTTATTCACACATCGTCGAGACATTTGGTGCCTCAGATGCCAGTGCTTCTGACTCCTGCATCGTCAACAATTGCCTAAAAATCGAATTGGCCCTTTCAGTCCGATGATGGAGCCAACTGAGGTTCTTGGACAGGAAACCTGGAAATTAGGAGAGTGATACATTGGTTTGAAACAACTCCACATCATTAACTCTCTTAGAGATTGGTGGACACGACTAATTAGTGAAAATTCCAAGAAACGGATGAGTTGCTAGTGTTGACGCTATACTCTGATTCAAAGAGTCACACGTCAACTTGTCTTCGATCGCGACATTTTTTGTCAAATCATCACCTTATATTCAAATGAGAGCCCTGATGAAAGTTGTAAGAATACAGATGGATGGATGGTCCTCCGGAAGCCTTCTTCCGTACATTAGGAGACAGAAACAATGAGGGCTCTCCTTTCCTTCTCTCCACCCTTCAGCTGTAGTCTCAGTTCAGGCAGCCAAATTTCTATCAAACTACATTCACCGCCTCGCCTATGTATCCCTTTGGGACATCTGGCACCAAGGCACCAAGCCGTGTCTCAGATAACCAGCAGACGCGGCATCTCCCAGGCCGAGCGTAATACTATGAATGGCGGGGATCACCGCCCGTAGCTGGCAAAGTGAGACATGCGTCTCTATCACATCGCCAATCACTCAAGATAAGGCGGCTGTGATTGACAATTTCACTATCGCGCACGTAGATCGAAATATCCCCCTCGAGTAAAATGGCCGTGCGCGCAATGATAGAAAGGGAGGACAAATCTTTGTCTCACTTCAGGGTGCGACAATATGCCGATATATCCGCACCGACATTGAGCTGAGAGCCAGTATCCCAGGTTCCCGTCCCATGACGTCGAGGGCTGATAAGGCGCAATGAGACTCTTACTCAGACTGTTTGAACCACCAGGTCGGTGAGAGAAGACAATGAGCTAGAGTCTCATGTTTAAGGATAGGCCCTTTGTGCTTGTCATGTGGTCAATATAATGAGATTGTCTCTGTTGTGTGTCTCTGGGATCGCCGAGCGGGACACAAAATTCCGTGTGCCTTTGGTATGTTCTCAGCTTGGATTGTGCTTCATCGCAATGAGAGGGAGCATCTATCACGACCCCCTTTAATCCATCTAGTAAGAGTATCGTCGAGAGTAGAAAGGCTCCCCCTTTGTAGCATAGCATCTGAGAGATGGTGTCTAATGGTTCTGCATTAGACTCTCTATATAAAGCCACTCGATGCACTTATAGCAGTGTCCTGATATAACTACATTCATGTTCGAAATCCAACAAGGCTTTCAGGTACCACAAAGCCATGATCGGAACTTAGCCGTAGCACAATGATTGCCCAATCATCTTCCACGAAAGAACAGGTCCGGGCGTCTTCTTGACCGCGGCTATTACTCAGCCTCGACTGAAAAGAACAGTCATATTGCACGGCACAATAGAAAGGTGTTGCTTTACAGACATAAGCTTAATACAAGGTCAGTGATCGACGCTTCCTCTTTCCCAGAGGGCTATTTGCCCTCTGGGCGGTTTCACTCGGGGTCTCGCAGCAGGCATGCTGTCTACCTTGGGGAAAGTAGAAAACAGGCAGATCATTATTAAAGAGCTGCTGAAGAACATGATTCAATACATCAATTTTTGGAACGCAGGGTGATATCATCGCCAAGATCAGATAGATTCGCAGACATACTCCATCGTCGGGAAGCATCTTAGATTCGGGGAAAGAAGCCTAACGTAAGGCACAATGTCCATCTTGGCCGCTTGGCGTGCAGAGTATGCCCACAAGGGGAAGCTCAGGGCTTTTCCTTCGGCAGAGACGAGGAACAGGGCGATTGCTTGTCTGATAGTCTCCTTCGTTTCTGCCTGCATGTCTTACATATAGCATGTGTGCCCTTGTGAAACTGTAGCCAGTGGTTCCACAGATATCACACATATCGGAACGATAGTAGTCGCCGTACTCGTAATACCCGTAGGAGAGAGGCACCGATATACACCATTCGACTAAGTTCGCGTCCACAGGAACCAGCGACTAGCCCCCGTGCCGAACCATGGTCTATCATATTTCACATCGGTAAAACCGTAGCAATTGTCTGACCATTGCCTCTCTAAACATGGAAAGACAAATACTTTCCTGGATGATGAAATACCCTTGGCCCTCAAGCTCTCGGTTCGTAGTGATGCCCGTGGGAGCTGTCTGCCGTCGTATCCGATGAACCTGGGTGGGTGGTGGCTTATGGCAGTGTGGACGCTTCACAGATATTATTCATACAGAAAGGTGAATAAATACCCATCTTCTTTCTTTTCGGCAAAAGCCCAAAGGAGCAAACCGGGAGCACCTTCAAAAATCGCTTGTACGAAGATGAAGCCTCTTGGTGCACTCGCTACGGCGCTGCACGTCTTATTACGTGCCTCTTTGTCTCAAGCCCTCTCGTCTGCAGACAGTGCTTTTCCTCCGTTGCTCGACGCTACTCTCGCTGACCTGCGCTTTGGGTTGGACAATAACCACTTCACCAGTGTCGATCTCGTCCAGGCCTACATTGATAGGATCTCAGAGGTGAATCCTGACCTAAAGGCCGTCACTGAGATCAACCCAGATGCGCTCTCGATTGCCTTGGAGCGTGACACGGAGAGACGGGCGGGAATAGACCCTGCCAAGCAGCCTCTCCATGGCATACCTATCCTCCTCAAGAACAACATTGCCACAGACGATGAGATGAACAACACTGCTGGGTCATATGCACTGCTGGGAGCCAGAGTTCCCCATGACAGCACCATTGCCTCCAAACTACGCAAAGCGGGCGCCATCATCCTTGGTAAAGCCAACCTTTCGCAATGGGCTGCCTCTCGAGAGGTAGTCTTGCACGAAGGTTGGTCGGCTCATGGTGGCCAGGCAGTTGGCGCATACTTTCCAAAGCAAAATCCCAGGGGCTCATCATCGGGGAGTGCCATCGCCGCCTCTCTCGGTCTTGCTTGGGCAGCTGTTGGTACAGACACGGGCGGATCAATCCTCATGCCCGGTCATGCGAATAACGTCGTCGGGTTCCGCCCCACGGTGGGACTAACTTCGAGATATCTGGTGATTCCATATTCGCTGAGGCAGGATACCGTCGGTACCTTGACTCGGACCGTTAAGGATGCTGCGTATCTCATGCAAGCCATGGCTGGGCCTGACAAGCGAGACAACTACACGGATGCTATCCCTTTTGACACGATACCGGACTATGTTGCGGCATGTTCGAATTCAGGTCTCAAGGGCAAGCGGCTCGGCGTGTCCCGCAACACAATGGCGGCAGATATCGACCCGTCAGCAAACACTGACCCGGAGGCATTTGAAAAAGCTCTGGATGTGCTTCGCGCAGCTGGAGCAGAGATTATTGACAATATTGATTTGCCCTGCAACAACGCCCCTACCGACCAAACCAAAGGGCGCAGAAGTAACCCAGCGTCCGACAACTCCCTAGCTGCCGCCATGGCTGCCATCTTTGCCATCGTCGGCGCCGACTTTTTGTCTAGCTTGCCGGAAAAGTACCTCAGCCTCCTGAAAGTAAATCCGAACAACATCACTTCAGTCAGGGATCTGCGAAATTTTACCAGGGACGATCCTCAAGAGGGATTCCCGCGGTTTGATACCACAGCATGGGATACCTTTCTCAAGCTTGGCCTCACCAACACGGATCCGACTTACTGGTCCAACGTTACTGCAGCCACAGAGTTTCTCGGACCGCAGTGCTTCACAGGAGCGCTGGAAAAGTACAAGCTGGACGCAATGGTTCATCCGACGCCGTACTCGGTCGTCATGGCAGCCGGTCTGGGACTTCCCGTCGTCAGTGTGCCGCTGGGCCGCGCTCCTGATGATTCCCCCATCGTTCCATCAGATAGGGGAAAATTGATGCTGTCGGCTCCCAACGGTCCGTTCGGCATCGCCTTTTCCGGCCCGGCGTTTAGTGAAGAGAAGCTGTTTGCTATGGCGTACGACTTTGAGCAGCGTACAAACGTACGTACGTCAATCAAGCCATTTATTGCACCCACGACGGAACTAGCGCATGTCGTGCGGAAACGATGTCTGCGGGATCTAAGAGGTGCCTGTGGAAAGGAATTCAAATAAATTCGGTGAAATATTGGTGAATTGAGTGCAATACGGCAAATGCGGCTATTTGCTTTTTCGGCGATGAAGATCTGTGTTTGTTGAGTCGATAGTCCTGCGTACGGAGTAGTGCTTGTGAAGCCGTCCAGTAGTGAATAGGAAAGTAATAAACTCTGTCAACCACCCGTAAAGACGAGATCCAGCAAGATAGTGATTTGACAATCATATGTATGTGCCTCTGATAATTCAAGGCAATGTGTCGTCTTCGTTTTTTAAGGTGATGGAAACAACGATGGTAGGATCGGCCTCAGTATCACGACTCGAGCCAAAAAGGATATGATAATACTCCGCAATTGCTGTGCCAGCCAAGCCAAGATATGGATCGGATTCGGTCATGCAACGTGAAAGCCGAGAGCGAAATGTACGTTGCCGGCTCCAGATGCTTGCCGCGCGGTTGATCTGGTCTTGGCTGCATGTCATACCCATATCGCATGCAGATTTGGTACGCTAGCATGGTTAGGCTTATTTGACAGCTGAAGACGCATGGGCTTCAAGTATTTGGGCATATGAGCTGACGATGGAACTCTGGCCGGAGCGCACTTCGGTTCAACCACGGAGTCCGCTGTGGGTTGATAGATCCGATGCTGCAAGCGATCGAGTCACAGCTGCGTTATCATCATGTCAACACACAGACAGACCTGGAAGCTGGGTGTTTGGCATTGAGAGAAGCATGCTGTCCATACGACATGATCATCTTGGAAACAATCATCCGCTTGCCTCTGGCTGAGACGCAAGATGAAGATATCAGACCTTTCCAGTCCATTCAAGCTCTCAGCATAGCATCGCCAACTCAAAGCCCCGACAGCGATCCGGACCGTCGGCTCGACCCCTTCACGGACCAGCATCTCGGCCTTTATCCAAATCGTTAAAACTCACCATCGAATCGGAGGCCACACCGCGCAGTTTTATGGAGAAAGAACTGATTCATCGTAATTCCGTGCTGACAGATGCCTCTGTAATCGTGTGGATCCCTTTATTAACCCGCTGACTCACCCAGAACTGGCCAATCACCGCAACGCCGAGTCAAAGATCTATCAGAACACGAGATACGGGGGAGCTTGTCGCATTTTTCGGAGGAGTTGTAAGTTTTCTTGAGATATAAAGGATATTTCCAGGCGACTTTTACAAGAATATTTGTGAGAGAGAAAAAAAAAAGGATCAGGAAAGTGAAAAGACGAATGATTTTGGCGAGGATACGGACGAGAATTCCCCTGTTCAAGCAAACTATTTTGACTGGGCGTGGGATTATTGCTGCTACTGCTGTTGCACCTAGAGGGAGAGCTTTTATATCGAATTCTGCAACAAAGAGATACGCTTTCAACATGGCTGAGGCCAGTGGCAAAAATGATGCGAGCGCCGCAAAGGAAGAGCTTCCTCCACTGACGGACCATGAGTTCAAGAACTATAACCGTCTTGCCGAAAGAATGGAGTTGTTTGTAAGTAACATCGCTGCTCCCACTTATACCCACGTCATGTATAAAGCACATACCTGCATATACATGCATACACATGTATGTTGCATCATCTCACACTTGACTCACAGCACAACAACTTCCGTCGATCATGGAACATTCTCTGGCAAGCCTGCACTACTGGCCGTCGTCCTCAGGGCATGTCCATCAAACAACTCCTCAACATCGGCACCGAGTTTGCTGAGCATCTCACCATACATCATTCCATTGAGGAGACTTACTTCTTCCCTCGACTAGCCCAGAAGATGCCTGAGTTTAACCCCAAGAATGGCGACTTGGTGAAGCAGCACGCCCAGATCCATGAGGGCCTGGAAGGATTCGAAAAGTACCTGAACGAAGTAAAGAGCGGCGAGAGGGACTTTGAGTTGAGCATTTTGAAGGAGAAGATGGAGAGCTGGGGAGGCGTGCTGTGGGCGCATTTGGATGACGAGGTGAGATCGTTGGGGGCAGAGAATATGAGAAAGTTTTGGACATTACAGGAGATCCGGCGGTTCCAAATGTAATTGGTTTCGCTGCGACATCTCTTTTCTTTTTGTTTTGTTTTGTAGATACACTTTGGAAGCATAGTCATGACCGGTAGATAAAGCGATGTAGACGGATCAAGATGATTGGCAAAAGATACATGCGTGCATTCATAAACGTAAATGGTAAAATATAGCTCAACTATTACATGTGATCCAAACAAGCAAGACAGACAAAAAGCTTACATACCTATCCAACATTCTACCATTGCCCAGGTTCCCAAATATTCTTGCGAGACCAAGCGCATCTTTTACTCCGGTAGATGGTCTTACCCGCTGTGTATCTATATGTTGTACTGAGACAGGTGCCAAAATGCCTGCGCCTTTCCGGGTTCTGTGAGTCCTATCACTTCAACTTCATGTTGCACAACCGTTCACGTCACCTAACAGATACCTCACCCCTTTCACCGGGGATTTCGAGGAGAAGAAAATTCAACAGTCTTAAGCCGTCTCACGCCAGAGATCAATCATCTGTCCCGTTGACGGATACATCGCCAGCAAGGCAATTGCCGTCTCAGGCAGAGGTCCTCCACCAACCATGCCCCATTGGACAGTCAATGGGGCCCAAGCCAAGTTGCGGAAGAAGCTCTTGTTCCAAGTCTTTGCCCAAGCGGCATCCTTGGCCTGAGCGCTCTTGCGGGTGCGCTCCAGCAGCAACCTGGCAAGCTCCATGAAGGTATACGCACCCCAGCATCGCACACTGAGGAGGCCAAACTTGCCCATCGTCGTGGGCTTCAGATCAATGGCCTTTTTGCTGCCCAGGAACGCGAGGTTCTCAAACACTTGATATAGGATGAGGGCGACGATCTGGCTGAGACCGAAGACGGTGTCGAACCGCGCCAGAGCGACCGACTCTGATCCCTCTTTCTCTGCATCTTCCTTTTTTGGGCGCGGCCGGGAGAGGACTCGCTTGAGCGCAAAGTACAGGCCCAGCAGACCCCAGAGCCGGTTAATCGTCCGTGCCTCGCTTAATACGCCCGCAAAGGCCTTGAGCTTGGTCGCCAGGTTAAGCGCAAACGCCGCACCGGGAGGCGCTGGGGCTGATGAGAGAACGACGGTCGTGGCGGGCGGCAGCTGGAAGGCCATGGCAATGAGCTTCTGTGCCGACTGTCGCAGCGCATTGCGGCTCAGCGTCTCGAGCACGGCGCCCGACAGCTTGGAGGAGTAGCAGAGGAACTGCAGGACGGCATCGGCGCCGGCGCGGGTCTGGAGGCATCGCAGCAGATGGCCAGCAAAGGCATCCGCGTTGGAGGGCACGGCGGCTAGAACGGCGCCAATGGGTGCCTTGGCCGGCGTAGGAATCGAGGGAAGAGGATCGGCTACAGCGACGGCCGAGGAGTCGATGGCGGCGGCCACTTCAGTCGAGGCCGAGTCGACGGGGATGTCGGCCACGTCGGTCATTGTGGCGGGCGGAGAGGAGGAGGAGGAGGTAGAAGAACAAACGAGACGAGGAGAAAAAGAGGAAGAGGTGAGACGAGGAGAGGAGAGGAACAAGAAGTGAAGCTGACGATAAAGGGCGCGGTTATCGATTAGAGCCGATCCGAGTCTTATCTCAAGGCCGAGTCAAGTCGAGTCGAATTGCGATGGCCAAGATGCAGCGCAGACGCTGATGCTGATGCTGCACTGAAAGCGGTTGATTGACGCAAGCTTGGACGCGCGCTGACTCTCAATGTTCGGGTAATGTAGCATCAATTAATTAAAGTAATCCAATTGCCCTGGGGTGAGCAGCTCAGCTCTTATTATTAGCCTCTTTGCTGTAAACCTACCGCCTGTTGAGGCGCTGCCGAGGTCCACCCCCACAAAACCTCGGATAAGGCGTAAGATCCACTACCGCGATTCTCTCCACGTTTTGGCTTGCTGCCACTCGGCTCAGGATTATTAATATTTTTAAAGTTCCACTTTCTTTTGGGGAAAAGAGAAACTGTGTGCTTTATTTCATGTAAGATGGGGGATTTCATGTGCCATTGACGGGTTTGATTGGTGGCACGGTGACACGGTGCACAGTGATTTGGAGGCGCGTTGGTGGTGTGTTGTCGACAGCCGTCGTAGCGTCTGGGGGGGGCTCCACAGAATCGACTTACAGGGGGCTCCTCACGTCCAACGTAAGATCTCGCAGAAACCAATCTACTATTAAAATGAAAGGGGAATGGCTCATTGGCATGATGATTAAGTGTCTAGTATCTTTTACTGCCAAGGCAAATGAACAGCATATTCTAGGAGATTTGCGCATCTTGTTTCTGTGGTTTGATGTCAAGTAGAGGACCAGAGGATAGATGTAGGCACTCAGGCTGTCATAGAGAGGAGAATTGATCATGATTAATCTCTCTACGACCATGTATCGAGAAGAATGCAATGTCTGCTTGAAAATTGCATAGCAGCAATAAACTTACCCGGCTAGAAATACATCTCTCAGTTTTACTCTCGAGGATTAATCCAACTTGAGATACCCGCAGCAGTCAGAGCCCCCCGTTCTTCATTCTTTATCAGCACGCAGAGAGCCTTTCATGTTGGATACATTTCACAGGCCTTTTCTTAATTTGCAAAAATTAAAACTCAAATTTACCATTTCTTCTAATTAAATCTATACGCGTACATCTCCAGTGTACCCATTACTTACGTTCCATCACCGTAAATGAACGCCAACTATCAGCCCAAGGAGAATAGTCAACAAGATCTGGAATCCTCCAGCTGCACTATCAAATGGCAGGCAGCTGCAATTGTTTCTCGCATTGATGTCACTTCAGCCTGGGTCACGTTCCTGTCAGGTGACTGCAAGGCACAACTGAGCAGTGCTGGAGAGGAAGGTTCAATTCACTTCTCAGTTCACTCCTTCACTGTTCGCTAGATCACCTGATCTCGCCAACACAATTTGCACATTCGATTTTGCGGTCACCCAAAATTCATATTCCAGGTGCTCACAATTTCTCCAGCCAATGGAGAAATCCTCTTGATCTCTACCAAGTCATAAAACGGCGCCCTCTCCTGAGACTACCATCAAACGAACAGTTTCTATCACCGCCAACGTCCCTTTTCTGGAGAAAGCCAGCCACAGCGATGGATTGCACTTCTTCTGATGGCAACTCTGAGAAATCTCTAGAGTGGTTTCCAGGAACTCCTCAGCAAGAGAAGCAATTTCGAAAATGGATCGAGGAAGCAGATGAACCTCTCTGTCTTGAAGATGTTGAGGAGTGGCTAGTGGCCAATGCTAACAATCTTCTAGAAGGAGATGATGGGGGTATAGATCTTGAGCAACTTTCCAACAACATTGCCAGGGACTTCCAAAGGGTACTTGTATCTCACCTTCTAAGTAGCTTTTCTAACCTGGGTGTCACAGAAAATCTCCCCCACAGCCATCATCAGACTTCCTGGCTATGGATGTCCTCTTGACTTCAGGTATGTTGGCTTTTGGCCTGTCATCTCAACCAACGACGGGATTAGGTGGTATACTACACCGCTGTGGAGCAGAGAGTTATGTATGATAAAAGTTATCGAAGAAATCACCAACAAACCTGGATGGTGTGATGATGTTCGTCATGCCCACATAGCAGCCAAGTGGAAAAAAGAGATACTTGGGCTGGATTGGAGCAAATATCTCAGCTATGCCGACTTTACACCTTCTATGGCCGACTTGGTAGGTTTCAGAGACTCAAAGCGTTTCTATTACCGCGACAAGGGCATTTCCTAATTTCTCCAGAGTTTCTCTTTGCTCTCAGTTAACTAATTTGGGCTCGTTATGTAGTGTATCGATGAGCTGAAGCTCAAAGCGGATCTATATGAAAAGACTGGACTCATTCCTGTCTTAGACTCTGCTGCTTGTGTTATCAAATCCGACAAGCTTGTACCTGATGCCCTAAAGCGGGAACTATCTCTTGGTCGCCAGAAACTATTCCAATCCATGACGGATAGTGACAAACCTCGCGATGAATTCACCATCGATTTGATAGACCCCTTTACATGCCCGCTCATGTATCGCCGCTCTCGAATCCTTCCTGATAGAAGTATCGATCTCACCAACTGTCTAGAAGCTTGCGGTAAGGGGGATATTCTTCTTAGCCCTTCGGATCCGAAAAAACGAAGCCAGCGATACAACATGCTTGATCCATCTTTCCAATGGCTTCCGTGCGACGTCATCGTGGATGAGACTGGAAAAGCCAAGATCAACAGTTACATCAACAACCTACATCCAATTGAGCACGCTGATCTGTACACTACCATCGAAAAATTCATCAATCTGGCCCTACCAGCATTGGATGTCATATACAGATGGCCGTTTGAGTTTGATCACCCGCGAATAGACTCGCATGACATCTCTTATGACTGTAAAGTTCCTGAGATCTGCGCCGACAGAGAATGCAGTTGTTTGAACATCCCAGCGGAAAAATGTAAGACATTGGCTGCATGACAGCATTTACGGTTGCATCAATGGCTACAATACTGACATATTTATCTTATGAAGTCGAAGAATACAAGACAGAGCGGCCACAGAAAGAGGAATCAGCGAGTGCCTACGAAGACAAGAACGATCGCATCCTAAATCTCAAACTGGAACGCAATGAGACCCATATGGAGCATTTACTACGCAAGTGGTTTGATGAAGGAGAAGATTGGTGCCAACATATATTAGAAAATCGCGTTGACCCGCTCAACAAATGGTTCCATGAGACACACCCATTACACTTCTCTGAGCCAATATCAACACACTGGTATCACGAGGCTCACCTAAACGCGTCAGACGTCCGCTCATCCGCCTTTTTCTCGCAAAAGTTTTCCCCGCACAAGCGTGATCGTCTTCAGATCATTGTTAAGTTGACTGAAATTCATCTTACTCCCGAGAATCCAAAATACCTGTGTGACTCATGGAAAACGGATGGCCTTCTCAACGAACATATTGTGTCTACAGCTCTTTTCTGTTACGACAGCGACAATGTCACGGATGGTTATATGTATTTCAATACTGTGATTGACCGACCGGATTTAGAGCGCATGCGACGCGTCGACAAATTTGATGCTGAGCGAGCATACGCCTTCAAGCCAGCAGAAGGAGAGTTCCAGACTATAGGTCGTGTTCTTATCAATACTACTATGGCCGTCTTCTATCCCAACATCTACAGACACCACCAGGGATCTTTTTCGCTCGTCGACCGCTCTCGGCCAGGTCATCGCAAGATACTCGTGTTGCATCTTGTTGATCCAGCCATCCCCATAATATCGACATCCAACGTACCGCCACAGCAATTCCACTGGTGGACCGAATGCAAAGCTCATAATGAGGGATTACAGATTATTGAAAGGTTACCGCCGGAGCTGCAGGTAATGGTGAGCAATTATGTGGATTTCCCGATCGACAGTGAGAAGGCGAAGGAAATTCGAAATGCTCATCGGGTTAATAGGGTAAGGCTAGAGTATCCTATAGTATATGAGGATCAAGATGATGAGGACTAAGATGATGAGGACTAAGATGATGAGGACTAAGATGATGAGGACTAAGATGATGAGGACTAAGATGATGAGGACTAAGATGATGAGGACTAAGATGATGAGGACTAAGATGATGAGGATCTGGATGACGAAGATCTAGATGATGAGAGCCAGGATGAGGGTTCTGATTCAGATGAGTCTAATAATGAATGAGTAGCTGGTGGTATTATGAAGATGAAGAGTATGTATCAAGATCCAGTTAGATGATATTCGACTAGATAGGTTCACTTTGGGATTCACAGCTGCGCGCACAACGGCCAGACACGCATTTTGAGAGAAATACAAGGCAGACATTCATTCTATGTTTTATGCATTCCCTTTTTAAAATTTCCAGTTCAACCTATCAAACAAGTGTAGCGAGTTCCCTCCGTTTCCTCGCTCGATCGCCCGGGACTTTTTCTTCCATTACAAGAGAAACCCCCTCCTTTGATCCCATGCAAGCAACACAAGGAGAAAAATAAAAGGGATTTGAAAACACAACAAGTAAAAGTGTTCAAGAGATCAAATTCGGACGCCCTACCAGCCACCACCCCCTTCTCGTAATCATATGCTTCCACCCTAACCACGGACAGCAGCTCCCAGAGCTCCGCCCGTGAACTGCGTGCCACCAGCCTGTCGCTGGGGGTTGCCGCCGCCGCGAGGACCTCCTCTGCCACCGCGGGCACCTCCCCTGTGGCCGCCTCGGCCTCTGCCGCCTTGTCTCTCAAAGGCACTTGATGTGCCCTGTGTGCGCTGCTCCAATGTCCGCTCGTTGGTCTCGATGAGCGCGCTGGCCTTGTCTGATAGAGCGAGGGCCAGGGACTGGAGTCTGCTGAGCTCGACTCCCTTGCGGAAGATGACGTTGTTGGTGACCTGGTCGAGGGAGGCAGCGAGCTCCTCGTGGCTGATCATCTTGCTGATGACGGCAGCCACCTTGGTGGAGTCGAGCTCGAACATGCTGCTGAGGGTGTCGATGGCGAGGGTGTCGTAGAAGGGGGCGTAGGTGAAGAGGTATGTTCGGAGACCCTCCTCCTGGATCTGCTTGGACAGCATCTCCTTGATATCATCGGTGTTGGGCATCAGGTCCCAGATCTTGATGCTGTGGATGTAGGTAATGGACTTCTTCCACTCTCCAGCAGCCAGAGCCTTGGAAGCCTGCATCACGTGGTCACGAGTGTTCTCGGGAGGTCCAGTGAAGATCTGTCTCTCGTGGTACTCGAGCATACGGCGGTAAGTCTTGCTGATGACGCGCTTCTTGACGTCGGGGGAAGAGCCAGTCTGGGCGAGGAGGGGAATCTCCAGAAGCATGCTGCAAGTGAGGTATACGCACTCGAGCAGCTCCAAGTTGATGTGCATGTGGAAGGGCAGCTGTCGCTGCTTCTCAAGGCGCTCCTGCTCGGGAGAGACCTGGCTGTATCGCTGCATCATGACACCCTGGGCGAGCAGCTCCTTTTGACGGCCACTACCGCAAATCTCCTGCAGGGTGTTCTGAGCGTCATAGATAAGACCCTTTCGGAAAGCGCAGAGACCGACTTGAACAAGAGTTCGGTTGTACAGGATCTGGCTCTGGATGTCGAAGCCGGTAACAGTCTCCTGCAAGTGTGACATGAGCATCATGTCGCGAGCCTTGTAGTACTCGTCGTGGAGAGCAAGGAAGTAGACTTGAGAGAGCAGAGCTCTGGCACGAAGGATACCCTCGCTGTGGGCGTAGAGGTAGCCGCAGAGGACGTTGACCAGGGTGGCGGGGTCCTGGGCTTGAGCACGAGGAGTGGTAGTAGAGTCGACGTTCTCGCCGACGGCCTTCCAGGAGTTCTCCTCGAAAGTCTTGACAACTTGGGCGGGCTATATATCACGTTAGCAACGCATGTTTAAACAAGGAAGATAAAGGATTCCTTACCTTGAAGTAGACGTGCTCTAGTCGTCGCATGACAATACGGTTAACACTGTCCTGAGGGACCTCAATGGTCTCGTCCTTCTTCAAGGTCTCGTAGTACAGAAGACCACGGAAGATGACGTTGTACAGAGCACCCTCATCCTGAAGACGCTCAATGTACTCTGAGGTGTGGGGGTCAATGCTCTGCAGAGATCGGTGCAGCTCGTCGTCGAGTCTCTCGACATAGGAGACGATGCTGCCGGCGACCTTGATGTACTTCTCACCGGGCTGCAGAGTAGGGGGCTTCTCGTCATCATCCCACTCCTCGACATTCTCGAGAACGACATACTCAGAGGTCTCTGAGAGGAGAGTCAGGAGCTGAGACAGTTCCTTCTCAGCGGCCTTCCAGTGCTCCAGGGGCATAACGTTAGTAGTTCCAGAGCCAAGGTCGAATCGAGCAGAGACCAGGGTCAGAAGAACGCGAATCTTCTGGTAGGGGGTGTTGGCGATCTCGCCGAGTCTCTCCATAACCTTGATCTGCTCAAGTCTGTCGGTGTTCTTCTTTCCACGAGTCTCCATAATGCCTCGCAGGTGCTTGAAGATGCTCTCGGGGGTGTACTGCAGGGTACGGCCACCCTTTCCAACGGGGGTGAATCCCTCATCAGCGTCCTCCTCAGCGCCGGCAGTCTCGTCGAACTTGACGGCCTTGGGGGCCTTGGGCTGGGGAATCTCCTCCTCCTCATCTGAAGACCACAGGTAAGTGTCCTTGTCCTCTCGGTAGACGGCAATCTGGTCTTGGTAGTCCTTGTTGGTCTTCTTGACCTTTTGCTTGACGGCGTTGAGAGCACGAGCCTGGGTGGCGTTCATCTTCTTGGGGGTAACCTTTGCCTTTGCAAGAGCCTCATTGACGGATTCCTCGATCTCAGCAATGACCTTGATGTAAGGCTTGGGTATTCTGCTGCCGGCAGGAAGCTTGGTGACTTGTCGGTTAAGCTTGTCGAATTCTGTTTGGAAATAATATTAGCGTTGTTGTTCGGTCATCGCGTCATGATTGTTTCCATACCGGTAGAGATGAGAGTCCAGTCGCCATTCTTCTGACCGTTCTCAATCTGCTTAATCGACGTTTCGAGCTCGTCCAGTCGCTTGACCTGTGCGCTCTTGACCTTGTCTCGGACTTCATCGTCGCTACCTTCGCTGTCGGACGCAACGTTGTCTCTCAAGAATCGGAAAGCTCCCTGCTTCTGGTCGCCGCCGGCATCCTTGTCGTCATCTTCACTTTCCTCGTCGGAGTGGTCGAACTCGTCGGATTCTTCTTCGGACTTTTCCTGGTCGAGTTCCTGATCCTCCTCTCCGGAGTAGAGTTCTTCCTCGTCGCTGGAGCTCTCGCTGGAGCTGTCGTCACCGCCGCTGCGGAAAAAGCGAGACATGTTGGCGGATCGTATTCCTTGTCTTCAGTTGATGAAATATCCCGGTCGACACTATCGCAGAATTCGGGAGCCAGGCCAAGGGCAAAGACTCTCCTTCGAGGTGCGCGGGGTTGGTTCAAAAGTCGAGGGTCAAAAATTCACTGATTTTTGGTGGGAGGTGGGGCGGCATCTTGGGGCTTAGCGAGTGCACTTTGCACTTTGCTGCTGACTAAGGCCATCTGACCACTAGCATGTAATCGATGAGAATGGCCGGGCATTTGCCGCCGCTGCCTCTGTGCCTGAGATGGCTGACATCAGCAGCGGAAATAGACGGCTGGATAATGTTTCTCGATGTCCTCGGCAGAACTCAGTCTCGAACTCTGCCGTTTCCACAACAGATATAGAGTTATCTGATTGACGCCCACGATGATATCACTACGCTGTACGGAGAGCGCCTCTGCCGCGCGGTCCTTTGTCCAGCTTGCCAGACGACGGTATTCAGTGGCTACCGCACATGTACAACAAACGCCTCTAGAGTTTCTCATACCGCGCGGAGCCTCTCACTCTTCACGACTACGGACGATCAGGATATCTCCTCAATTTGGAAATGGCATATCGATCTCTCCAGTTACCAGAACATCCGTTCTTTCAATAAGTCGACAGCCCACCAGCCGGTCATTCACAGCATCCGCCAGCCGACTGGCCACAATATGCGTACAAAATCCCGTAAAGGGCGAAGATGGCAATGAGATGAAGTTGGAAATCACTTCAAGAGCAGCTCAGGTATGATTTACGCCTCAAAACTTGCATTCATTCTTTATACTGTTTCGACCTCATTGCTTACAAATTCATACAGCGACTCTCTGAGATCATGGCCAAGGACAAGAACCCGAACCTAGCCCTGCGCATTCGAGTTGAGAGCGGAGGTTGCCACGGCTTTCAGTACCTCATGAGCCTCATTACGATGCCCACAGGAGAAGCGCGCGAAGCTTCTACGATTATCTCCGAGGAGGACAGCATCTTCCAATACGTTCCGGACGAAGCCAACTCTGCTACTCCGCCCGCCGATAGCCCGAAAATCGTACTAGACGAGCCTTCCCTGGAGCTTCTGACGGGCAGCAAGGTGGACTTTACACAAGAGTTGATTGGATCGCAGTTCAAGATTGTTGACAACCCATATGCAACAAGCAGCTGTGGGTGTGGGACAAGCTTTGATATCAAGGCGTAGAGCATAATAATTACCATGTACAATTACCCATTTGCGCAGGAGTGGAGAGCCTGACTAATAATCGCCACTCAATGGTTCACTGAACGATTTAATGGGCTGGGATATCCTGCAAGAGCAGATAATGAGACACGAAGATACAAAGCAATCACGGGTAGACAGTTTTAGAAGCAATTTGAGCATCACACGGCATGGAAACTCGAGTGTCATTCATCGAAGAGTCAATTTATCAAAAGCCAAGTCGCGATACCAACGCCGAGCAACCATGCATGATATTTCCTTAACCCCACTCCCAAAATCCGTAAACCCATTTTTGTTTTAATTGACTTAGTTCATCTGGCGGATGAGACCGTTGATGGCCTCCTCACGGTTGCCAAGGTCACCACCCTCGATGAAGTGCTTGAACTTGCGGGGACGGAAGCCACCGTTGGGGTTGCTGAGCTTGAAGGGCCACAGGAAGTTGGCGGCCTGCTTGAAGTTGGGGCCAACGGTGAAGATCTCGTGGACGAGATCCTCAACGCAGATGATGCCGTACTTGCCGAGGTTCTCCTCAACGATGGAGTTGTCGGTCAGAGCAACGCGCTGCTTGTCGACCTTTCCGTATCCACGCTTGTAGATCAGCTCCTTGACGGACTTCAGGTTAGGGTAACCGTAGGCGATCCAGGGCTCAACAATCTTGAGCATCTCAGTGATGGCCTTGGTGACCTTCAGGAAGACACCGTTGTTGATCTGGAGAAGACGGAGCAGCTGGAGGACCTTGCGGGGCTTAGGGGGCATCTTGTTGATACTGGAGACCTGTTAGTTTTCAATGCTTGCCAAAAAGATGTCGAGTTCACACATACCCCTTGATACGGACGACGAAGATCAGCTTGGCCTCAGCGGGGATGTAGGCAGAGTCGTCGGCCTTGGCGGCGCGGCGAAGGCGGACCTTCTCACGCTCAGCGCTGCGGTACTCCTGAACGTACTTCTCAGCACGCTTGAAGATGACACCACGCTTCTCCTTGTTGGCCTATTGGAAGTCATGTTAGCAATGTGCTTTACACAGAAAACTGTAACATAGCCAAGAGTATTCCAAAACAAGTATCAGACCCGAAAGAAGGTTAACGATCAACGACATCGACACGCTGTGTCTAGTTGACGGTATGTTGTGCATCATGAAGATATTGGAAGGAAGAGAGATTATACATACAGCCTTGCGCTTCTCAACAACGGCAGCACGCTCAGCGCGAGCCTTCTCCTGGCTCTTGCGCTTCTTGAGCAGGGTCTCAGGGACCAGGACGTGGTCGTTGGTAGGGACGCTGTATTCAAAATTCAGATTAGTACGTAGTCCGCCATACAATTGTATGGAACAGAGCGCCGATGCAAGAACTGTAGCTGAAATGCGACATTCTCAACAAGGCTGACTCGAGCTGAATTTGATCGGTGAGATAGGCGACAATGGCACGCATGTTCCAGCAGTGCTCAATTGAAGTCTGTATTCCACTCATCCGACAACACCCCAGACAAGAAAAACTTGTCCAAGAAAGAAAAAGTCGTAGGCAATAAGCAACAAGGCCTATTTCAGACCAAGGCCAATTGCCTTTATACGACAATGAATTTAAGAGAGAAGACGCATTTAGAGCGATTCTTCATCTCCAACACCCCATGGCGCCGTCTCTCAGCTCGCAAAATCTGATTGACCAAGATCTTGAATAACTGAGGGAGGCGCCTCGGGAGGGATCGAGCTGGCAGGCCGATCTTTTCACGAAGAAAAGCTTTTCATCGGCTGCCTAGCGAGAGGACCACGACAATCTGCAAACATATCGAGACCGGGCATCTGCCCCGTATCGCAAAGCGTTCAGGGAGGAGGCACATACGTAGACATTTTGGCGGCGGCTGATGGCGATGTCTGATTGTATCGTCGAAGCTGTGCTTGAAGGGAAAAGAAAAAAAGACCGGAGGAGGGAAGTGAAAAAAAAAAAGAGGGAACAGTACCTCGTTGGTGGAACTTGCAACGGGTCCCACTCTCGAAAATTTTGGTGTAGGGCAGGGCTTGTACTCGTAGGAGCTCATCGCCCAATTCTTTTCGCTGTGAATTTTTTTGTGTGGGAAATAATTCTGCCGCGCCCCACCGCCCCTCTAACCGCCCTCGCTCGCTGCAACCACCACTCCAGCGCATCACGGCTTCTTTTTTCTTAGTGACTCGCCAGTTCTCAACAGCCCCGTGACGAATAACCAGACGTCGACAAATTCCTCAAAATGCCTCCCAAGAAGGTCGCCGCTCCCAAGGAGAACATCTCCCTGGGCCCCTCTGCCCGCGATGGTACGTTTTGAACCATCCCCCGACGAAATAATTGTTTTGGTGAATTTTGTTGGTTTTGCGCAAACAACCTCGAAATTCCCATATCAAAAATTGAGGCGGGGTGAAGAAGATGGCAAAATTGGCGCTGAATTTACTGACAATGGCATTCAACAGGCGAGCTCGTCTTTGGCGTTGCTCGTATCTTCGCCTCCTTCAACGACACCTTCGTCCACGTCACCGATCTGTCCGGCCGTGAAACCATCACCCGTGTCACCGGTGGAATGAAGGTCAAGGCTGACCGTGACGAGTCCTCCCCCTACGCTGCCATGTTGGCTGCCCAGGACGTCGCCGCCCGCTGCAAGGAGCTCGGCATCAACGCTCTGCACATCAAGATTCGTGCCACCGGTGGTATGTTGCGCACCCCCCATCGCAAAATCTCGACTTGGGGAATATATAAAGTATAGAAGCTAACGAGGTCGACTTTTACAGGTAACGGCACCAAGACTCCTGGCCCCGGTGCCCAGTCTGCTCTCCGTGCCCTGGCCCGTGCTGGCATGAAGATTGGCCGCATTGAGGACGTTACTCCTACCCCCTCCGACTCTACCCGCAGAAAGGGTGGTCGCCGTGGTCGTCGTCTGTAATTGCTGTATTTTTTTTACAAACAGAAAAAAAATACGGTATTTGCATGCTTGGCGAACCTTTGGTTTGGGATCAAGGCAGGAGTTTCGCTATCTGGTTCTTTTATGTGGCGTTGAGAAAAAACGAGGAGAACGGCCCTTAAAGCCTGGTCTCCAATTCTACCACGCTCTGCTCAGGTTCCTTTGTCCTTTTTACTAGAAAGAAGGATATATGGCTTGATGTTGATGCAGTAGACAGTTACAATTTCGCCCGAAGAAGGCTATGAAAAGTTATCTTCCTGTCAGAGTAACACTCTTCTGTGAGATGTGCCACATGTGATTCTTCAACTTGAATGAGCAATGATGACTGTATGAAGCAAATGTGTTATGATTAAGTCTACTGGATATGTGTTTCTAACATTCCCATATTATCCCCGTCTCTGTTTCTTGAGTTCCAAACGCCTTGCTAATCATTATAAAAAGAGATGTAACTTGTTGGAGCATATCAAATGCTTCCAGATTAAAATCGAAGCTTACTTGAATTGTGGTTTCAATGACCACATGCCTCTCCCAGTACTGCTGGGCCGGTTCAATACCGCAATCATTTCCAGCGCAGACTTGAATTCGTCGCTCTGTTTCTTCCCTGGGCAGTAAGAATTAAAATGGTCCACCAGCATCTTACTGGGGACCTTTCCTCCGTGACGGTTGATGAATGTTTTGATCATGGGAATGAAATCCTTCGCCTTCAAGTTCTTCTCGCTTCCAGGTGTTCCGGATCGTGAGCTGCTGCCACTGTCTAAGCCCTGGCGATCCGCAAGGTTGCTCATGATACCCGCTGAACTTGGTCCTCCACGACGACGGTTACCACCAGGACGACCTGCGGTACCAACTTCGCCAGTCCAAGTAACCGTACCAATCGGTACTCGTCGAGCTTCCTCTCCCGAATGTCGAAGATGAGCCGCAGCCTGACGAGCTACCATATTCGCCTCTTGGCGCAGGACAGACATATCAGCCTGCACCTTCTGTGGACCATTGACAATCTGTTCGTGGTCATAAGCGCTGTTGACTGATCGCGCAAAGATGCCTTCAAGCATTCGCCTCTCTTCATGGGCAGATGGATCTTCCTTGATTTCCTCCGTTGCAGCGACGAGATCCAAGCTCTTCAATTCACCCTCTTGTTTTCCTTGGCCTACGTTTTTAATGGGCATCAGAGATTTTGCGTCGGTGTTGTCTATGTTTTTGTTCAAGTTTACTTCCGCACCCCTGAATACTTCGCTTCTTGAAGCGGCGGGATCTGTGTTCTTCTCAAAAGTGAATAGGTCATACAAATCGGAGAGATCGTAAGAGCTTCGCTGCTTTGGATCTTTGAGAACCTTGTTTGTCATAAACTGCTTGAAGATTTGACGATGATATATCTTCTCTTCAATTGTACCCTCAGTCATCAGTCGGTAAATCTTGACAGGCTTGTTCTGGCCCAGTCTCCATGCTCGCTCTCGTGCTTGCAGATCAGTGGATGGATTCCAGTCTGGATCAAATATGATGATTCGATCTGCGCCAGTAAGGTTTGTGCCCAATCCACCAGTTCTGGTAGTCATAAGAAAGACGTGGATATCAGGATCGGAGTTGAACTTGTCAATCATCGGCTGCCGCTGATCAATTGGAGTCTCGCCATCCATTCGCAGATAGGTAATGTTACAGTTCCTGATGCACTTCTCAATAATGTTCAACATCTGCTTGCCCTGTGAAAACAATAGTGTCTTGTGTCCATTCGGAATCATGACTTTTTGCAAGAGGTCTTTGGTTAGCTGAAGCTTTGCTGACATTTTCGGGTTGCCAACTTCATAACCCGGCTTATTTGCAAGAGATTTGTCAAGTAGATCAGGGTGATTGCAAATCTTGCGCAGGATGTCGATTCCATAGAGAGATTGGCGTGTCCTATTCAAAATGGCAGAGACTTCGTCGGAGCGGAGAAATGTTTCGTATGCTTTGCGCTGGCCTTCTGTCAATTTGCAGAACAAGACCTGCTCTGTCTTTTCCGGAAGGTCGGCAGCCACGTCGACTTTCAATCGCTGGAGTAAATATTCGCTGATGGTCTCCTTCAGAGCTTCGGCGCATTTTTCGGCAGTCATGACTTGAAGGTTAGACGCGTTTGCATAGCCACCTTGTCGAATGGGAATCTCAAACTGCTGCTTAAAGTTGACAAGAGTACCCAAGCGCATTGGGTAGATGAAGTCAAAGAGCGACCAAAGTTCCGTGAGGTTGTTCTGAATTGGTGTTCCAGACAAAATGAGACGATTTGGTGTATTGAGCTCTTTGCAGGTAACAGTGATTTCAGCATTTGGATTTCGGATTTTGTGGCCTTCGTCAAGCACCGCATAATCCCATTCAACGCCCAACAGCAGATCGGCATACGTCTGAAGACCAGTGTACGTGGTAACCAGAACATGGCCTTTCTGGACAGCTCCTCGAATAATTCTCCTCGCGGCTTTTTCAGATTTAGTAGCCATTGGACTAAAGTGTTCCACATCGTAGTCATCTTCAGCCGTGGGGTTGAGCATTCCGCTGCCTGAAGAATGCAGGATCGACACTCGCAAAGGTGGCCACCAGCGATGGAATTCGCTTACCCACTGCCGGAGGAGCGTGGCTGGAGCGACTACAATGACTGGTTTCTTGAGCTTTTTGCTGTAGTGCAGAGCAGCAATAAATGCAATAAGCTGGACAGTTTTACCAAGACCCATTTCGTCTCCGATGATGCCTCCCACATTCTGCTTGTAGAGCTCGGCTAGCCACTGAACGCCAGTCTTCTGGTATCCAAAAAGGGATGGGTACACATCGCCTGGCAGTTTAAGGTCATCGGTAAAATAATGATCTGGTACACCTGGTGCCGGTTTAAACCATTCATCTTCCTCCTCGTCACTCTCCTCGGGGTGTGTAGCAGAGTCGTTTTGCCGTTTAGCTCGCCTTGCTCGACTTCTTCGATCAACCCAATCCTTCAATCGCTTCTTGTAGTGGGCCTCATTGCCATCATCGACTTTGCTAAGATCGATAGCTTCTTGCTCAGCAGCCGATGCCTTGGCTTTAGCTTTACGACGTTGTTGACGAACAATGTCATCTTCTGTTGTTTGTCGCCATACTGTAGAATCAACAGATTCGGAGCCAGATTGGCCTTCTGGTTCAAAATCAGCAGAGGGCTCACGCTCTGTCTGTCTCTGAACCTTTCTCTTCTTCCGCGGGCGAAGTGAAAATTCAGCCTCGGCTGCAGTCCCTTCACTAGCGGATGGTTCTGTCACTTCTTCAGCAAAGCCTGGCCGTCGAAGTAGTTGATGTGACAGAGGCCCTTCGCTGGTCTCATTGTTCAGTTGCTCCGCGGTGGCTTCCTCCTCAGCATCCAAAATGGTGTCGGCAAGTTGGCCCTCAATGCCAGCAGGCCGTGCGCCTCCTAATTTTGAAAATGGGGTGATCTTGCCAGTCCGGATGAGATAGTCGCGATTGCTTTCTCCAGGAAGCCTCTTCGATTTGGTCTGGTTCAAGCCGTGCAGCGGATCTTCTTGGTGTCTCTTCTGAATACGTGACTCGAAATCGGTAATGTCTAGAGTGGCTTGCTTAATTTCCTGTTCGAATTTGGCAATCTCGTTTTGAATGGTTCGAGACTGGGTCGGGTTGCCGGCAGCCTTTTCCAGCCTCTTTTTCTCCTTGTCCAGCAAAGACTTGTATCTCTCGCGGGTCAGTTCCAATTTGACGATTCGGTTACGGTCCTTTTTGTCTTCAGCCTCCATCAGCGCCGCGTTGGCCTGCATGGTGATGTCTCGCTCCAGATCATCCTGGTCTCGGACAGTTCCAGAGAGGTTCTTCAGCGCATCATCTTCACTGATTCCAATAGCTGGTGGCGAATCAGGGTTGGCATCGGGTGTTGAGCTTTGTTGAGCTACTGCCACCATTTCGCCGAGCAAGGCACTGCGGCTTTCACCGACATCCTTCTCCTTTGTCTCGCTTTCAGAGTCCATGATGTCAGTTGGACCGTTCAAGTTCTTCACACTGGTTGTAGCTGAGTATCGTTGAAAGATTGGATATTTGAGCCTTGTAGATTCTGAGGAAAATCCACTATAAATGAAAGGAATTTGGAAGGGTTAGATGTGACATGTTCTGTGTTCTCTGGTAGTTGCGCACGATGCCTGTGACGTCCACGAGTGGCTATTCACGGCGGGGATCAGTGCAAATTAGAGACCAGCAGGGATTGCACTGCTTGATCTTGTCGAGCGCATTTATTATGTCGTTAGAAAAGCATGACCTTTAGCCGAGAACCCCGTAGCGAAAGATGGCTCATGAAGAGACGCTGAAGTCAAGAAAATGTGAAAAAACAAATGACGAGCAAGTTGAATCTGTGCTTGTAAACAGTGGCTGAGATGAAGATTCAATGGCTCCTCGACATGTGAGTGGCAAAGCAGCAAGGCGCTGATTGGTCAGCATCAAAGGGAGCCACTGCATAAGCTCTAGGCGAATCCGTGAGATTGTGCATTTCTGTATCACGTGACTGTGCAATGACTGGGCTTTGGGGAAAATTTAAAAGCAACTCCAAGCTTTAGGGTAGGAGAAGGTTAATAAACAAACAGCCGACTGACTGTAGACCATTATAGGACAGAGCAGAGAGAAATTATATAGCATTTAATTCGTCAATTGACCTGTAGAATCAATCATTATTACCAGTGTCATTTCCAAGTATATTATTGGATGCCTCGTGTGAAAATCTTCAACTGTGCTGAGTCATTGCCTTGCTGTATTACTTTGTATGTTGTCACCCAGAACAAAAACATATTTAAATGAGCCCTCTTCGATCTCCAAAATGCAACAAAATAATCCCCACCTCCATTACATCTTTCTTTACTCTGCGCGCCCTTGAATTTACAACGTTGACATACTTCATAACTTACCACTCTATCAACACGGGTTTCTACCCCAATTAACCAACTTTAATGTACCTGTGTAACCTTTCACTTTGAAACTGCCCCTCACCCAACTTTGCCATATAATGAGTCAAGTCTTCCACCACCAAGACAATTTCTTCCCTCGCCACTAAGCCCTTCAACATGACAATCTGGACAAGAGTAGTCTGTCGCCCTCAGAATTCATTTCTCCACCTTAGTCCACAGAAAGTCTTCCGTGCCGCTAAACCAATGGCGGCCTATTCCACACATCCATCTCACCAGCCTGCATGGCTCAAGACCCTCTTAGACAACAAGAGCCCAGCTCCCAAACTATACGCCTGGAGCCCAGAGAATGTAGACAGCAGTATCAGCAACAATGGCGATTCAGCTCAATATAATCCGGACGACTTGGATCGCCGAATATTCATCCTCGGTGTCGGCAATCTAGGTCGTCTCTACGCCAGCTGTCTGTCCATGCAATCTCCTCGGCCTCCCATTACTCTGGTCGTCCACAGAAAAGAGCTTTTATCCCAATGGATTCAAAGCCCCGGCCTTGAAATTACCCGATTGGGAAAGTTGTACAGCGGCAAGGATGAGTTCCAGATTGAGTGGTGGACCGATGAAGCACCTACCCTTGGCCCTGTTAGGGAAGTCGCTCAGGCGAGCAAAATTCGCAACCTCCTGGTCGCAACCAAAGCTGCTGCAGCCATTCCAGAAGCCGACAAGCTGCGAAGATATCTTGACAGTGGCAGTAGCGTGGCTTTCCTCCAAAACGGCATGTCGAAGCTGTGGCCGCCCCATGGACAAGAATACATATCGAGGAGGTATCCCGATAACGACGGGCCTAACATTTTGGCCTGTGTCACGAACCACGGCGTCTTATCAGAGGGACCATTCAAGAGCCTTCATGCCTCACCAGCAGACACCGCTATTGGACCCGTTTTACTGAATAATAACACTCAGCCTCTCGCAGCGAGTGTAGCATATCTAACAGAGGCCATCGCTACCGCTCCCGCCCTCAACGCAAGATCCATAACAAGAGCCGAACTCTGGGTATCACAGCTCCAAAAACTCGTCGTGAACTCTTCCATAAATCCCCTTACCGCCGTTCTCCGCTGTAAAAATGGCGTCCTATTTGAGGATCCGAATGGCGTTATAGCCAAAGTTCTCGGCCGTCTCCTCGCTGAGTCTAGTGCCGTCCTTCAAACCCTCATCAATCACCCCAGCACCACCGAAATTCTGGCTGATTCCACTGGGACAAGTGCTAAATCTCTAGATACCCTGAGAGAGGAGCTTACTTTGCGCTTTTCGCACGACCAGCTTCGGACAATGCTCTACAAGATTGGTCACATTGTCAGGGACAACACCAGTTCCATGCTTCAAGATGCTCGTGCAGGAAAACCTACGGAAATTCGGGATTTTAATGGATGGCTGGTCGAGACGGCAGGTTTTCTCGGTACAAATAGCAGTGGTCAGCAGCTAGGCGTCTCTTGCCATCGGGCTTTGATCGCATTGGTTGAGTCAGGCGCTGTTTTGGATGAGGCGGAGTTCGGAAAACAGTTGCTTTCGTGAACCTCTTTTTGCTATTACCTTTTCTTAAGCTTAACTCACGTGTCACAAAACATTATAGATGTTCAACTCAATGTGTCATTTATTTTGCATGTTATAGATACAGGTACAAGTACATATGCCGTCATCACCATAATTTCGTCGCACGTCAGCATTCACAATCCTTCAACCGTCATTTGGGAATGGAAACTGGGGAGAATCGTCAATGTCATCATTAAACAGCTCCCACACACGATTGCAGCACCCCATTGGCGTTACTCCACCGCCGACTCGCTGTGCAACGATGCGCCACTTTTCATCTTCATAGTTTTGTAAAGCGTCTAGCAATCTCTCGTCCTGATTTAGAGCCAGAGTCAGCAATCCTGTATAACGAGGTAATATTACTCCTAAGAAATGACAATGAGTAGCATACCATCTCCCTTGTCCATGGTGCAGAGTCAGTCTTTAGTCTTGTACAGTATCTCACTTGCAAGGTGCCTGGATTGCGGCCGGGGAAGAATTCGGCAATTTGCTTCCATGTGAGGTTCTTCTGCTCTTTGAGCTCAATCAGAAGTTCATCTTCTTCTTGAGTGAACTTAATCCTTGGCCGTTGGGGTCGCCGAGCAGGAGAAGGCATTCCTTCCCTTCCAACCAAGTTGTGTGCATCTTGGCTGCTCTCTCCATGCATCGATGAGCGACTCATGTCTGGTAGATGGTGGTGATGGTGAGATGGCCGAGACCATGGCTCGCTACCGTCCGGTCCTGAGAAGCCGTATATATTTGAGGCGGATCCTGGAGGGGTATCATAGCCAGGAGCTACCGATGAGCCAGGGTCATCTGCATACACCATGCCATGAGAGGAATAATAATGTCGATAAGACTGTGATGACATTGGGTTATAACCTCTTTCGTACGAATTGTGTCTTCCGTCGTGATCCATTGGTGATTGATGTTTTGTTGGTTACTATTCAATTATAGTGACACTAGGATATCCCTTGATGGGAGTTATTTTGCTATCATATATAATCTCGTCACTCAGACCAGAGGAAACATCTTCTCGTTTGTTGTCCTATCGCATCCCGCTTCCCCTCAGCCATAGCAGCGGCATTGAAGAAACAATTCGCCCCCGCACAAGCACATGCTGCGAAATCCAGGTTCATGCGCGGTGGTCAAAATGTATAAGTTTCCGTGATATTGGGAGGTGTGCTGGGTGTGGTGTTGAGCACGGCTAGCCTCAGTATAGACAGTCAACCGTACCGGGAAAAAGATCTGATGCCCACCACCGTCTGAAAAGGGTAATATAGACCAGCTAATTCATCCGATACTGCGAATTCCGTGACCGAATAAAGTATGTGGGGGAGGCTCTTGTTCGGTGCCGTCCCGCCTGTTGCATGCATCAGGTCAAAGCGCCCCTTTGCCAAGTAAATTTACCGATGAGGAGGATTTCGAGCTCGGACGCGGGCTGTGTATTTTTGACGCCGTGCATAAGCCTCGGTAGAGGTGTTGGGTTTATATCCGGACAACTTCTGCCCTTCAAATACGAGACTCAATGCGAGATACGGCACTCGTCAGGGGCGCTAATGCAGCTCATTGACCCTTGATCCGCTATCAAGACGCACCGTTACCGGGAAGACGGGCTGGAGGAGGTTGCCTTGAGGTGGCGATAAATTGAATGGGATCGACAGCCGCTATAAGCAAGGTTCAATGGAGATTGTCGATCGTGTAACGGCTCGGACGGTCAGACAGGGGATCGGATGGCTGTTCCCGAGGGGAATATATGACAATTTCGGGGAGGTAGCCGAAATGACAGTTTATGCAGAGCATTTAAGTCGCTACGATTCCGCATTTTGGACTGTCAACCGGCATCGCCGCCTTGGCTTACTCTGCGAATCTGAACTGAATTGCCTTGTTTGGCACGGAAACACTCGAATCGGGAAGCTGAGAGGATAAAGACACATACATCAAAACTTTGACGTAGCCAAGGTAACGAGCAGACAACATGCGATTTCTCACATGTGAGAGAGGCATTTGGCCGATTTATCAGATCAGCAACAATTATTCCGCGGCGAGAGCGCGGCGGAACTATTCAATCCCCCTTCAACCTAACAAGCGCGAGGTTACAATGAAGTTCATTCTCGTAATCGTATATCGCTACGATTGGGGCACATTCAACATGCAATTATCTTACCGTGCCAGCTATGATTAGATGCATTCTCATTACCACCGTATCTATGTTGCTACGATCGGAGCACGGCCAACATACAATCATCCTACCGTACCGCTACAGCGACTAATAGGCTTACGGTCACCGATCTGTCTAATGTATCTTGTGTCCAGCGTCTCAGAAATGTCGGGTCCAGAGTAGCATCGGGAACCCCAAGCTGGCTAGATACAAAGCTCAGACCTCCCTTATCCATGTAAATTCGCCGCCGCAATACATGATGTAGTCTCGGCGTACCCTATCGATGAGATGAAAGGCGTCGGTACATGTATCCAGGGCTCAGCCGCACTCGGGAAGACGAGAGCCGCATGCACAACGATGAATCGGGCTTCGCTTCAACCCAAGTCTGGCCTATCAAATCCTTGACGTAGATGTAGCTCCGTAGCCAATGGCAAGCCTCGTCCGAATTGCCAAGGAGAAGGCTACAGCGAAGCTTTTTGCCCAATGGTATGGTAAGAGCAGAAAACAGTGATTGTGGTTTCTACAGCTTTCATTGGATGCTCAGATTAGGTATCGAATTGTAGCCTGAAATGAGAATATGTCGGGTTGGGTCTCGATCTTCCCTTTTTATCTCTGTATTCCTAGGTAACCACGCATCGCCACGAGACTTTGATGTAAAATTTGGGACGAAATGGCCGACGTTCGAGAAATTTCAGAGAACACAATTGGGAACAATGTGACACTCGTTCAGGGAGACTTCAATACTATCAATACCGGTATGCTCTACCTAAGGTCCACGATATTGGGCATCCACGATTAGGCTAACTAATTCTGCCTACAGGTCCCTCAGATTCGAATGATTCTTTTCTCAATAAAATCAGCAAAACGGACCCATCTTACGACAAAAAGCGAATTCTAGAATTGAAGGGTCCCTTGTTACACGACTCATTTAAGTGGATTCTCGACCACGAAGGCTTTAAGAAATGGCGCCATACAGAAGAGAGCAGTGTACTTTGGATTAAAGGCGACCCTGGAAAAGGCAAGACAATGCTCCTCTGCGGCATTATCGAAGACTTGAAAAAGACTCCCGGCGAAAATATCAATCTTGGCTACTTTTTCTGTCAAGCCACGGACTCTAGGATCAATTCTGCTTCCTCGGTTGTAGCAGGCTTGATCTTCTCCCTCGTCAAGCAAAACCCGACAATTCTTTTGCCTATTTGCAAGCGACATGAAGATAAGCTAAGTCAACTTGATGGACCCAATGCGTGGGCTGTTTTAGGTGATATATTCGAAGCAGCTACCCAGGTTGGAGGCATACCAGCCCCTATCTGTGTTGTTGACGCTCTTGATGAGTGCGAGCACGACTGCAAGCTGCTCCTGAGTCTCATTCTCAAAACAAGCAATCACGTAAAGTGGCTGCTTTCAAGTCGAAATGTCAAAGATATCGAACGAGGACTACGGTTAATTGAACCCGCCCGGAGGCTCAGCTTGGAGCTTAAAGAGAACGCCGAAAACGTCTCCAAATCTGTTGACGTTTACATCAACAATTCCATTTCGGATATCGAAGCGCTAGAAGACGATGAGGGACTTCAAATCAAAACAATCACAACCCTTAAAGACAAAGCAAATGGCACATTTTTATGGGTAGCCCTTGTTATTGAACAATTGCGGGACACAGACCATCGAAACGTTGAAGAAGTATTGGAAGAAGTACCAGAAGGTCTAGAAAATCTCTATAATCTGATCTTACGGCGAGTCAACACAAAGCTAAGGCAAAAGGATCGAGAGGCCTGTCAAATCTTGCTCTCCATTGTTACCACCGCTGAGAGGCCCCTCCATCTTGAAGAACTCCAGACATTTATAAGTTCTCAGTGGGCACATTATAAATCGTCTTACAATATACTTGATATAAAGGACATTGTTAGAGATTGTGGATCTCTCTTAGCTATAAGGGACGACATTATATATTTCATCCACCAGTCCGTCAAAGATTACATGGTAGGGAATGCCTACAATAGCATTTTCCCTTCAGGAATCCAATATCAGCACCAAAAAATGTTTGAAACTTCGATGAGTGCGATGTATCGCATTCTTAAGTACGACATTTATGATCTTAAAGATCCTCAAAGGCGTATGAAGGATATCACTTCGCCGCATCCCGATCCCTTGGTACCCATAGCATACAGCTGCGTATTTTGGGTCGAGCATTTGATTCGTGGATACGATTATGGGGGATTTAAGACTGAGGATTGCTTTAAAGACGACGGACTGCTCCAAAAGTTTCTCAAAACCAAGTACCTATGCTGGTTAGAAGCCTTGGCTCTCTTGCGCAGTCTTACACCCGAAGGAGGATCTGCTCTGCAAAGACTTAATAAGCTAGCAGCGAGCTATTACAAAAGCAAAGCAATTAAACATCAAGTCACAAACTCACAAGAAGAAGAAGAGACGAACTACTTCATGAAGTTTATTAACGATGCTTATCGATTCTTTCATTATTGTCAAAGTTTTGTGAAGAAATGGCCGCTGCAGCTATACTATTCAGCCATTGTCTTCGAGGACAAGTACAGTGCAATCTACAAGACATATCGACAATCTATACAAACCCACTTTGGGGATTTTTTCACCTTCATAAAAAAGCCACAAAGACGGTATTCTCTACAACGTAACATCGATATAAGAGGTCCCGTTGCCAAGTTGCTTTATTCCCCGGACTCCTCCACGTTATGTGTGTTATTTAAGAACTTGGGTGGCATCTCGCTATACAGAATCGATAACGTGGGACATGCAATTGAATTGGGCGTGGATCGGAAACATCCTCATTATGTCTCCTTTCTGCCCAATTCTAGCTATTTGATCTCAGTCTCTTCCACTGGCATCGTGCAAACGTGGGCCATCGATAGCGGGACCCTAGTACAGCAGCTTTCTTTAAACCTTGATGTGAGCAGATCGCACGCTGACTATCCATCCGAGGTTTTCCGGGAGAAGGTGATTAGTCTATCACCGCATGGAGATTTGGCAGCATCGATCTTTTGTACATCACACCAATTCTCACCGCATGGAGATTGGGCAGCACACCGATTCTCAAGGAAATACTTGAGCTCGATGAAAATCTGGACGACAAAAACCGGTGCTTGCGCGGGTGAGATAGACCTGATGCATATACCCAGCTACAACTCGTTGTACGCTTTTGCATCCAATTCAGCGCTGATAGCTTTGACGCACAAGTCTGATGTTAGAATCTACTCTGTTCAGACAGGGGAAATGGTGAAACATATTCGCACTTACGGATCAATAGAGGACTCGAAATTTTCGCAAGACGCAGCACTGTTGGCTTCAGCACATGAGAATTCTGGGATTCGCCTCTGGTGTACTAAAAGGTGGACAATGATACGCGAGATTAAAATTTACGGTCTTATAAATCACTTCGACTTGTCCCTCGATGCGTCGATGTTTGTGGCAACCTCAGGGCGGATTTTGGCCTTGGGAAGCACCAGAACAGGAGAACAGCTACTCAAAACTGCCACCGGGGATAAGACAACAAATGTCTCTTTTTCTCCTGATTGGTCAACTTCCTCGCTTCTCGCATCTGCCAGTTCCAATGCAGTTCAAATATGGCGGGTTGATACCAGATATTCCTCTGCTGAAATGAGGAGTGCTGCCTACTCTGCAAAGTCTGTAGCTATATCGCCAGGATCAAAATATGTGGCAGCTCGAAGTTTCGAAGGGCACATCAACATATGGAGTGGAAAGAACGGCGAGTGTATCCAAGAGCTTAAAAAAAGTGATTCTCACTGGGGTCGCCCCGTTTTCTCGCCCAACTTGGAATTTGTTGCCTGTGCTGAAGGCGATCGGGCTGATGTCCAGATCTGGCACCTTACCACTGGGGAGCCTCTTCACCTGCTTGAAAGTCATAGTGGGCGTCGTGAGATGGATAAGATGCTCTTTTCAGACGATTCAAAATACCTGGTTACAGTTTATGACAATAATGAGACAAGGGTCTGGTGCGCGGAATCTGGCAGATGCTTGTTTAAAAGTGACAAAAACAACGATGACGGAAACTTCTGGATCACCGCGTTGGCAATTTCTCCCGAGTCAAAATATATTGCTAGAGCTTCTGTGCGTGACGGGATGAAGGCTTGGGAAGTGCGCATCTGGGATTGGCGAGGGTGCCACGACATTTCTAGCTTTGACCAAGTGGATCCCACGCCAATGAGGTATTTCCACATCGAGAGCCTTGGTTTTTCGTCTGATGCTACGATTTTGGCAGTTATTTGTCAAATAGGCGTGACGAAAGTCACCCGTAGGTACGAGGCCCAGATCTGGGAAGTCGCCACCGGTACTTGCCTAACGCGTGTTGCAGTTGGGGAGAGCTGCAGTGTGCCGTTGTTTGATCCAACAACGAACAAAATACTGACAGATCGTGCTGCTTTCTGTAAAAGATCCTCGTGGGAGCACTGGGAAGAATTCTCATGGCGGGCATACTCGTTATGCCAACGGTTTCCAGGGAAGGATTGCGGTTGGATTTGTTTTGGTGGAGAAATGATCTCCTTAATTCCAGCAGAATTTTCTCCAAAATCTTTTTCTAATGGGTATGCGGCAATGTCATCTTCCATATTGGCATATACGACTCCTGCGGATGAGATAATGATTATTCAACTTCCTATCCAGCATGAATTACAGAGACTGGGAATCATTGCATCGGATTCCGACAATATCGGTGATTCTAGCTAGCGGCGAACGCGCTGACAACTCGAACTCTGAAGTTGCTAGCTACCTGCCAATGGGTAAATCTGATTCAGACGAACCCAAAAATAAAAAACTAAAGTTGTCGTATATTTTGGAGTAACAAAGGCTTCTAGAACACAGTGGTGCCCAAATTCATATAGGTGCCCAGGTGCTTTTATTAAATGAGAGTTAGCATTCTCTGAACTATCGGCATCGACAGGTTAGTGCTGTAAATGTGAGATTGCTGTCATCTTGACAATGTTATGTCTCGATCTCTATTGGCTGTACTTCACTGTATGGGGGTTTCGATCACTAGTTCGTTGGTATAACTTGTATATGTCGATTGAATTGTTGAGATATATCGAGATCTTTATCAATTGGCTTATGATCTATTAAAATAAGCAAGCAGAATAAGAATTATCCTTTGCTACTACGGCACATGACTGCCGCGGTTCAATATGATACATTAAATGCGGCACATGAAGTCTGTTCATTATAACGTCATAAAAACAAATGTGACCTTTTTATTTATAAGAGAAAGGAAAAAAAGGAAAATTATGGCAAGTACCGATTTAATCTTTGTTCGTCCTTTACCTTTCCATTCTCCCAACCCGGCATCATTTTTTCCTGCAAGTTTTCTGCAGAATTGAGTTGCCTACATTGTAAACAAATCCTGACGAGGCTTGGTGGTTCCTAAGTGGCTGTGTGAAATGAAATGCTTCAAATAAGCAGCGGCAGAAGCTGCTGCATAGTTATGCCAAGCCGTCATTCTTGTGCGAATCTGCATAATCGCATATTCCCCGAATAACCAAGCAGCGTTTAGCCGTTATGACGCCAGTGGCCTCTATCTCAATGCATATCGCTTTCGTTTCAGTCCCAATTCTGTCTCGTAAACTCGCGTCCTTTACAACTTGACTTCCGCAGGCGATGATACCGTAATGAACGTGTGGCCTTGGCGTCCGAGATTCCCTGATGACTTCAGGCCCTCGGCAGCTTTGACATGTATTTTGTCCTTCTTCATGATGAAAACCGCCTTCAAATGATCTGTCTCGATCTTCTTGGGGTCTTTCGTATCCTGGCAGTAAGGCTAATATGTGTTAGATATGTGTTTCTAAGAAATCAGTGCTGCGATTGTGATGGGATTCAACTTTGCTGATTGCGGTTCTCAGCGATGTATTGGGTCGTTGCGTGAACCCTGTCCTTAGAAGTCTAGAATCTTTCTGCATTGCTTTACCTATGTCGTGCTGGATGATGCCTGTGCCGACTACTACATCGCTAAGTCGAATATTGTGCTCTTTAGAAGGAATCCCTCCTCCAATCCCTACTAGGAAAATACGCTCTAGTGTAGGGAAAGTTTTATCTATATCTGAAGCGACTTTAGCTGCTGTTTTAAAACCGCATTCTTTATATGGTAAACAGGTGGCAACCACGTTATGAGTTCCGATGCGATCAAGGCAGTAAGAATTAGTGTCTCTCTTGAGCGGTGGTAAACACTGATGGTGTTCATCAAATAAGGCTTTGACGGCTGCTAGCTCTTTAGGTAGAGCACCCGATTTTATAATCATCGTATGTGACAGAACTTTCTGTTCGCTCTGCAATTGTAGGTACATAGGAGCTCAATCCAACGCCACTTTCCGTCGAATCATCGTCATCTGTTTACCCACCGGATGATGGAGGTTCTCCATCTCCAGGATCTCCAATATCTCTCCATATTTTCTTATGCGAGAATGATGTCCAAATACAGCAGCTCATGCTGGTAATGACAGATTATCCGGACCTTTTTGCATCATTCGTAGCGACCAAACGGTCTAGGTAAGCTCACAACGGCGACCCATACGTTTTGCACACTCGCAACTTAGGCTTGCATCCCTTTTAAACGCAGCCCAAGCCTGAGACTTGGTCAACTGACGGGGATTCGCTCTTGAATTTAGTAGACGATCTATAGTTTTCTTTATGTCATTCATGATCGCGGTTAGGTAATATTTATTTGATGGTAGAGTTGTCCAGTAGTTGCAAGAATAACTTTTTCTGACGAGTTCTCCTATTTGCACCGTAGCATATTCCTATTTAAACCGTAGTGGCCTGTGCCCATGCAAAATTCAATGCGTATACACCAACCTTCTTATAGAGCTATACCTAACTATAGTGTAACGCCCCAGTGCATTGCAATTGAAACACGAGGCCGAAGACGAAGCTCTTGACGAGGCCGAAGACGAAGCTCTTGACGAAGCCCTTGACGAAGCCCTTGACGAAGCCGACGTGTAAGACGAAGTGTAAGACGAAGTGTAAGATAAGTCCCTTGACGAAGCTGTTAGAGTAAGACAAAGTGTAAGATAAAGCTGAAGATGAGGCTGATGACTTTTGAATAGCTTTATCTGACGCTTCGTCTTTATTAAGGGCTTCGTCTTCGTTAAGGGCTTCGTCTTCGTCAAGGGCTTCGTCTTCGTCAAGGGCTTTGTCTTTAGCCTCGTCTTGTACTTTGTCTTATACTTTAACAGCTTCGTCAAGGACCTTGTCTTTGGCTTTATTTTATACACTGTATTCCGGTATGCGGGCGTGGTAATTGTAAAGAAGGGGGTAGCCTTAGCTTGTGGTACAGACTACTACGGTTTAAATAGGAATATGCTACGGTGTAAATAGGAGAATTCTTTCTGACAGCTTGAATACTTGGTGTAAAATCCACCTATACTTTACCAATAGGTTTAATATTAGTAACACGAGGCTTAATTGTATTTTATTTTGTTGCGATGTCTTTAAAATCCAAGCCTTCAAGGTCTTTGCGTGGTATATATTCGAGTTCCTTTCCGCCTTCGTCGGTAATATCTCCTTGATGATCGATTATATTCTCAAGAGTCTCATACAACTCATCAATTTGATCGCGAGTCAAATACTTAGCTCTATTGTCTGATCCAACAATGTCATACTCCTCAGACAGCTCCACTTGAAGATCCCCCCTTGATATACGGACTTGCGTAGCCGCTGTGATTGTACATGGGTTTTGTGCTTCCTTTAAGTCTTCTGATTTGCAAAGAAATTAAGATGAGGCATCATTAGTTGTGCTATAATCGATGGATGCATAAAGAAGATGCTACACGACATAATATCCCGGCCATCACAGCTAGACTAGTGCAAGGATGTTCAATAGCCCTAGCTTTCCCAATAGCAATGTGGAATGACCAGGAGACCTTATATGAACGGCATTCCGACAGAGTCAAAATATAAGAGGTAATTGATTCCTCTGGAAAATTTTATTTATTTTAGAATGTCGATCCCAACCGTGGATGGCTCGTGAATATAACCAGCGCCTTACTTCATGTTCCAAGTCATATCGCCCTGGCTAATGTTTACATTGTTGCCAAATGTATTCCCAGAAATACTTCTTGTATTATTCTGCACACTTTTGCCTATTCATGTGTAAGTGGAGGGAGCATTTTAAACAAAGAGATTAGTTGAATCTTACCATTCGTCTGAGTCAAGGCGGAACCTTGAGCCCCCTCGGCCACGACATAGCGATCCAAAATGGCCTTCATCACGCAAGCCCCAGTGGCAGCCGCAAAGTCTTGCCATTGCTTATTCTTATGGCTATCAGCATAGTCGCAAACACCCTTGACTATCAAGCAAGGGACCTCGTCCCAAGCCCCTGCGCCCTCCATCTCGAATGCAATGAGCTTATGCTGCGCGGCAATCCGGTCTCGGTCTTTTCCACTCTTCATTACCGTATTGCCTGAGCCAATCCGTCCAATGAAGATATTGAAGCCGCCATCGTCTGGGTAGAAGACTTCTCTTTTGACAAGCTGAGTCTCGTCGCAACCCAAATCTGCGCAAGATGCTTTAGACGCTGATTCGCAAATCTCTCCAGAACTATCCACGTTACTGCATGTGTCGCATGACTCTAATTGGTGCTGATGGATATAATCCCGTAGAAAGAGCTTGTTTTGAATGGCCCCAGGATTTTGGTATTTTGCTCGTCGTCTTTTCCTCCTCGCGGCTTCTTGCAATTGCTTCAGATAGTCCGCCGATTTGGTCATCAGCCGTTCTCTCATACGCTCAGTTTCAAAAACTGCCAACAACCCGCGAATGTCCTTGTTTGCCCTACCAAGACTATCTTCAATAGTATTCTTAATCTCGAAGCCTCCCGGGTACTGTCGGCCAAAGTCATACTGGACAATGGCCTTGCTTACTACAACATCGCCAAGAAAAACGTCGTCGTCGTCGATCCGGGGCACACCCCCGCAAATCCCGACGAGCAATGCAAGTTTAAGGTTGCTGTAGCTTGATCGTAGGCTGGCAGTAGACGCGGCCGCGTTGTTGGTGCCCATGCCTGGGAGTACAGCGAGAACAACATTGTGTTTTCCGATACGGCCAGTCATGTAAGTGTTTACGTCGCCAACTGCTCGTCCGAATGGATCGCTTTCCTCGTCCCAGAATTCATCAAATAGCAGAGTCACAGCATCGGCTTCACGTGGCAGAGCGCATATGACGGCTATGTGAAACTGGTCTCGACTTGTAGGTTTAATAACCTGAGCCATGACGAAAAATTGCGAGAATTGGTAGAGTAAATGATGAGCGAGTATCCAAACAGTTCATTCAAAAATACACGCTGTTGATGTTGTCTACATGTAGTCGTACTGAAGCGGGGTATGTTGAGGCTGAGGGATCATTCATGCCCAATTCCGTTCACTTAGGCTGCATAAGTTAATATATTGAGCGGATTGTAGTCCAGTAGACGGCAAACTCGTCGCGTGGGGGCCGGAGCAGAGCCGCATAGCCATTGGCGCTTAATACGTCGAATCAGCTTTCAATTTTAATCCCAGGAGACCAATCGTCTCGAATCACTCAGTTCGATGTTCTTTTGCGACGCCGCGCTGGCCGGATATCTTCAACGCTGGAATATTGAGAAGAGGCGATTGAACTGCTGGTCTCGAAGATTAAGTGGTGAATAATCTCGCAAGTTTAATCTCTTGTCAGTGGGAAGTAACGTGGAGTACATACATACCTTATCTTTCGATGCCAATATGCACCTCATTGTCCCCCTCACGAGAAATGCTCATGTGTCCAAACCCCGACCTAAGCACCTACTGAACATCATCATCCATGCGATTTTGATTGACACTAATATATTTTGTCAAGATCAGCGTTCATATACGTGATGTACGATCTCAGTATTGGTGTCAACCTCTCGCTTTGTTTTCACTACTACGAGAGATGAGATTTCGCCCCTACTGACGGGCTAATAGGGCCTTATGCATGGCAAATGACTGAGCCACCTATCAAACCAGCTTTATCTGCTAGAATAGGAAGCCAATTGCACTTGCGGGCGTGCTAAATCTCTATGGGGATCGTGGCTTAATCTTAGGAGTATTTGGCTCCGGATAGTCTTCCTTCGTAGGCCGACATCTATATGTGAGATTGAGAGCTGCTACTAATACAGCCTAACATGTCACTTCGAGCTTCACATGCCGGACTCAGGTCTAAAATAATATATGTGAAGCAACGTGGATCTAGCTCAACTCAATTGTATCAGCCTCTACCATCAGTATGTATAGCTTAGCGCGTAATCCATTGGCGAGTGTTCTAATTTTCCATGCATCGTCTTGTTCTAACTAGCCAGACACCGGGTAAGTAGTTGTTGTAGGTGCTTTCCGGTATGTTCGGCCTAACCAGCGAGATCTCATTAGCATATCTTTTGAGGCTGTCACCAGACTGTAGAAAACTTACCAAAGGCTTGTTAACCATAGTGAAGTGGTCGCAAGGCAACGACGAGCAGTGAACTGGGCCTCGAGTCGCCTCGTCCCATCCATCCGGTTCTTCATGCTTCTGACGCGCCCCAAAGAGCCACAGCAGCATGGCATCTGCTCGGAAGTTTGCATTCGGATCCGAGTGCGCCTCGAGTATCTCTTAAATGCCAGCAGGTATCTCACCAAGCAGCGTCTCGAGACCCAGGCCTGCCCAAACCACGTAGGTATTCAACGGTGAATATCCCGGGCTCATCGGTTGCATTTTGTACTTAGCTGTTGCTCTGAGCGATTGAAGAGAATGCAATTTCGCCTTGTAAGTAGCAGGTGCCCAAATGCCCTTACCAGGAACATTGACACCATTTGCCATACCAATCATCTCCACTGTCTCCATCGTTGGCATCATCCAATTCTTGTCTTCTATGAGTGCAGGAAGCTTGAAATCAAGAAAAAAAAGGCCTTGGACAATATTTCCATCATACAAGAACCGTTTGCTGACCTCAAAGGCAAAAAGAGCTCCAAGGGACCACCCGGCTAAGAGATAAGGTCCATGCGGCCGTATTTTTCTGATGGCAGCAGCATAAAGGTCCGAGACTTCTTCTATCGTGTAGACATAATCCTCCAGATTGTCAAGAAACGGTGATTCACACCCGTATACTGGATTATCACCTGGGAATAAAGGCGAAAGGCTCATATACGACGTCGCTGATCCACCACCGTCGGCTATCAGGAAAAGCGGGATTTTATCTGAAGTTGCCCTGCCTTGGACTAATACAATATTGCTGCAATGGATGGAAACCAACGCCTTATCCCTCGTTGAAGCACTGGGATCACCTTCTACTCTCCCATAACGAGATACCAAGGGGCTATTCTGAGAGGGAGCGTTTGCTTTTGATTCGCCAGGATGCCCAAGTGCCCTCTTTACATCTGCAACTGTTGGGTTTTGTATGAAGAAAGACGTTGGGAGTTCCATGCCCGTTTTATTTCTGAGTTCGCCAATGACTTCAATGGTCAAGATAGAGTCGAGGCCCATATCGCTAATACGAGTGAATGGCTCAACATCAGCAGGGTCAATTCCTGTCATGTCAAGAATAACCTCCATAACAACGTCTGTAGCATTGAGATCGGCAGGTCTTTGAGCGAGTTTGCGTGTAGAATTAGCAGTAGCTACTGTTGACATTTGATTTGTCTTTGGCTTCATTATCGATGCATCATTGTTTCCAAGAGCCTTTCGCACATCCGCCACAGTGGGGTTGTGACTGAAGAAAGAAACCGGAAGATCTTTACCGAGTTTCTTCTTAATCTCACCAATCACTTCAATTGTCAAGATTGAATCAAGGCCCAAATCAGCGATTTGAGTTGAAGGTTCAACATCAGCTGGATCAACCCCTGTACTTGCAAGGATAACTGTGACGACATCTTCAGCCTCATCCCCATCAATCGACGTAGCTGATGTTTCACTGCCGCTTTTCACTATGTCTGATAACGATGGTGATGATGTATGACTTGCTTGGGTATCCTCAAATCCTGGTCGGATCGCTCGGGGGTGGTATGTATTGGTTTGGCCGTGATGGTATTTCCGATCGGCGGTGAACTTTTCCCGAGAACAACATCAAGAAGTCGTCGAGCCACTCTCTGGAATGTCATTCCAGTACTAGAACCAACAATTTTGTTCCCTTCAAAGATGTAGACATCGCAATGTGCAGCACCATCATCAGTCGCCTTTTGTATATGTGCATAACTCTGATACTGCGTCCCAGACTGCAGGGTGCTCAACATACGAAAGGTTCTTAACCTGGTTATAATCCAGACATCATCTCCATCATCATCTGGTTTCCCATTCAACAAGAACTCAGAAACATGAATGAGAGAATCGGCCCAATAAGGGCTAAATGTGAAGTTATGCGTATTCATCGGAGGCAGCTTCACTCTTGCAACGGCATTACTGGTGAAATCTTCTTCCACAAATACCTCCTCCATAGCCTTAGATGATGCATCATAATGCGCGAGGTTGGCAAAGAGTTTGTACACTACTTTCTGGTGGAGGCAATTCCCGGAGCCAGCTTTCGCGGATCGGACGATGTTGTCCTTGGCAGCGTTGACAAAGTATTCATTGCGAGCCCAGTCATTCTTCCACTCCATTTCGTCTCCAAAATGAACTTGACAGCTTGCACAATTCTCTGTGAATTTCCCTTTGCGGGAACCAAAGTTGATAATGACCACTGAGCTGTCACTCTTTCTCTCCACCCCCGTGATGACGACTTGGTCCAGCTTCTTCTCGAGATCAGGTATCAGAGGATGCATCATGATCAGGTTGGCGAGAGACATTGCCGGAACTGGACTCCCAGATTCTGTCCTCTGATATATATATTTCGCCGCTGAAAACGCCATATCCACAAAGGTACTGCCAGGGAAGAGAGGTACCCCATTTATTATGTGTCTCTGCGCAATAGATAAAAACGTCGGCTCGCACATCATGGATTCGAAAGTCACCACTGCTTTGAGCTATTCAAACGACTCCAGGCGTTTGTACCAACGTACACCATGAGGTCTCCAAACTGGGAAATGAAGAACAAAACTGTTGAAATTGCCTCACTAGAGAGACTTTTTTTCAGCCAGTTCGGCATGGATAACCACCAGCTCTAGTATATCCTCGAATCGCGAGTATCGGCGCCTCTCTTCAGCGCCAAGCCCTGACAGAAGGGCCTGCACTTCATCTGCGCAGTCTCGAAGAAAGCGGGAGGCGTATGGCAGATTTCGTGATTGTAGTACCATGCCTTTGATGAATGAAAGAGTGTCCGCATCTTGGTCTCCAAAAATGATAAGTCGTGGTAGTTGTTCGGCCATATTATTCTGATAATCTAAGAAGATCAGCTCGGCAAATTGATTCTCATACAGATACATAGTCCATTCAAGAACACTCGCACCTTTTCGTCTTTTTATATTGCTGATAAAGACCGCTGACGCATTCTAGGAGTCTCTGTTCCAATTTGCTACCATGGAGCGCATACCGTTATCTTTTCCCTTCTTACCAGACAGCCCACCAACGCCTTGTTGGCACGGAGTGCCTACACTTTGCGTTAGCTTCTCTGACAACCCTGCCTCTCTTTGCAAGGTATGTTCCGAAAGTCCGATGCCTGTAGTTTGTGTCGAGAATGCATATCGCGTTGAAGGTGAAGATGGTTTTTGTAATCAATTTGTGTTGAGACGCGCGCGGGATCTTTATCTCAATACCAATGACATCCGTGAAATTACGTTTACCTTGCTTGTATACATGTATGGTTACTCCGGGCATATGTGACTTATTGGTACACCGATACGGAGATTATGGCTAGCAGCATGTCTTTGGTCAGCTTGGTCAGTATTCTTGTCTCACAGAGTACAGGTAATTATAGCTATTACAACACATTGATCTCTAAGCCGTGAACCTCGCGCCTCCTACCAGGATCGGTAAAGACGCCGGGTTCTCCGCAGCGAGCACTATCTATACGGCTAAATCGTAAATACCATGTTCACGACCATTTCGATGCCAATAGGTTCTTCAAATCGTGGCTGCTTACTGATTAAATCCGGTGTGGTATGCGTTCGATCAGGGGGGCTTACGTACCAGTGTCGTAAAGATACAGACATCTCACACCAACCTGCAATACATCGCCCTGAGGATTTCTGACTGTATTATTACGAAGCAAACTCCGCACTGCGTGTAGTTAGTTGGACACTACCCCAATAGCAACGGTGGTCACTGCCTTGTCCTTAATATTTGTTCTTTGTCTATATAGCTATATATAGTTGTTGCTCATCAGTCGTTATTCAACGTCAATGTCTATATCGATAACATCACGACTACGGATGCTTTTGTCTTTGACAGCACAGTTGGCCTAGTTGAAGTCTTACGGTCTCTAATTCCGCAGTACAAGAATAATATGACGCTAGTAACCAACTTCCGCTGTGCAAATAGTAGTAAGACGTGTTGAAGTAGTACATCGTGTTACCGTACCGCTGTATACTACCCCTCGCCCAGGGCAGAGCAACCGGCCATGCGGAGTTGCTACGATCAAGCTGACGTACCAATCTTGATTACCCCGGATGAGTAAACAAATACGACTATCCGTGTAAAGACGGAGATGGATAAATGGCGGCAAGGTGGGATACTAATTCAGGAAATGAGCCTAGCAATTGTCTCTACGTATGTCCAAAACCGGACACGATCATCTCTTGAGAGTATAGGCCATATTTCGCATCTATCAGAGGGCTTTAAACGAGAATGATGGTGGAGTAATTTGTATATATAGTGGCCATTAAGCACAGAATATTGTCGAGAGGAATTATTTTGAGGCCGCGTGAGAAAGGTAAAAGATGGCACAGCTTTACAAGCCAGTAATACGCAATTACTTGTGGACGGCCGCGAGCTTCTTACTGCCGCAAACCAATGCATGAGTCGAGGCTAGGATAAGTTACATTTACTGATGGCGTTTATATGTTGGCGCTTCCCAACAGCAGTGACTGACTTATCAAGTTCTATAAGGAGCATATTATGCCTCTGTGGAGTAGACTCGAATGTCGCTGTCGCATATACGATTCCATCTACGCCACCCGTTATGAAGAACGAACCAGACAGCCCGATCGATGGAATCTTTGCCTGAGTGATATCAGATCTATGATCCTTTTTTTTTTACAATCTCTAGCATTCCTTTTGCAATCCAGTCATTTATCGCTGTTCGCCGACGTCTTACTTGATGCAGCTCTTTATACGGAATGGTGGCGTTGCCATAACACATTAAGGGCATGAAGGCTGCCGCAGTAAAGACTCCTCACCATTCAACGCTTCTTTTTCAATAAAGACATCACGATTGCATCAGCCACTATTTTTAAGCAAATATTGATCGGCATTACGCATTTTCAGCTTCGTTGCGTACATTTTATGAAGGCATTGCTAGCGCGAATAGAGCTTAGAACAACCTTAGTGTAAGACATACATTAGTTCATGTTTGCTTGATGACGCTCATTGACTCTGTAGAAGCAAATAAATACCGTTCAGCTCCTTCTTTTTCTGTGAAAATGTCTCTCATTTCATGTTTTTTGGAGATTCTCCTAGTAGCCATTCATTTCTTGCGGCCGAAAAAATGGGCGAAAATCCAGATCAAATCCACCATGATGGCATCGTCAAAACCCGCCTTGTCGAGTCAGCTACTCAACCCATGAACATCGTCTGCAATGCTCAGCCATTTGGCGGCGGCCCAGGTGCAACCCTCATGGCCGTCATGCCGTACTTACGCAGCCGGTTGGAATCACTGGGTCCTGTAGCACTGCATTATGTGGGATCAAGCCTTACAATGGACTTTCAGAAACTCACTCAGGCTGACTGGGACGGTTCACATCATATCGACCTCTATTCAAATCCAGAGACAGGGAAAATAGAGCTTGTTTCTCTTTTGCAACGTTTGAAGCCACGGCTTGTTGTGACATTTATGGATGAACTTGTTGCTGCCGCAGCTCAAGCCGCCGACATTCCTGTTGTCATCATTGACCTGCTATTATGGTTCTGGCCTAGTATTTCTCCCCATTGGCGTCAAGCCGATGTGGTGATTGCTGCAGAGTTCTACGGAGTTCAAGAGCGCATCATCAGCGAAAAGATGAACAATGTTGTAACAGTTCCACCACTTGGACCACCTCCAAGAACCACTACAGGTCCATCGAAAGATGTCCTTCTAAATTTCGGAGGAATGGTCAATCCACTTATGCCAAAAGAAGAATATGTTGCCTACGCACGTCTTATTTATAGCGCCGCAAAGCGTGCTCTCAACTTGCGCAACGCCGCGCTTCCAAAGTCTCAACATGCCAAGTTGATCGTGTTAGTGGCAAGCTTAGATGTGGCACGAGGTATAGATCCTCAAGATCCCGAAGCAGCTCGCATGGTCTTACCCGATGAAGCACTGGAGTTGATGTCCTCGGCGGAACTGGTATGTTGTACAGCAGGTCTTGGCAACTTGTATGCGGCTGGCGCTGTTGCCAATGCGGTTCTACTATTACCGCCTTTACATGAAGGCCATGCAATTCAGACACATCTGATCAAAAAAGCTGGCGTCTCTGTAGACGCCATGGAGTGGCATGAGTTTACATGTGGTGCACCCATCAACTATTACAATGGCTCGCTAGAAGTTATGGACGACGTCAGCAAAGCCCAGAAGGAGGTTATCAGCAGTGGTCAGGCTCAAAAGGCTTTGGCCGATCGAATGTTGGTGGCCATGTTGCAGAGCGCGGGCTCTGCTGCTGGGTCATCAGCTGAAGATGCGCCATTGCGGTCACTCATCACTACCTTTGGGCAGGATAATGGCGACGCTATGGCTGCTCGGATTGTCGATGTGTTGACAAGGGTCAGGTAGCATGGATGAGCAGAGGTACTAGTAGAGCAATAAGTGTCCAGAACTGTCAGTACAAATAGATACTTGCGCATTCTTCGATTTGCAAATATATATAAAAGCTCAAGGTCTTCAAACGCGCATGAGGATATCACGATAATCGACGGGTCGTGTAAGTCAGTCGTCGCTAATTCCTCCACAGTCCGTATATCCATGACTTTGCCCAACTGGAGTTTCAGTTAGAGAAAATTTTGGAAAGTTTCCACTCAAAGAACAGCAGAATTCCACCAAATTTCTCATATCGCGTATTCTCAACATGGCGTGCTCTGTTCTCATTCAGCGCGTGATACAGCTTGCATCATACGAAAGGGGAAGTTGAAAAATGGGTCAGCTTTCGTGCAGGGGTTTGCGCTAGAAAACCTGGTTCGATATACCGCCTCTCATTTCGAGTGGTTACATTTGTCATCTCAACAACCAATCATTGCCACATCCGATAGACTGCATAACATAGTGTGCAGTATGAGTAACAGCCTCATGTCTATACCCGTTCGCGAATACTTTAACAAGCAACAGCTCTCTAGGCAGACGCGGAGTTGAGGCTGTGTCTCTACCGCATGGGTGTCCCTCATTGTTAACCACAGCGATCAATCCACTGCCTAAAGTCCTTCAGAATCAAGTTTATTACGCGTCGTTACTCTATTCACAGCACAACTCAGTCCGCAACTCAACCGGCGTCTCAGCCGCACCGTTGACTGGCATCTCACCCTCGCATATGCATCTCTCGCAAACCAACCAAATTGAATCATCACAAGCTCTGTTCCTCATAATTGGTCCAGCCTTACCCTCACGCTACGCGAGTCTCAACATCTTGACCAGCGGATTAGTATCCGCCTTCTCCCAGCCTCCTATCTTCCAGGATACCCTTGCACTTTGAACCTCAGCCGTACGAGTATCTAAGAGCCCATTCTTTCGCGTCTCTCAACTTTACTTCTGAGAATAGAGGTAGGGTGGTTCTATCCAACCCGGCGCCAAGTTTCTTGGCACCCGATTATGTCAAGCTCCAGTCTCAGTCAAGAAGCACATTGTATTCAATCTCATAGACGGATCGTATAACGCATACGATACGAGAATACACCCTCGCTACTCAGGTGTGGCGTAAAGTCATACGCTGCCCCTGAACACAAAAACATTCGCCGCTTTAGCGAATATCCTAGATGGAATATGCTAAATGTGCCGACGACATGAGTGAGCAGCATCATTCCCAATGCCCGGTAGCGTTTCTCCACCCCCATCTTCCCACACCATGCCGTCTCGCCAACTAACACATCCATCCCATCCAGTTCAACACAGACCCGTTTGAGGAGAGCGACGATGAGTTGCAAGACCTCCTACCAGCATCCTATCACTATCACAAGTCCCATGGATACCGAAAAAGGCGCCATGTCGGAGACCCTTCTGAAAATGTCCCCCATTTCCTCGCCTCGGAACTATCCCTCAAGGGACTGGAAAGCATGTTGAAGCACCTCTGGCTCGCAGGCGCCAAGAGACCCCCTGCACAACTCCATTATCACGTCGCCTTAGGCCGTGAGATTACCATCACCGATCGCATCGATCTACATCTCATGTGGAACCCCAACGGGAGGATATTCATCAAGCCTCTCCCTCGTTTCCTACTGAGCTCCAAGTTCTGGACAGTGTACCTACTGAGCCCGGAACTCAGCAACGAGCGCAAAATTGCCCTTGGCTTCCTCTACACATACGCATGCCTCATCTCTTCAGACAGCGACTTCCACCTCGCCATCGAAAAGCGTCTTCTCCCACAGGGCCCCAATCAAAGGCAATTATCATGGAGAACATGGAAAACCATCGCGCGATCCATCCTACGAAACCATGACCCAACTCAGATGCACCCCCGGTTCATACACGGCGAGCTCCGCCTCTCTCGCATCAACACCATCAACCGCGTCTTCAACCTCTCCCCATTCGAAGCCTACTTCAACAGCTGGAACGACTACAGCAGCTTCTTCCGCGACAATCTCAGCTGGATCGCCGCATCTACAGTCTGGCTCGTTCTCGTACTGACCGCAATGCAAGTAGGTCTTGCAGCCGAGCCGCTCCAGAACAACGCCGAGTTCCAAAAGGCAACGTACGGCTTCACCATCTTTGCGATTCTCGGACCAGTCGTATTTTTTGGTCTGGTTATGCTAGGGGCTGTTTACCAGCTTCTCTCTGATTTGCCATGGTTGATATGGCAAGCCATCGACAAGAAAAAGGAACCAAATGAGCCAACGCCAGAGACGAGTACAGATGCAACGACGCATGCATAGGATACATATACGGAGTAAACCGAAACGATATCAAGTAGTAAATTATAATTAGAATAAGTCATCAACACATAAATAATCCAAGCAGTCATCACACAGGTCACACATAATAGATACCACACATATAACAACACCAAATCTCATTGCAACAAAGCATAAATAGGCTATAAGAAAAGATTTGCCAATCTGCTAATTAGTACCCCCATTTTCCATAGTCTTACATATAAAGACAAGATCCATTCGGGACAAAACTGTCCTCCATTTTTTTTACATTACAATGACCGCACTCATATACTGAAAAATCCTGTACTAAAATCACCACTTCTCTTCCAAATACCAACGCCCGCCAAACTCGCATCATCATCCACCCTTCATGAAATAATGAGATTCGTCCACCATGACCGACAATGTCCCAGGGTATTAAAAAAATGTGTATTCCTTCCGAATGAGATGATTAGGCAAAGTTGTCAGATCGATCAACCCAGATATCCTCCAACTCCGCAAAGCTGTGGAAATGGACTGGTCGGTGGTGGTCGCTATAGAAGGGCAGTGGCGTGTCCAGCTTGACGTGGACTGACTTCTTTTCCATTCCTGCAAAAGCACTGCCCATGAAGCTATAGTTCCATTTACCATCATCTGGCACGAGGAAGAAACCCCTGAATCTTGGGCTGAGCAGGAGCTTTCGTTTCTCTCCCATCGTAGTTGTGAATCCCTGAGGTTGGTCGCTTTGAGTGTCCTTATTTTCAGCTCCCCATTTATAGCCTTGAGGCGTCAATCCCCAAGCAGACAAAGACACACTACCAGGAGTGAAAGACACCGAAACTGTAACTGTGTTGGTCTTATCCCACTCCTCGTGTGCATCCAACAGCTTGGCATGCTCCGTCACATCGGCAGCAGGCATGTACGGAAGTTCGCTACCTGACATTGTGTGGATAACGCCCAGTGGCTCCATGCCATCCAGGAAGTCACTCTGAGGCAACTTCTGAGGAAGTTGTACGTTGCGAAGGCCACCAATCTGCGGCATCATGACGATACACTTGATCTCCTTGACTTGATCGTTATCAGGAGCTGAAGCACCGTAAAGGTAACCAGCCACCTGGACACGCAGATCTGCAATTGTGATGAACTTCTTCAGGATGTTGTTGGGCATGACGTATGTCACGTCGTCCAGATCGCTATCCACTGAAGAGACATAGATGTTCTTTGCTCGTGTTCGCAAGTTCGATGTCGCAATAGCTCGAGTTCGCCACTCAGTCTTTGAAGCAAATGTCTGCTGTTCGAACTGAGATGTTGTGGTGACGATGATCTCTTCGCCGTGGACGTTTTGGGTCTTGGTCGTAACGGCCGTCAACTGTTTCTGCTCTTCTTGCTGCTTCTCGATCTCGGCAGCCTGTTGTCTCTGCATGGATGGTGCAGAAATTTCCATACCCAGGATAATATCACGGACTTCAGTGCTCGTCAGACTAGACACATTGACGTTGTTCTTCTTGCCATAGTCGTTCAAGATGAGATCACGCAACTGGGTTTCAACCTTGATCCAGTCTTCGTCGTTCAACGATGGCCAGATGTGGTGGTCTAGCGTAATAACAGTCTTGTCGGGTCGCAGGATCAGCTTGGTCTTGTCGGGATTGACATGAAGGGCACGCAGAATGAGAATGAGACGAGAGAAGGCAGTGTACGAAGAGATACTCTTCAACCACTCATCGTACAGGTTGAACAGCACCATCTGGGGCTCAGTCGCTCGCAGGATCATGTCACCCAACTTCTCAACCTTCATAGCAGCCTGGAAAGGAAGCTGTAACTCGGAAGCACGAATAGAAATGTTGGGGAAATCAACCAGCTGGACTTCAAGGGGATCCAAGAGACCCTTTCTGGTGACAATCAGTTGCTTGGGCTGCTCTTCAACAGGGAGCGAACGAATCAACGCCGCCACTTCTTCCGCCGTCTTCCACTTGGCGAGCTGTCCAAGACGTTTCTGACCTGCCCACACGCTGGTGTGAATGATCTTCAAGAACAGCTGACCAGTTCGCGGGTTGAAGATGAAGATGGCACCGTTGATGGGTTTGGTGGTCAAGTTTCCTTCGAATGTCTTGTGAATAGTCACACGGTACACATTGGTGTCATCGATGAACAACTGCGTTTGGTTGCTGAAGAGCTCTGAATAATTCTGCGAGTTCAGGAACTCTTGGTTGCTTTCGGAAGCGTACAGCTGCAGACCCTTGCGGATACGCTCTCGAAGGACGTACAATGCCGGGTTTGCCTTCATGATCTTAGCCATGGCTTGCTGAATAAGTACCTTCAGACCTGGGAAGTACATTCCGTAGGCCGAGTACAGATTGTATGCCAAATCGATACCAATCATGATACCGGTAGCAGAGGGATAAATACTGGAGCTATCGGTCGTGTAATCAAGGTACTTGGCACGTGTGTAACGCTCAATGTCGTGGGAGTCGTAATCACCGTATCGCAATTGCACATCAACCCAGAATTTGTTGGTCGTGGTAGGCTCAATAACATCCTTCGTGTCATACAAGAGCGATGGGCGGGTGACGTTCCATTTGTGGCTGGCAAAGAGGAGAATATCAGCGCAGGAGCTGTTCATCTTGTAAGATTTACGAGGATGAATAGTTTCCTTCTGCACAGTCTCAATGCCGAGAGACTCCAGTTCCTGGTCAAACACTTGACAGAGATCCATGACCACTGACTCGTGAATCTTTTGCCACAAGTGAGCACGGAAGATTTGGATAAGAGAGATCTTCAGAGTAGGAATCTTTCCGTGCAAGAAGATACCAGTAAGATCCAGCTGGACCTGGAAACCGACGTAGACGTTGGCTCGGTTGATCGTAGGGGACCACCAAAGAGTGAAACGACGGTTGGGAATCTGGTTCAAACCGGATCGCTGGGCGTTGGTGAGCTTTTTGAACTTCATGGACTCTTCGAAACCAGAGGCCTTTTCCCAGAAGAGACCCTCCCAGGATGGGAAACCAGTGGCCTTGAATAAAGTGTGCTCAAGGATAGTTTCAACACCACCCAAAGCTTGAATGACGTCAGTTCGGTAGGCATTCAAGTTCCAAAGCTTGCCATCGTGTCGCTGGCTTGTCCACCAGAAGGGGTTGCCCTTCATGAGCTGGTAAATTTTGAACTCAGCTCGAGCACGGAAACCTTTGTCGAAGCTGAGGGTGCTTCGGTCCTTTTGAAACAAAGTGTTGATTCTAGGCAAACCACGATCCCAGCTGTCCTCCAAATCTTCCAGAGTCAAACGACGGTTCTGCTGATTAGCCTCCAAACGCTTCTGGGAGTATTCGGTCCAGACACGTTGAGAGTCGATGAATTCAGCTTCCCACGGAATGATGTATCGGAAGATGTTGGGAATCAGAGTCTCTTCGGCATGTGTCATACCAGCTCGGTAGTGAGTGACACCAGTGTCGGTCTGCTTGGACCAACGCTTGTCACTGGCAGGAATGAGGATGTGAGAGCCAGAGATCATACCCAATCCACCAAGCTCCTTGGGGGTGTAGAAGACAGCAGGAGGGAAACGCGAAGGCATCTTTGAGTTCAGTCCGATCTTGACTCTTGTCTGAATCTTGGTCTCGCACTTGACAATAGTATCAAGGAGTTCAATCGTGGAGACTGCGGCCTCACGGTAGTACGTAAACAGAGCAATCAGAGCAGTGTTCCATTTATTCGCAATCTTGGTAAAGGTTGTTGAGCCAGACGACATGAGAATTTGTCGAATACGGTTGTTGAACTTTTGAATATCCTCCTCAGTGACTTGCAAGAACGCGTGTGCCGTTCTTTCTTTGGTCGTATTATCGACGAGAGACCAGACGCTGTCTTTGACGGGGAACTCATCATTCTGGTTTCTAATCTTTGGCAGAATACGAACTTCGAATCCACACATGGAGAAGAGCAGGTTGGGGTTATCTCGGCTGTAAACACTAACGAAACTGTCGTCCCAGTCAATTGTAGTGACAGATCGTGGCAGGCGGTTCTTGAAGTCCCAGAAGACAGCTCGTCCCAGGTTGACATCGTGTCGCATCAGGCGCATACGAGAGTCTCGCGGCCAGCACTTCTTACTCTTATATCCAATGACATTTTCGAAGTTGGGGTCAGGTTGCTCGGTAAGGAATCTTTGGATGAGATCTCGTGATTCTTCTGCTGTAAACCGGAGGAAGATCCAGATCTTGTCGATGTATCGGCTGTATAGTCGGATTGGATGTCTGCTTTCTGTTTCCCGGTCGCGGAACTGCAAGAAATCGTTGGGGCTTTGGGGTGGTCCAGCAATTTCACTAGCTCGTTGAGGGCCAAGCAAAAGCAAGTCGAGAACAAGGCCATAGTACTGGAACACGAAAGCAGAAAACTGAAGACCACGAATCATACCATAGCTGTTGACATGGTTCATGTCCTTGTATGTGAGCTGGACGTTGTTCTTTGCCGTGATGTAATCAGCAAGGTTGTGGTCCATAATCAGTCTCAGGAGGGAATTGAGAAGCGTCAATTCCATCTTCTCATAGACCTTGGAGAGCTCAGTCTCAATCATGACATTGCACTCGCCATTTTCAGTCTCCCAAACCTGGCCCAGGTTGTTGATACCCTGAGCCCACTTGTAAACCAGCAGAGGAGGGACTTCAGAATCAGAAGGCTTAATCCAGGCGGGGAAGAGGTGTCTTTGGTCAGCCTGGTACCACAGATATTGGTCAAGATAAGCATCGCTAATCTTTTCGATTGGTTCAATATCGTAGACTGGGTTGATGGTGCTGTAGTTGTCATTCATGTCGATATTGACTTCCTTGAAAGCTCGCTGAGTGAGCAGAAATCGCTTGATGCGCTCCAAAGTTGTCCCGGGACTATCGTATGCCTGTTCGATAAGGGCAAGCTCTTCACGCTGGCTCTGGTTGAGACGACCCTTGACCGAGTAAGCTTCTCTCAATCGCTCCAGGGCGAGGATCAGAATCTTGGTGTCGTGTTTGTAAGAAACGCTGGGGAATGGAATAGGCGAGAACTTGCGAGACTCCAGCCAGTGAACGGTTGTCGTATAGATGGCAACAGCCTCCTCTGATGAAACATATGGACCGTCCTTCATGTGGTTGTGCTGGCGTTCTTGCTCTGCCTTGAGCCAGAGTCGGGTAAGACGGCCAACGTTCTTCTTGGCAACGGTCTTATCAACGGTGGCACCGCGACGAATACGCTCACGATTGTAATGGGCAACAGAAACCCACCAATCAGCCTTGGATTTCACGTATCGCAGAATGATATTCTCAATAGGGGCAGGCAAGCCAGGCACCTTCCAAGGGATGTTACTCTTCCAGCAACGCCAAGCCTCAGAGAGATGCTGCAACACGGTGTTGACCTTGTTCTGCTTAATGCCCTCGGGCATCATGTCCAACAAATCGGCCATAACAGACGCACGAAGCTCGAGGTCGAAGTGAGACTCAACACGCTGCTTTGTGACCGTCTTTGCGACACCCTTACTGTGTCTGCCCTCAAATTGACGAGACAGCAAGTTTCCAAGCCATCTCTCCAAGAGGGGAATAATACCACGCATGAAGAAGAGCCATACTCTCCAGGCGGGCGCCCAGAAACCACAGCCGGGACCTTTTCCAACAGGACCAGAATTGAATCTGTAGTAGATGAGGTGCTTCAAGTCCTTGCAGGTTCGGATCTGGTGCATAAGCTTGTACTTGTAACGGTACATGCCTGTAAGCTGTCCGACGTGGTTGAAGGCATAGAGGATGCCGTCAGCTAGCTGGAAGGCATCAATATTGCCCAGTCGGTACTGAACTTGTGCATCAACAATCAGCTTTGTCAGTCTCAAGATTTCACGCATCAAATGGAAAGCGTTTCCGAATCGAGACTTCTTTCGCTCCTTTGTGGTGAGGGTCTTGACGGGCTTCAAGTTGAAGTTGTAGTCAAGGTGAAGATATGTCAGGTTCTTCCTATGTATCAAAAGATTGAGCATATTGAAACCTTGACGGCAAACCTGCAAACCAGCCTCCACCCAGTCGATAGTAGTCTGCTGGAAGAACTTGGTCTGCTTCAATGACCTCAACAGGTTCTGATTATTCTGAGCCTTGGGCTTCTTCTTATGCAGGTCATTGAGGACAAAGTTTTTGAGCAGCTTCTGGTAGGAGACGCGGACCTTTACGGGCGGTCGGTTTGCAGGGGGGTGCTCGAGATACCACTGCTTGATCAGGGGCACATCCTGGGCGCGTACCATCTTGCCAGATCGTCGGTTGAATGGGAACGGCGCCCACCAGAGCTCAATAGCAGCAGCCGTATCATCATTATCGAGATCCTCGTCGGCAAGGAAAGGCTCTGCGCCAGCAGGAAGCTCAAAGGCGTCCTCTTCGGGCTCTTCGTTGTTACCGGGGCCGAAAAGTTCATCCTCAAGAGACAATTCCACATTCTTAGGGGCCACGTTACGTGACGAGATGGGGTTGATTCGACGGTCGAAGTGGAATGTGGGCAAATCCGGGTCATCAACACGATTGTAGACCACCTGGGGGTGAGAGTGCCATGCGAGGTGCACACTTCGAGGAAGAGAATTATAGAGGTATGGGAAAGCAACCCGGAACTCGGTTCGAATAGGGTTTCTGAAAATGATTCGGTCAATGGCGTTGAACTCGCCAAAGTCTTCATCATTGGGGTTGATGTCCTTGTATAGCGGCTCAAATCGAGGTCCACCCGGCAAGGCAACATTCAGCGCCTTGGCTGTGAGAAGACTCTTTAGATCGAAGAGATAGAAGTAGTTCTTATCCACAACATCCGAGATCAAAGGCCGACTGAGACGGAACAGCGCCGCCATCTGAGGCAGTGTGAGGTTCCAGCCCTTGTAGCTCGGGCCATTAACATGGGGTGTATCGAGCAGCGGTCGGTGGTCGTAAAACCATTCATAGATTGCCTCATCTTCGTCCTCGTTGAGCTCCATCTGGATGGGCTCGAGCGGCTCCACATCCTCGATATTTTCCGACCACGACAGCGGCGGCTCCTCGTCGTCAAATGGCGGGAATCGCATACGCTTGAACAGTCTTCGATCTGCCTTTTCTTTTCGCATGAATGTCCACATCATGGCCCACTGTGCAAAGAAGACAGGCTCGATAACTCTGGGGATTTCGTTGACCAGGGTAAGACAGCCGTTGACATGGTACAGAACCTTGACCTCTCGTGCAGACTCCCACGGCATGGGCATGTTCTCCAAAAGCTTGAGAACGGCGTGCGGCATGAACTTGAGTGCGCCGAGATAGCTTCGCTTGTCGTTTGTGTACTTTTTCTGCGAGACATCGCCGATATCCTTGACGATTTTCCGCAGATGCTCGGGGGGCATGTCAGCCTTTTGCGTCTGGACAAAGCCAGCCTTGCGCTTCTCTCCGAATCTGTTCCGTTGGTTGCGAAGCCATTCCTTCTTCTTCTGGGCAAACTTGGCAATATGGGCATCGGCGGGTGGTCGATAGCCAGGCGGCGGCGGGGCTGGAGGAGCGGGTGTCGATGGAGGAGGTGGAAGCGATGATGAGGGAGGCGGCGGAGGAGGAGGAGGTCCCCAGCCTGGCGGCGGAGGCGGCGGGAGTTGCGACATGGCGACGTCTTCACTCGTTCAGAGGCAATTCGTGAAGTTGCCTGCCTGAAGGCTTGGAGCCGTGGCGCGTGTCAACGACGCGCTGGCAGTTCTGGAATTGCGCACGCAGAACAGCGGCCACGTCAGATGCTGTTATGTGGCCTCTATTCTGATGATGCAGATGCCGGTCTCGCAAGAATCAGACGACGACCAGGGCGGGATCGATGCAAAGCCAGATTGATGTTGAGCTTCGCCTTCGTAGAACAATTTCTTGAACGAGGATCCCTGGAGGCACTAGCTTCAATCTCGATGCTAGTCGGTCACGTGATATCGAACGGCTGAGACTGCCTAGAATTCATGCTGCGTTTCGTGAAAACAGGAATATATGTCTGTTATTTGGATCAGGAGAATGTTATGTTCATCTCTCTTGTGTATTCAGATACAATTTTAAAGATGCAGAAGTGACGTAAGATGCAGTTTTGCCAGAGCGACCTTTCGTATGATGCTAGTGAATATACCTGAGTGCCTTACCAGCAGTCTAAGTGTACTTTCTCTTCTTTCGAGAACGTACTGCTACAGCATTGCCCTAATGGCACGGAGCTCAAAATAATCTCAGAATTATGAAAAACAGTATGAATAGAATTTGATTGCTTTTTTCATTTCATATTTCTCAGCAGTATCAATCTTTATACCATTTTCAATATTCCAGAGTGTTGCTCCAGGGTACCTGATGACGGAGCAGAAGCCGCAATGAGCCAATGAAAACCACTCTAATGCACTTACATAATCACGATTCATGATCTTCTGCCGCCAGCAATATCAAGCCGATTCATCGCGACAACAGCTCAAACTCACCAACGCCCAAGCAGCCGCTGTCACGACTCTGCAAAAATGGCGCATCTTCGTACGTTGCAATTGCACCATTGCCGAAGCCTACTAACCGCAATTCGCAGACGTCAAGCCGGACCCGGCTCTCCTGAAGCTGGAGGGTGCGTAACATATCCGATCCAATGCCCATCTTTCAGATCCCCATCTAACTCGGCGCAACAGCGATGCAAAAGGCTCGCCACCACCACTTCCGATTTACTGGTCGAACAGCCCGAATCAGCTTCATCTACATGGCCGCCATCCCCGCCGTCTTCGGTTGGGTCGCATACAAGACAGACGTGAGTGGAAATCGAGCAATGTGGGGAGGGGAAGGAGGAGGACGAGGAGGGGAGACGGATTGACGAGATGCTAACCTAGGCTAGGGACTATGGGATCTACGAGCGAAGCGAAAGGGCGACTCCGTCTACGAGAAATAAGCGTCGAGTTGTTTGGTAGGGGTGAGGGTTTATGTATAATTCAAAAGGTTCGATACGGAATAGAGAGCCTAGTGCTGGCCGAATATTCGAACACATTTTAAAAAAGAAATCAATTTGCATCGTTTCGTACTGGACCCCATTCAATTCATTCTCTGCGATCTCTATCTGAGGTCGGCAATTGCTGGCTTCGAATAACCTGGGTTCCACTTCGAATTGAGGATTATACTGGTGCACCAGCCTGCAGGACTGATTAAGAGGACTGTATTATGCCTCGATTAAACGCTAAAATATATGGGTATATCGCATCCTTTCAAAATCTCGATTATGCCTCTGAAGCAGGTCCCCTCTCTGCAACCTAGTACCAACGTCCTCTGCCTCGTGACCCCCCAGGCGGCCCTTCCGGTAACTGCTCTCCTCTCCTCCAATCACCAGACGGGAATCTGTTGTCTCTCCAGCTCGGCGCTCTAGTCTGGCGGCCGTGATTGCGACTAAAGTTGCTGTCTCGACCTGGAAATCCTCCCCTGAAGTTGCTACCACGACTATCGCGCCCGCTGGACATTGAACCTCTTCTGGCGTTTGATGGTGGCGCCACAGAGCCGTCTGACAAGGGAGGAAGGATCGCACATGAGATGTAATCGCCAACCACAAATCTCCAGTCGGCCAGTGTTTTGTCCTTCTCACTGTCATCCTTCATGACATCTGGATCGGCATCATCTGGGTTCTCCGCGCCGGGATAGCCCTCGCCAATGACAATGCTTCCCAGCTCCTTGACGGCAAACTTGGGCTGACCAGCATTAATAGTACTCGTGCCGCGTAGATCTGGGCAGACGAGCTGGAAAGAGAGTCTCGTGCCAATAGTAGGAGAAGGCAATGCGCTTGGTTTCGCCGCTGCTAGCTCTAGGGCTAGCTCATAGAGTGTACACGTTGACCAGGTGTAGATGGAAACATGTGGCGGTAGAGATGGTGACGCAAATTCCTCTGGCCTATCGATAATGCCGATTAATTATATTTCTCTCAACACATGGTGATATCGTGGTTATAAGCACGTACCTGTGAAAGCTGCCAGTTCGGTGAAATAGACGAACTAAGAACGGAGATGTATCCTCATCCTCGCTTGCCCGTGCATCTACCATTGTGGAATAACGTAATATGTCAGATAGAGAGTCTGATTTATGAAACAGCAAGCAATTTTAAATATGAATCGGACCAATTTGCTCCCAAGTCTTTGTAAAGTTGAAGTTGTGAAAGACCGAAGTCTGAAGCTGTATCGACCATATGATGTATTATCCGGAAATCATCCGTAATCGATAGCATGCTTCAACCTCGGTGAGCTCACCGGACTTATCATCCTGCCAACCTCAACCCTTGCTACATTGCTAAATACTTGCATTCAACGTCATTCTACGACAAAAAATTGCGCTGATTCAACGATATCATCAACTTTGAACACCTAGGCGAAACATTGACTCTTTGACGCGACACCCTCAACTCTTAAGACGCTCCCTAGCGCAACATACTTCATCATGGACTTCGCGGCCCTCATGAACAAGGAGCTCTCCAAATCCAAAAAATCATCCAGCAACGATGACAAGAAATACATGAAGCGCTCCGAAGTAGAAGCCGAACGCAAAGCCGCCTACATAGCCGAGCAAAAAGCCCTCGAAGCCGAACGCGCATCCAAAGCCGAAGCGAAGCGCAAGCGCGAAGAAGAAGTCGCCGCAGAAAACGCCCTACGCGAAGACAAGCGGCGCAAACTCGCAGAAGAGTCACGGAAGAGACAAGAAGAGAAGGAATGGGAGGAAGAGCAGGCGAGGAGGAAGCGACTCGGCCTGCCAGAGCTCGTCAAGGGCGAGGAGAACGGCGACAAGAGTGATGGCGATGCGGCAGACGACATTCCGGATGACGAGCTGATACAAAAGCTGAGAGAACTGGGCCAGCCGGCGATACTATTTGGTGAATCACATGCGGCGCGACTGAGACGGCACAAGAAGCTCACTACGGTGTTGACAACGGGGCCTATACCTACGACGCTAAAGCTGGTAGACGAGAAGGACATGAAGGTCGACGGCGCGGTACCAAAGGATAAGGAGGGCCGTCTGTGGCTATTCCGACAGCTGGCGAGTTATTTTACCATGGTGCTCACGGAATACGAAAAGGCAATGGAGGAAGAGAAGCGGGAAACGAGCGCCAGCAAAATGGCCTACAGCGCCATGGTCCAAACCCGCGAAAACATGAAGCCAGTAAGATCCCCCCCCCAACTCTCACCTCTCAAAACCCGTATACAAATGAGGAAAGAAAAGCAAAGCTAACCCGTCACACAGCTCTTCCGCAAGTTCGAATCCGGCGACCTCGACGACTCCCTCCTCCAGCCCATCATCGAAATCGTCCAGGCCCTCCAGGAGCGCCGCTACGTCGACGCAAACGACGGTTACCTGCGCCTCAGCATCGGTAAAGCCGCCTGGCCCATCGGCGTCACCATGGTCGGTATCCACGAGCGTAGCGCCCGCGAGAAGCTGCACGACGGCGAAAAGGGCCATGTCATGGGCGACGAGGCCACGCGCAAGTACCTGCAGAGCATCAAGCGCTGCCTGACCTTTGCGCAGGTGCGGTGGCCGCCGCAGGACCTGAGGCAATTGATGGGATGATTTTGATGAGGGAGGGCGTGCTGAATGAATGCAAGGGAGAAGAGGATAAAGGGCGGATGATTCACAGTACAGCTATTACAAGATGCTGGAACATTGGTGCCTACATAGTGTGATATGATACCCCGTCTTGATTGGACAAGGCAAGACAGTTAACCAGAATGCATATACGAGGTGTCTCTCTATTGAACAACACCGGACAGCTTGTGCCGAGTCCTCATCATCGACTAACAACCTGACCAATGGGAAGCTAAGATATTGACCGTATCATAGAGTAAAGGCAAGATTGAAAGCAAACGATAAATGAGTAATAATGCCTCTACCAGTTGGGGGCTGCTGAATACGAAAAAAGACACGAAAATCCCCTTTTCTCCTTGCGCCTCCCTCTCTAATGAACAATCATGTGTAACGTTCAAGTCTCTAAGCATTTGCCGTCATAACCGTGGCCCCCCCTCCTTTCGAGAAACGGTCTACGTAGGCCATCCGCAGAGCGGATCAAATCTCGGTTTCAGTTGTGTCGCTCACTGCGGCTGACCGATAAATCTCATTCGTAGTCACAGTAGTGTGCTCTCGCTCTCTCCAATAGACTTGCTTGACGATTTTGACGATTTTGACGATCCTTGAGAATTAGATCGAGTTCGAGGTGGACTGTGCTGGCACTGAGCCCTGGGTTTCCCATGGGGCCCCTTCTAAGACTCCTGAACCCGCTCAGCGCCTTGGCTGGGCAACTCAGTAATATCTTCGTACCAAGCCTCTTCAACCTCGGGCCCTCCAACGCCGCCTCCAACGGGGCCTCCCGGCTGCTTTTTGGCGCCGCTGACCTCGAGACCTGCAACAATAAGATTCACGCGCCGTAACCGCTCCTTGGCCTCTTGCTCGTATTTCTTCGCCACAGCAAGTGCATTTGTCTGCACGACTAGTCGTGGGTCTGGAGAAACGGCGACGAGAAGCTATATGGGGTGTCAACAACGCCGACTTTTATAATGGGGAAGTGGAAGTAAAAGGGAGGGAGAATACCTTGCTCTTAGCATCTATTCGAGCTCTCAGCGAGCCATCCCGGATCATTCTGATGAGCTCCAGCTCCACGGACTGGTTAGGTGTACCAAAGGCAGCGTCCAAACTGTCTAGTGTGACGCATGAAAAAGGGATAAAGTATTGAACGATGCACTTTTCGCGAATTCGGGAGTAGATGGTAGGTATGTGTGGCTGCAGGTAGATGTCTAGGAGATAGTCGGCTCTCACAGACTCCAAGATGGCCAGGCAGTTAGAGTAGCGGCCGTTAACAAACAAACTAATCGCCTTTCGAATATGCGGCTCATGCTCCAAAAACATCCTGAATGATTGGTTATCCAGTATGCGGGCTTGTAGAGCCTTTCTGTCCATGGTTGCCAGGGCCAAAAGGCCGCCGTAGATGGCAACATCGTTGGGACTGGCAACCGTGTTGTACTCTGTTGGGGATACATTGGGGTTGGTGTGAAGAAGAGTATTAGCCGCATCATAATAGTTACCAAGTCCCATCAGAGCAACTCCGGATGCCACTTTGGTGTAGGCCTGCTGTGCCTGCTCGTCATCCCCAGTTTGAATGTTGGCAATCTTGCCAACGTTGCTCAGCACAGTGGCCCAGTCATGGCGCTGGAAAGCGACGCTTGCCAAGTGCATGCCGCAATCGAAGATGTGTTTGGTTGTGCTCACGTCGTGGCGCATCTTGTTATATGCGTCGGTGGCCTCGGTGAGCTTGCCTATGCTCTCGAAATGCTTGCCAAGATCCTCATTGCCCATCTAAACACAAGCGGTGAGTTAGATCCATCGTGGCGTCTCTGAACAACGGAGTGAAGCCTACCCGAATGCTCTCCTTAATGAGATTGTTTCTATACCCCTTAAGTTCTGTCTCTAGGCGAGTCGTTTCGGTTCTGTTGGCTAGCTCTGTGCTCTCGATCCATTCGTCGTCTCTCTTTGCTTCAGGCTCGTCCGGAGCGACGGAACGGAGCAGCTGCCAGGCATCTTTGTACCGAGTGACATCTGAGCCACTCTTTGCCTCGGCGACGGCGGCCTTGAGAGCTTCAACACGTAGGGGCACGCAGCATCGGCCGATGAGGATCAAGCGTTCGTACCGTGTTCTGCCTATGATGACGACGACGAGAGGCAGGGTTAGCATCTAGGATCCCGCCTACATCACTGTATGGTAGAGTACCAAACAAGCTTAAGAGGACATGGGGCCATCGTACCGACATAGTTCTGAATATAGAGATCGATATCAAGCTTGGGCAGCTCTAGATTGAGGCTCAAGGTCAGCTCCTCCAAGCAGGCATTATGTGGGGCAAGGTTCTGATCTACCGGAGACGATGACATCTGGAGTTTTTGCGTATGCCTGAGCTTCCGAGCCCGGCTGCGTTGAAGCGGGAGCAGCCATGGGGAAAGCAGCGTGATAAATGCTGTTTTGATAGGGAACGGTTTGCTGTTCCGGCGAGGCTGCGGTGTTGAAGGCTCTCCTGCACGTGCCTCAGCCTTCTGATGATGGAGGGGCCGTTCAGTGTGTGGGAAAGTGCTTGGCCGTAGGCGTTTTGACCGTTTGGCGGGGTTGGAGCTCTGAATAGTGGCCACAGGTACAAGGCCACTACAGAGGTGTGCTTGCTAATACGTGCATTTCGAAGGTATAGCGCATGTACGCATTGCTTTGCACAACCACTTCAATTGGAATAATCCGCCACACCTGAGTAAGTACAGGAAAATAGGAACAATTGAGATGCAGTACAAAGCATTCATCATTCATTTGGTCCTTCTTCTGCATTTACAGTTGGTAGTAATACTTAATATTCAATAATAAGCAATGAATCTACAGCAAAGGCTAGGTAGTGCTAGTACTAAGTAGTGCAAGTTGGCGCATCTCTTCCTCGATTCTTCTTAGCCAAGCATCTCACCTATACCTCGCTGTAACTCTCTCCACCATCTATCAAGGTGGCAGTATCAAGGCTTGGAGATAGTAGTAATGGCCTACTCTAGGAAGGCACTCTAGCCAATAATTCTTCAAGAGGAAAACAGTGCAAAAGAAACCACGCCAAGCTCTTGACGAGATCAAATACGTAATCGCAAGACCTTCCCGAGTCGGCACTGGCCCCCCCTTTGTCCAGATCGACTAGTTTGCCGTCTTCCGATATACTCTGTGGCTTAGACCTCAATAAACCAGCCGGCGCAAGGGGGTTAGACAGGCACAGGCCCCTTCAGCTCAACTACAGTAAGGGGCTATTTTACAGGATGGCAGGGCAGGTGACGGATCGTGCGTTGTTCGACGCCGTTTGTACGAGGCCAAGTATTGTAATCCAACATGCGGGGGAGAATAGCGGCATCTCCGAGTCAGAGTCGCAACGCAACGGCCCATGCATGCGATGTCAGTAGGCAGCAGTGTACTGTAGGATAAGAAAGACGCATCTCGTGGCGGTGTTTCGTCACGGAAATCGACAACCGGCCCATGGACAGGCAATCTGCCAGGAAAT